CAGGTCATGTTTTGGTCTCAGTTAGGCATCACATCCACCCAAGAGGCTCCTCATCTTCTGTGCCACCTTTGGAGCCCTCCATTTGGTCTAGATGGGGCCCAATCTGCCATGAATGTCAGAGAAATAAACCTACAACACTGTGTTTCTAAGATAAACTCTGTTAGACACATTGTCAAACCCAGTGCTTCCTCATCACCTAAGATACCCTAATCCCTTAGGGAATTTAAAATAGCTCCCTCGTTATGTTTCAGCCTCTAGGGGAGCATGAACGGGGGGCTGTAACCCCCCCTCTGGAGAGCACAGCCTGTCCTCACTTATCAGCACACTCTTGCCAAGGACACCACTTCCAGACCCTGTTTGCTTAAGCCTTGTAGGGACAGACCCATGGGATGCACGCATGGCCAGAGAGCTGTAGGAGGACTGAAGAAGAGACCACAAATGAAGGAGGAAGAAAAAAGTACGAGAGACAAGCACCTCCCCTACCTCCTATCTTGGATCAGTCTGCAGAATGAAGCTTACAAACATAAAGGGGAGCAGACAGTGTTGATATCTGTTGTTGTGTTTTGGATTGGTGTCTGGAACTCACAATGTTGAGCCTTTGCTGAGTCAGGAATAGTAGTCAAACAAGTGTTATGTACTGTATGTGAAGGAGGGAGGGGGGCATCCTGTTACTGTCAAGCTCTGTTGATAGCAGCATGTCCAGACAGACTGCAATACAACATGCAGAAATAAACCCTTTATCTAAGAGCACAGGCTCTCAGACGTTACAGTTGACAGACCAAATCAAGAAAGTTAAATAATATGAAACCACCTTTTTATGAAAAACAATTCCCGCTGGAGATAAATACGTATCTAATTGTTGATCTAATGCATGGACCAATTACAGATGGAAAAATTTGCAGAAAATCTTCTGCTGGTAAACATTTTTGATTGTTCTTTTTAACTGACAGACATAAAGTCTATATCTCTAATAGATGATGAATTTAAGAATCAAAATGAATGGATATTAACCTGTTTCTTTGATGACTGTTAAATGCAATTTTATGGTATTTTTGCGAGTTAAATAATGGTCCATAGACGTATGATAAACTACAGTGGGCTACCTGAGTAGAAAAAAAGGTCATGCTAAAGTGGATACATGTAGTTGTCAAAGGGCAGAAGAAATAGATAGCCTGCTTCAGGTTGAACTGTACATACGGGTAAAGTTGTTGGCTGCACTTTCCTTTCCACTGACTCACTCACATATTTACACAAATATACTTGGACCAAACATCAAAAGCAACCAGTGGAGCGCCAGCTGCATGAACTGGCTGTTTTTTTTTTTTCACAGATGTTATTCTTTCCATATTCCCAGTTGAGATTTACACATTGTGCTAGTTCTCATGTTTACATTTGGAGACATTTTGAGGTGTCACAGAGTGGCTTTTAGTGGCAGTGATTTCACTAAAGATAGAGGTGTATTTTACAGGAATACCTTAAAATGTAAGAATAAAGAAAATACTCTTAACCCTTAGCTGAGTACGAAAAGATGATTGATAACAATGCCAAACTCTAACTCTAAAAGTACACTTACCAGTAACCAACTACAAAGATGGCTAATCTGCATACAAAGATAACCATAAATAGAAAAGATAGTATACTGTTAGTCATATTTGTGTCCTTGCTCTGTCCTAGCAATTTCAAATTCATAATAATATCATGGAGTTTTAGCATTTAACTCCTCCAAACAATGCAAAAATATCTAACTATTAATTAAAATGGTTTGTCTGTTAATTACCCCCAGTACAGATTTACAGATCTGCACATTGAAAGCCACACTGTCACGTTACTTATGTTGTTGCTAATGTAAGACATGTGGTGACACAGAAAGAAGTTCTGACCTAGTATCTTCTTTTGGTTGCAGCCTTATCATCTACCAGCAGCCAGCCTTGCAGGGGCAGAGAGGCCTGACAACCAGCGGAGAGAGGGGCACCAAAAATAAAGGCTGCAGAGGTAGCACATGAAAAGGTGGCTGACAGGGTCATGAGGGAGGTCATCATGCATACTTCAGACCAACATTCTTAACGACTGAGTTTATGCACTTTACTTCTTATAGGATTTTAGTTCCCTTTTTAGAAAGAGGCTCTTCCCAATGACCAAAACAAAAACTTTGTTCAGCAGTATATTTTGAAAACAAACCATACAGATTCCAGTGATCTTTTGAACTGTCTCTGAATACACCTCATCCCTTCCGATGTTGTTGTCCCCCCCTTTAGAGGACAGAGTTGTTAGATCAATGGGCTTCTCACAAACAGGTTAGTCCGCTATGTGTCTCAAGCGTCAGACATCTGAGTCAACCTAGCCATTGCCACACCTTCCTCTTTAAGCCCAACCACACACAAACAGCTGTGTTTATGACACAAGTGTGATTTGTCTGAAGCTCTCTGCGTTTGTGTGCATGCCTTAGCTGGCTGTGTCAGCTGAGGCAGGGGCAGGCATGCTGTTAAATAAGAGCAGCATGTCACGTTCATGACCATGAAAACACACAGAGGGAGCGAGGGAGGGGGGGGAGACACTGCTGTGAACTTTCCCCTATTTCTTTGACCAGTTTGGGGAGACTTGGGGAATCCTGTAAAGTCGGGCAACCTCAGCAACAGCTTAGACACAGATAACGAAATTACAAGAGGCAGACAACAGACAGACATCACCAAATAGTTACATAAGAAGTGATCGAATTCATCCAAAGATAATACTGTAATTACAAGTACCTTGCATGACTTTAATAGTGAGTCACAGATACAGGCATGGCATAAAATGTTACAAAGACAGGACATAACAAGTTTCATCAAGACTTTTCTAATTCTTTGGAAACACCGTTGCACAGACTGTTCTCGATGGAGTATCACAAAAGCAGGTTGACAAGGTGTCTGTGAGTGTTTCCATGTGAGTTGCCTAGCACCTGGTAACAGTATAAGCGGAAACCTTATAATCCTGCTTTCAGAAAGCTCATGCTGTGCTATTGTCTCTCGCTGTTGGGTTAATAGCATGACAAAGTCTGCAGCAGAAAAAAGTAGCTTACTGAGGAGTCTGTGTGTGGAGCAGGCTGCTGGGGACATAAGGATGTTAGGTGTGGTTCATTTGTTTTCAGTTTGTCCTCAAGATGTCTGTATGAACAGCCAAGTCTCTTTATTCATTTAAATACTCACATAAATGTGAGTGAGAAGCACATTCCTGACTAAACAGTGCCATGTCAGGTATGCTGCCAAATGCTGCAGTATGCTACGCACCCAGATTCAATTTACCAAAACCTAAGGTGCAGAACACTTAACTTTTTAAACTACATGGAGATGAAATCATAACTCTTGACAGGTGGCTGATTACTTTGTGGGGGAAAAAAACAGCGTAGATGCAGATTTGTTTTTTAAATTCAAATGGTTCCAGAGATTATTAAATATAGTTGATACCACAATTATAGCTCATACTAAGTTACATGTCTCAAGGAGAATACAGGAATCCCAGACCTTTGTTTAGTATGCGGTCATGTGTTTAGACTTCTAAGTGACCCGACCAGTTTTGCAAAGACTCAAAACAAGCAGTCATGGCCAGACTTAAGAGGGGACAAGGCCAAAATGTTCATTGTTTCCAGCTTTACATATATAGAACGTATCTTTGATGATAAATGTATACGCATGCAGGTGCACACACATAGGGATCATGTGCACTGGTCAGAATAGGCGACTGTGGCTGAGTGAAGTTAGAAGGTTGTCAGTTCTATCTCAGTTTTTGCTCTCCACTCTACATGCAGAATTGTTCAGGTGTCATACTGAAGCATATCTAATTTCAGCAGTTTAGCCCACTGCGTTTAGGTGTGTGTGTAAGTGAGTGAATGTGAGACATAGCTGGAAGCATTAATACACAAAGTTTAATGTATTTACACACTAGGTTAAATATACTGTGTACTGTATACCTTAAAAACAAAAGAGAAAAAAAAATGATGTACAACCCTCTAAGTCTTCATATATAAGTCTTCCAATATATTTCACATTCAGAGAACCACAGTTGTGCATAAAAACAAACAAATAAACTGAGTTACATCACTAGTATCTAGAGCACTCATCAACTCTGTGAAAAGGAACAGGGGTCTTACAAAGCTTGACAGACTGCAGAGTGTAAAGGTGACCACCAGGGGTTTTTCAAAACCACACTACAGCCCATTGGTTCCTCAAATGCTGCATTCTGAAAAGGCGCACCTGATTGGCTGAAGTACAGTGAGTGGCAGGTGGAGATCCTCCCTTGCAAGGTGGAGTGAAAACATGGACGTCGAGGGGGAGGGAATAGAGGTCTATTTACAAGTGAAACTTAAAGCTACATCGCCGGCATCACCGGACAAGAGAAGATGATGTGACCTGTGAAGTTGCAGTGTTGCCAATATTTTGCATAACCAAGTCTCGCATTAGGTGTTGCTGCAAAATAGTCAACTTTCTGCACAAAAGGATAATGGGCAATGGAGAAAAGGTTACATTGTGTCTTCAGCAATGGATTGTACATCTCTGTATGAACCAGAGAATGAACTGATGCAACTTCTCATCACAAAGTAAAAGATCTACTGAGTCAATTACATAACACTGAGATAATACCTCTGTGACTATGGTCCAAAGTCATGGGGTGGTGTTGCTCCTTACTTACAACAGCTTCTTCTGTCTGAAGCAATCAACAACCAACTTTGCGATTTAATCTTTCATTGTCAACATATTTTCATAATAAAAGCTTACATTTTGGTACAATTTCGACGTCTGTTCACCATCCCCCCCAGCCCTTGCCTTTTCACAGCAAACATATAGACAGCAGAAGCTGATCAGGGATCGGTCTGCGAGCCGAGTTTCCATCAGGGTGCAGGTTGACAGCTCCACTTGCCTCCCAGCCCCCACCCTGTTAACCCAGAGAGGTCTGGCTTGTAGCTTGTGTAATATTATGATTGGCTGATTTGTTTGGTGTGGGCGGGGAAATAGGCGTGGTGGAGCGTATTGTGATCTCACAATCAGCTGTTTTGTACGTTCTACATTCTGATCCGAGGATCAGCTGGAGGCAGCAATAAACAGAAGGAAAATCTGCAGCGAAGATAAAAATAAAAGCGAGAGAGGGGAGGAAAAACAGCTGCAGATGTTGTGATCTGAAAATAAGCAGTGTAAACTTTTACACGAAGATCTTCTTCTACGAAGAAAGCCTTTTATTTTTGTATTATGGTGTTTTAACTACCTCACTTTAAGACTATCTAAAGCTGTGCTTTAAGAATTGTTGTCGTTTCTACTGTGTGTGAGATCCCGTTTACAACTTGAAAAACATTGCAAAGGCAGGTAAGCTATTCTCTACTTTGCTTTTAATCTCATACTGTTTGTTTTGTGTTCTGGCGAGAGGTATCAAGCTACACTTGTCTCGGCTGCGTTCACCGCAGGCTTTAGACAGGCTTTACAGGCAGATATATCACCCTTTATCAGCCTTTATACAATCAAATAACATGCAGATTTGCATCCTTGTACATCAGCGAGTCTCCACAAAGGGCATCATTGAATGCTGAGTGATATAATTGGTGAGGACGTTTTATTAGGTCATGAATAGATTTGAGACAGCACCCCAAACCAAACGATAAATGAGGTCGATTCGACGTCCTGGATCCTGAAAAAAATTGCTCTCTATCTCCCAGGATGCCAGCTACTGTTGTTTGGTAAAATGGACCAAATGCTGATGTGGAGTCGAGTCGATGGCGGATGTTGATGTTTTTTTCTTGGAGGCGGACCTTGAATGCTAAAAGGTTTTGTGCAAAGATAGTCGCTTGTGTTATCTGGTGGAAATAACCCTTATCCTTTTTTTTCTGAAATAGCCTATCCATCCAGTTGATGACTTTGGTTCAGTGTCGCTGAGCCACAACTGTCATTGCTTTGACCCCTCAGCTGTAGGGCTTATGGGGATAATAGTCCTGTCTTCTTGCTCGTACTCGGAAAGGCACGGTTTTATTTTCCTTTACATAAACCTAAAGCGTCTTTGTGTGGGTATTTTATCGACACTGTGCCTTTGAGCATTTTTTTTCGTGTCGTTTTTTTAAACTCCAGACGATAACCGTCGACCATAGCAACCACAACAATGAGTTGTCACAGCAAGAATCACATTAGATACGACAGTCCGTGTATGTGCCATTTACACGGTTATAAAAGATGCATTTTTCGTTCTGTTTGCATTTCACTTAATTTTTTTTCCCCTCTGTCTACAAATAGGCAGTCTCTGTCAGCGGCAGTGACGTAAGCGTAGCGTCGTGTTGCGTCTTGTTTTTATTCCGCTAGTCCCCGCCCATGAATTTAGGCTCCTCCCATTTTTAAAGGAACAGATGCCAAAAGAGGAAAGTCATCAGGAGATAGATAGATAGATAGATAGATAGATAGATAGATAGATAGATAGATAGATAGATAGATAGATAGACTTTATTGATCTCAAACTGGGAAATTCCCATGTTACATATAAGAACAAGTATGTACAATACAGTCTAAATGTACTAAATATAAACAATAAATACAGACTAAATATACTATACATCCTAAAAGAAAAAAGTCAGATATGAAAAAAGTGAGCTACCCACTAATAGTACTAAAATGAAATGAGTAATAAATATGAAATGTACAGATAGGGATAATAAATAAACAAACAATTTAAGGTGCTCGGTAATGTGTTGTGGTAGGATTTTTTTAAAAAAGACTATACAGCAGACAGATGTGAGTCTCCGACAGATGTGAGTTATTGAATAGTGCTATTGCTGGTGGCAGGAAAGATTTCCTGTATCCGTCCCTACGACATATGTGCTCTCCAGGCATTCTTATCAAGAAACTGAAGAGCCTGTCTGACTTTGTCAATATTTATGACAAAATTTAAATGCTCTGTATAGTTTTGCACATCAAAACATGAACTCACTGGATAGTAAACTGTATCCTAGGTTAAAGCACTGTTGCTGTAATTGATACAATAACATGAAAAAAGGAAAAATAAATGGGATTAAATAATAAGCAGGGAAGTTTACAGAAAATAAGGAGTTAGACTGAAGATCATATATTCATCCCCTGTCTAACAAGAGATTGATTTTTCTTCCAGTGACATTTTTACTTTTATGACAGATGGTAAAGTTGTTAAATCATGCCTATGCATTTGGGTGTCTCCCAGGATAAAGGTATCAGTGATTACTTTGTATCATTGCTTATATTTGCCTCACACAGATAGTCATGGATAAGCAGGTATAGTCACCAATCTGATAAATCCTTTTTTTCTCCTTTTCAGGGACATGTTGCATGATGTTCCTATATGAGCCTGTGTGTTTTGTACATGTCTGCTGCACCCTATGCAAAGCAGCCCTCAGGCCCTGTTACTCAGTGTGTTTATCTGCATTTGTCACAGCCTCATGACTTATGCTTCTATTTATCCAGGAATGCATTAAACAATTTCAGTATTGAGAACTGACATCAGGTCATGGTCTCTGTTTAGACTTCGTTTCCAAAGTCCCAAAAGAGATAAAATGAGAGTTTTTCAAAATTGTACTCACTGTTTTAAAAATAATATAGGAGGAATACCACCAGTAGAAATAAACCCATATAATTTATCTTAAAAAAAATTCTGCTTCAGGCTTGTTGATCCAAGAAGACATATTATGTTTCATATACGCCCTTTTTTATGTTTTGTGCTGAATTCTACTTTTGATTTCCATCCCCTCAGTATCCCTTAAAACAGTCACAATGACTCTGACTGTTAAAATGAAAGGTATTCAGTCAGATTTAAGAACTCTGCTGGGCACTGAGTGGTTCCACCTGAGGTGCTTTTTCTTTCAATATTGGTAGTGGTAGCCATAGTGATTTTCCAAATAAGGACAGGAAGTTTCAGCCTCCCATCAAGCAACCATGCCTATCCTTCCTGTCACCTTTAAATCCATGCTCCTAAATATCAACCTCAGTCGTTCCTTTTTCTAACCAGGGGTGAAATTTAGCAGCACATCTCAGATTTCAATGTAATTTTGAAGACAAAATAAGCAGAAGCAATAAGCAGACCTTGAATGTAATCCAGAATATAACCCTCCTCTGCTTTAAAAATTGTGGAGAAATTAACAAACGGAATAACACATAGGAAGAGAGCCTGAAATTTAAAAGATATTTTTAATATTTTCAGTCAACTTGTGGAGGAAGAGGATTTGCACTTTGGTCCCTCATTTCCTGAAGTCACACAGTTAAGTCAGTAAAACTTGATTATGTAGGGTTTGTCTCGTCAGAGACTGCTGTCAAAACATCTGCTCATTATTACATCATCACATTCCCATTTAGGCCGGGCACTTGTCCTTTGCCTTCGTGCTATCAGTGTCCACATCCCTCTACACATTTTAATATCTTGTACAGCTACCTCATTAGATTTCGTGAGAGCTTCAGTCTTTATTTCACCTCCTTTCACCTCCTTCTCTTTTGTTCTGTCCATCTGTCCTCAGACAGTGCTATTTGGTTCTCAACCCCTCACGGGGGTTGGGAGTGGCAGCCATTGTGTAGTAGCTTCTTGGTGCTGATGTCACTAATTTTTTCACTTATTACTGGAGCTTAGTGAAATCCCATTACTGTGTCATTAAGATGATAAACGCAGATGCCATTTTACACACAGGCTATTTTCAAACTCTGCCATGTTACATTCTTATAACTTAATTTTCAGGCTTTATTAATTCCTCTCTCCAGAGAATCATTAATGAAGCCTACTTTTGTCCAACTTTAAAAACTATCTTGCTTCCTTGCTTGACCAACATTGAATCAATTCTTTCATCAAGCTAATAGGTAATAGCTAAGCAATATTTTTACTTAAAAATTGGTTTAATGACTGTGCAAAACAAGTCAATCAAAGTGACAGATCATAGGTCATTTCCATCACTTTTAACACATTTTTAGGTCACTGCCTTGGTGTATGGACCCAGACATGTCAAAGGTTCACTTCTACCACTTTACAGATGCTGCAGACAGTTTTAATCTGTAAGAAAGATAAAAACACACACTTTGACACCAAATTTGCCTTGCAACATCTAGCTGGGATACAGAGGTGAATGTAGTTACTCATATATTTTAGTCATCAGTTGTTAAGGACCAAAAATAAGTAAAAGGGACGGTTCATGTTCAACACACATCTGTCACACTTTGTTCTGTGACTCTGTTCTAAATAAAAAATGGTGACTTTATGCTTTCAAATTCAATATTCAAACTTTTGATAATCTGAGTTTCTTGTTCTGCTCCCAAGTGAGGCAAAACGTCAGTTCTTAAAAGTTTTGAGGATTTAACACCAAATCGAACTATTTTCCCAGCTCATAGCCTGCAAGCTCTCTTTACTGATGTTTCTAGAGAAGTTCTCCTGCGATAACAGTGTGGAAACTTCTGTTTTTTGCTTTTTGTCCAGAGGTTTAAGTCCAAAAGATACTTCCAGCATGTAGCGATCTGTCCTGAAGTAACCCTGATACACCTCTTACGTCACACATTGCTGATTTATTTTGCTTATCTAATGCACTCTGACCAAGCAGCAGGAAATTGCCCCATTGACAGAACTCTCTTTTTTATTCTAAGATATGCTTCAGCCTCTGGTTACCACTCATAATAATCTTTTTTTTCTCTCTTTTTTGTTCTGTCTTTGCAGGCCTTTGCTCCAAACCAAGTGAAACCTTACATTTGCACTACTGAAGCCTGTCCACTCCCGTTTGTCAAAAACCGAGATCCAGCAAAGGGCTTCAAGTTCATTCAAAAAAAATTGTGTAGAACAGCAACAAGCAACACAGAAACACAAATAAGAAATTCATCAAGGCAGCTACAGCTTTTTCTTTGTGGACGTCTACAAAAGTACCTGAGTCAACAACACTCGACCGTACAGGCAGTCATGTTCCAGCGTCTGACCAACCTGTTGTTTGGGGAAGTAGAGGAGGTGGCAGCTGAGCTGAAGGGACCCAACCCTTGTGTGACAGAGGCAGATGAGGAGGGATGGATGCTCGTCAACCTGCCTGGTGAGTCTCAACAAAGGAGGAGCAGTGCTGGGTTTAATGGATTGATGTGACATTCAAGAGCCAAAAAGTCACATTATGAGTTCAGTGAGTTTAAGTAGCTGAAAAAAACTGCAGTTCTCACTTGCATGATCATGTTCTGTGGAAGTGTAGAAGATATATTGGGGATGATGGGATGAGGTGAGGGCATGGCACAACTTCACCTATCCTCACCCATATGGCTGCATCACAAAAAGTGTTGTCTGTCAGATGATGGCAAAAACACACAGGCTACATCCCCATCCTCTTTGTTGATGATCTCAATCAGGACAGGGTGACTAGTAAGTATGAAAATGAGCTTTGGTGCCTGATACTAAGCCAACCAAACAGCAAAAGTAGCTCTCAGCAGAGTCAAACTTTATGTCACCGACATAGTCACAACCTTAGGGGGTCAACACAACTAATGATGTGACTCTTTATGTTTTGTGTTTCCTTACCCCCTCTTCTCCCCCTCCTCCAATATATTTGAACCCCCTTACATTCCCCACACTGGTATGTGTGCGCGTGCGTATGTGCTCCCTCAAAAAAATGTCCCTTCATCCTGCATGACTTATTTTGAAAAAAACCTTCCATAATTTTTCTGCATCATTGTTGCAACCTACCGTCCAAATCGTATGTCCTTATTGGCTGTCTCATCCCTACCCATGCATCCAGAAGAGTCTGAAAGCACGATGCAGGCTGAGGATGAGACAGACGCCCCACTTATCGCACAATCACATCCCGAAAATGACCAATCTTATCATCAAGACGCACATACAAGGACTGAAAGCCCCGCCCCCATTCCCAATGTGCCTCATAAGCGCCGTAGGACACTCAAAGGCCGGGCCCGAGGTGCAGTAGCATCATCAAACCCTCTTTTTTGTCAAAGCGCTAGCCCGTCAAATTTGGGTGCTACTACACCCGTGACCCCCCCAAGACAGACCACACTGATCACACCCTCCTCCACCCCGTCAGTGTCCCCTGGTTCAGGAAGTGAGTGTGGGGGCAGTGGGGGTAGCAATAGGTCAGGTCCAGAGAGAGGCTGCATGGATGAGAGCTGGTTTGTCACCCCTCCCCCCTGTTTCACTGCAGAGGGAGCCACAGCAGAGGCCAGCCCGATGGAGGACCTGCTAATCGAACATCCCAGTATGTCCGTGTACGTCTCCTCCAACAACCTGTCCATGGTTTCCAATGGCAACCTGTCTGTGGTGGGAGAGGAGAGCATTGTCAGCTTGGCAAGCAGTGTGAGGTGAGAAAAGTAGCCCCGTTATTGTTGCTGTTGACCTTCCCCTCCTTTCTGAGCACGTACCACAACAATCCATTATCTCTCTCTTTCTTTGCAGCAGAGTGGCAGAACCAGCAACTGTCCCTGCCACCTGTGGCAGTATGCCTACCAGAGTGACCCGTGGAGCTGCAGCCCAGGCTGGAGCTCTTGCCAAGGTCACTCAGGTGGCGAGAGTCCAGCGTAGCAAAGCCCGCGTCGAGCGGCGCCATCTGGGTCGCAACCGCATCCACCGCCAAAACCTCACTAGGGAGCAGGTCCCCCGCCACGCAGCCCACACCAGAAACTCCTTCCTTCACCAGCCCAGCAAGCGTAACTTCTGCCACTAAAATCCACCCAGACTTGGGGGGTTGTTTACTCCGAGGGCATTAGTAGAGCAGAGACACACAATCTTAAATGTGTTCCCCCACTGCATATTCGCTTTACCTTAATTCAATTTACACCAGATACAAGTAAACATAGTTTTTTTGTCTAAAAATGGACCCTTAATGCTGGTTTTACACCCACTTCTGCTGATATGAACCAAGCCCTCTGAGTAGATCTGCCCATTGCAGCAGAAAGTCTACAATTCTGGTTTTACTTACAAGCATAACATCAAAAAACAACAAAAAATTGAGCTTTATTTTCTTCTTTTAAACAAAATATTCTTTTTCTTCCACTATTTATCAAAGCATGTTTTTATTAATTCATCCAGTTAAATCCTTAAAATGTTTTCCTCAGTTCTGAAGTAAGGATTTGAAATCTTAACGTGCAGTTCTTCATCAGCTTTCAGATGGGAACAATGCAGGACAGAGACAAATTAAGCCTCATGTCTTCTCATCATATGCTCTAAATAACTTATGACAAGTCATTTTTTAATTTTTGAAAGGATATACCATGTGTGATGAGTGTGAGAGTCAGATCAACAGTTTCCTTTAGACGTTGATTAAGGAAACATGGGGCAACCTGTGTCATAAGAGGAAACAAATGTTGTGATATTTCTCTCCGCTCACTCTTTGAAGGTTTAAAGCAAGTAGAAGACGGTGAGAGGAAGAGCAAAACAGACTAAAGAGTAAAAGAAATGAAGAATCAGAGATGGGAATTATTTACAGGAATGTAATTAACATGAAATGATGATTGAAAAGTGTATTGTGACCCATTGAGCATAGTAGAAAACAGCTCTGTGTTTGCATATTCTGCTCCTTCAAATGGCCATGACTTTTTTTGTTATTGGCATCAAAACAAGTTTATGGAGAGAAATATTTGGAATGCAGGGCTCGCCTTTGGGTTACAGGGAATGGCAGATTATAGCAAGTGCAAAGTGGTATCGGTGGCAACTCTTTATTTTGTTTTGTCATATTGTTTCTGCTCTTTTTGTCTTATATATCAGAGTTTTATTTTTTGTCTCTGTCTGCATAGTTCCATCTAAGAAAAAAAAATGCTTGCTCCTGTTAGACAAAGTACATGCTGAAACATAAACTGCTCCTCATGGATCATACATCGCATAATCATTAAATGTGTGGTCTGCAATCCCAAGTAATGTACCCGGTGCACATCGACCATCCTCATTTGAGAGTGTGTGCCGAGATCTTTCTCATGCAAACACCGAAAGTATGATATTCTCACACATTTACCCACTTCTCTGAAAAAGCACTGACTACTGTTAGGAGAAAAGGGACACAGTTGTCTCCTTACGGCCTAATTACACTCATCGTCTCTATACAGCACATCCAAAACTATCATCTTAACACTGGATGTGCAATCTCCACCCACTCCATGGCTGTGTCCCATCCTTGTCATCACATCCAGCACTCGCAGTGTCCACATAAAGATCTAGCTTACTGATATGTATTCAATGACAATAGTAAACAATGGTGCTGAAGTGTATACTAATGTTTGTAAATTATTTGAGACATGGATGTAAGTTTGCACTGTCATACATTTTGTGAGTCAAAGTTTTAGCTGTGTGCTGTGTGCTTGTTTTACTTTTGTGATTTTTTTTTCTTTTTGTTTCGATTCAAATTGTGTGTGAGAAGGTGTATTGACATGTTAACTGCTAGAAACTCCTTAAAAATACATGAGTAACCCTCATTTATTTGTCTTGTATATAGAACAAAACAATTTATCGCGCTCTGGTTGATGTCGAAGCTTCTCTCAGGACTTGAGTCCACAATGTTGTGTCTGATGGGAAAAATGAGAACCCTCTCTCTGCCTCACCTCTGTGCTCAAGAATCAAGAGGGCATTTCAGCAGCCAATAGCAGCGTCTTTGCCCCAACTTTGGTTCCATCTCTCTTGAGATGTGCCATAGAAACAGCACTCGACTCTGAGTTGATGTGCCATAGGCAAACACTGCCCTCCAGAGGGTCCATGTAGCACAGCACTAACTGAATGGATGCTGTGGTGAGGATACGATTTTCATACAATTTGTATAAAGGACAGGCTGGAAATCTGGGGATTATTTCGGTTTGTTTGGGAAATGGAAATGTCTTGTCTCATTTAGATCATCTAGAGAAGAAACGTTCATCATTTCCCCTTGGATTACAAACCACATTTTCTGCATATAACCTTACGAATGACTCTTTCCTTTTCAAAATCTGTCTACATTTCTTAATTTATGATGTAATTATAAGTATGATTTTTCTGTTTAAAGATGACTTTTATGTATCCTAATAGTTTTTCCATATGGCAAAAAAAGATGGATTTGAGGTGCTGAATCCACATGACACACACACACAGGTATAGTGATCTCCAACTGCCCAGGTGCTCACCATTCTGACTGAATTAGAGGCTGCCTGTTTAAAAAAGTGGAGTGAAAACAGGGTAATATACCATATCAAGTGATAGCAGATGGAAATGTGTGTGGATGAAAAATATAAAAATCCCACTTAGATACACACCTGCCACTGTTAACCTGTCTGTTTTTTCCTCATTTTTAATTCCTCCTTTGTCACCAGTGTCATGTAAAAAGGAAGTGTGCTCTTGGTATGTTGTGTGAGTTTTTGTGAATGGTTTGATTTATGACTGAAATGACATAGGAAAGAGGGAGTGGGTGCACAGTGTGTTAAACCTAAACGATGTGGACAGGGAACGAACGAGGCAGGGGACAAATTGTTATATATAGACAGTATATATAAAAAAGAAATTAAATGTATCATTTAAGTATAATAGAATATGCTTGTATTTTCCCATAATGTTGCTAGAACAGTTGCTCACCATTAGGATGTTTTAAATGAAAGGCATTGAATGTCTGGGGAGTTTCATATGTTTTTCTGTTGTGCCCTGAAATAATGGCAGCTTATTAACACTCGGGGGTTCGCCCATGTTACATCTCAATTAGTACACCCCTCTCCCCACCATAAAAAAAAAAAAGAAATATATAGTCATATGAAATTTGGTGTATCTGATATCTAAAGTATGGTGATTGTGCCTTTCACTATTTCTGCATGGTTTTTGTGATGTACCGATTTTTCATCCCCAAATGGGCAGATGTCCACTTACAGGCAAGACCTATGCAAGAATAATTGGATGGGTTTTCAAGCATCCATTCAGAAAATACAGGTACCCGCCAAAAAAAAAAAAAAAAAAAAAAAAAAAGGAAAAACAACAACAACAATAAATGCTCAGGTTCACACCTGAATCTTGTGTCATTATTTTTATGTGGGGCAGCAGGGGGGACACCTGGAGGATGTAAAGTATTTATCAATCAATCACATTTTATTAACATAGCGCCAATTCACAACAGTCGTCATCCCAAGATGCTTTCCAAAGAAAAAGAGCAGGTCTAGACCAAGGAAAAACTTCCTTTTAACATGCAGAAACCTTGGGTAGGACCAGACTCATGCCAGACAGCCACCAGGCCGCTGCTGGGTTGGGGAAGAATACAGAGAGATAAGGGAAAAGAGGGAGAGAGAGAGGGAGAGAGACAGGAGACAGCAGCAACATTAAAACAACAGCAACAACAAAAGCTCATGTAATGATGAAACAAAATGAATTCAGTTTACAGGGTTAGGATATGAGTAATTATGGACTATGTAAAATTAATTAAATGTGATTACAGTCAGCAGGCCTGATAGTAGTTGACTCTTGTTTTATGTTATTAATGTCAGTGAGGCTGATGATCATGTCTGCAGTAACAGTCCACAGGAACCCAAGAGAAGAAGGAGCTCAGGGCCTGAGGTGGACAATCATAAATGATGCAGCTGGAGTCAGGCAGGTCTGCAGCAGCCAACCGTCTGCAGCAGCCATCAGTCCAGAGCGACCTAGGAGACTGGGAGAAATGACTTCAATGTACAGGATAATGAAGTAACTAATTATGGACAATGCTAAATTAATTCAAGGTGATTAAAGTTGACTTTCAATGGCAGTTTACTCTAGTTTTATTTTATTGATGTCAGTTAGGCTGACGTACGTATCTGCAGCAGCTGTCCAGAGGAACCTAAGAGATGGAGGAGCTCAAGGCCTGAGGTGGACAATCAAAGATGATGCAGCTGGGGTCATGCAGGTCCACAACAGACCGTCTGCAGCATATTTAGGATCTCTGGACATGTGGCAGTATAAAAAAAAAATACAAAGAATCCACACAAGTAATTCTGGCTTTCCAAATAAAGTAAATGAAAAGTTGCTATGTATTTAAAAAAAAATCTGGTGACAGTAGCAGGAGTTGAAGAGGTCATCATTTAATCTAAAGTGTCAAACAACTTAGTTTTCAGATCATTTAAGTTTTAAAGTCTGTACAAATGTAGTGTTATAACAGTCTGTAGAGCTACAAATAAAAAAATGCTAATAAAAAAACGGATCCATGCAGTGCTGCATGAGGTGCAGTCATCACCTGTGACTTTATTACCATTACAAACACACCTGAGACAGGTACATGCACGTTTTCTTATGGTAAAATAACTTATACGCACACATCACTTCCGGCCCCTGCCTATCATTTCAAAATAAAGGTATTATGTCCCCCCAAATATCACATTTTGTGAAGTTGAAACACCACTGCCTAGTTTTAGTTTTTATTCCATTAAAAGTCAATACAGGAAAAGTAAAGTATGCATAGAAGGGTAAAGTAAGTCAGTCATCGGAATATTATGCAAATACCATTTTCAATCAATATGGGTTGGGTGATTGCTTACACAACAAAGAACAATATGGGTTTATGGAATAAGGGGGTGAAATAAAGTAAGCAAAGCAGGAAGGGAAATGCATGACTGTGTGCAGGCCTTTATTGTATATGATCAGGTGGATTTAAATAAAGTAGCTATTATGAGTGCCAGGACATGTTGATGTTACAGACTACAGATCTTAAGCCGCCTACTTAATAGGTGGAGCAATAAGAAACTCATTAGGTCATGGAAATAACACAGGTTTGTAACTGGAGCCGGTATTCTGCTGACTTGCTGTAACCTGTCTGTCCACTTCTTTAACAAATATTCCTCGGGGAGGCCAGTGTCCATAGGGAGTTTCCTTTTCAACAATCATATTTCTGGTTTGCAGCAGCTGAGCATAAACGCGGATTTGATCATCAAACGAAGGATATCAGATTAAGAGGACCTTCATGGGCCCAACGCCATTAACTGTGAAGTAAGTCTGATATTGGTATGTCGACGACAACACACCCGTTCGCTGCATTTCCCTCGATGGTGCATGTAATTTAGGGATATTGTCTACTATGTCAGTTGCATAAAGGGATTAAGGATTGCTCATGGTGTCCTGGTTTTAAGAAACAAACGTTTAATATCCTGTTAGCTGAGTCCCTCTGACAAGTCTTACCGGTTATCCGAAGATGTAAAGTGAAGCTAACTTCCCTTACTGTCGTGTGGCGTCGTGATTCAGGAGCTGTTGTAGTCTTGGTGACGGAGAGCTGCACCTTACTTCAAGTCACCTGAAATACACCGTGTGGGATGATTTCTTTCTGACTACACGTATTTTTCCGACATTGGTAAGTGAAATGACGACGTATATTTGAGTATATTTCTCGCAGGCTTGTCATGACGGCTAGAAAGATGTGCTAGCTTGTGCCAGCACGCGCAGGACAGTTTCAAGACCCTCCTTGTTGGATTAAAACCACCAAACTCTTCATTGCTGAGAACATTAATTGTAATTGGATGACAAATTGTATCACTGCCTGTCTGTGTCCTCACACACAGACAGAGGGTTTAAGTGTTTTGACATGTCAATATTTGCGGTAGGATTTATCGGCTGAATGTGGTGACTACGTAAGGTAAACAGGAGTGTACAGCATCTAATGTTTGGTATATCCCTGTCTACAGAAATGCCTCATTGAGAACAAGTTGACCTGCATTTATATCGCCTGGGGTCACCATACATGAGTGGAAAAATGCAGCATCACCAGATCTTCATACCCGTGCCCTGACTTGTGTTAATTCAAAGAGAAGAAGCCGATGTGACTGGGAATAAAGGCACCTTGGCTTAAATCTTCGACACCTTAAAGACACTAAATAAAGCTTGAAAGACAGAGAGTAGCCATGCACAGCCCTGAAATAGTGGCAGGCTATCCAAGTGGATGTGCGGCGGATAAAGACGCAAACCCGGAGACAACCTTGGGGAGCGCCTACTCCCCCGTGGACTACATGAGCATCACCAGCTTTCCGCGGCTGCCAGAGGATGACATGCAGTCCGGGGAAAACACCCTGAAATCTCGTAAGGATGATGACAACGTCCTCAGCGAGCAAGATACAGGTGAGCAAAGTCAGATCAAATTGTCACAACAAGTTGAGATTGTTTAGGTTCCCTGCGTGCACATGGAGAGACTGTGTTTTAAAGGCAACTCTTCAAGTAGGGGAGAGTGGGGTAAGTTGAGCCACCCCCTGTTGCTTGGAAATGGTAAAAGAAATTGATCATGTGACCAAATATTTAGGAGATGGGCATCAATTCATGGAGTCTGTGAAGGTTAGAAGCTCATGGGTGAGGGGGTCTCAACTGGTGTCACTCTGGGACCCACATTTTCCCATTGTCCCATTTTTATAAAATTCAGAACAAGAAAATGTATTTTTGTGTGAAGAAAACCTTTATAATGGACTCAAATCTTTGACATAAATACACATATTTTATTGAGTAAAGTGCAGTCCAGAGCACACAAACTGAGGATGACATCTACAATAGTTGTGTACACAGAAAATATTAAATTGCACACAATAGAAACCAGCAAAAGGAAAATTTTGACTTGCATCTCTGCATTCAGAGCATTTTCAGAAGAACCCGAGGAGGACAAGCGTGGATAAATTTCAAATTGCACAAAATAAAGACCATAAAAAAACGTGTAATTCAACTGCATTCAGACCACATTAATAAAACACTGAGGAGGACATAATGCATGCCTTTCAAAAGAAGCTATTTTACAAAATAAAAGACATATCAAACATCAGATGCGCATTAAATATTTACTTTTTTGACCAGCTGTTCGCGACCCATCCAGAACGTTTCCGCGACCCACTTTTGGGTCAGGACCTACCAGTTGAGAACCGCTGGATTGGACATTTATTTCCACAACATCTTAAAATATATGCAGATTTACTACTTAGAGACAAAACTATGATTGTCTTGATGTAGTGATCCGAAATATGAAAAATGGCTCATCGTACCCCATTTCCCCTACTGTTTTTTTCCACATTGTTGTTGTTGTTTTTATATTATTATTTTTTTCACTTTGCCTGATGTTAGATTTACTTTTAGGAAAAGTTGCTTTGTGTCATAATTTTATTGATGTTAAAAAAGTTTCTTAAACTACCATTCAGCCATTGCAATAATAAGAATTAGAACAGTCACAGCTTCCCTACAGTGCCTTGTTTTTTGCCAATAACTCCACAACCAATGGATATTCAGCTAACCCTGACAGAGAGTAAAAGGAAGAGATCCTGTATTTGCAAAGTGAGATCCAGATGATTCATCCAAATCAATTTGGAAAATAGTCCCTTGAAAACTTTTAATAGTGCACATGCATTTGGAAAAAAAACTTTTATCCACCCCTTATCAACAAAGAGATGTGAGATAAGATGCAGTTTAAGGGATTGTTATTTTTCTGTCCTGTTCCGTTCAATCAAAGTTTATCTTTTTTTTTGTTTAGACCCAGATCAGTTTCTGAAGTCAGCTCGCCTCCAGCGTCTCCCCTCCTCAGCTTCAGATCTTGCTAGCCATGATTTAGCATCCTTGCGAGAGACTACCAGAGACCCCTTTACAGAAGAGTGCGCCTGTCAGCGTGATGGGTTGACAGTCATCATCACGGCATGTCTTACCTTTGCCACGGGAGTCACAGTAGCTCTCATCATGCAGATCTACTTTGGAGACCCTCAGGTACGGCTGTTGTGACAACCTCTGTACCACAGTGGTAACTCCTTTTCAATTGATATTGGGTCTGAGCTTCATTCTCCTGTTGATCTCAAGGTCTTTAACCAAGGGGCAGTGGTAACAGATGTGGCACAGTGTACGTCCCTGGGCTTTGACATCCTCGGTAAACAAGGGTCTAGTGTTGACGCTGCCATCGCTGCTGCCCTCTGCTTAGGCATTGTCCACCCTCATACCTCTGGCATTGGCGGGTGAGTGATTAAAACATACAAACCTTTTGTTAGCAGGATCACCACTTAGGTTTCTTTACTTGGTTGAACATGACACCAGCTTTGTGCTCTATTCATGCGCAGAGGTGGAGTTTTGTTGGTGCATGACATCCGAAAGAATGAGACGAGGGTTATCGACTTTAGAGAGACGGCACCTTCTGCAATAAACGATGAGTTGCTGCAGAGGAACCTTGACATTAATGTAAGTTTTTTTATTTCAGTGACATGTTTATAAAAAGATTGAAAAATCGTTTGTTTCCGTTTGCTTATCGTGTACACTCTGTTACTGCTGTTGTGTTTCAGCCGGGTCTGCTTGTGGGAGTACCAGGCATGCTGAGTGGGCTGCACCAGGCACACCAGCTCTATGGCAGGTACAGTTACCGTCATATAATACTACCTATTTACATTTCTTCACTCTCCCCCGTATCATGTGATAAGTCACCTTAAAGGAAGTTACTGGATATTCTACATTCCTTCATTCTTTGGTGTGAGCTGTTTTGTTGTATGCTCTTAAAAGACAATGTATTTTATCATAAAAAACACAAAGTAGAAGTTAGGATTCGAGTATTATGAAAAATATCATGTAGAAATCCACTTTTCTGTGCACAGAAAGCCAATATTCACTGTTATTTAAGACAGTTACATGTTTAAGATGAACCTTTAACGAACTGTTGAAAGCAGAAAATACACTAAGTCTTAGAATATGGCTGATATTTATGTCAAAGGCTATAATAAGAAAGAATCTGTATTTATTGGGTTGATTATGTCTAAAAGCTATTTATTGACCAACCTATCAATTGGTGTCTCTCTAGTTTAAAGGATTTGGATCTCAATGTGGAAGATTCGTCAGCTGTGTGAAAAAGAGAGGACACTGTTTTTAAAGCCATAGTGCCAGGATGCAATTACTCTACTCTGTAATTATCTTGACTCTGGTGTCTCAGCTGCTAAGACAAAGATGCCCGAGCTTACTCGCTTTTACCATGCAAGGCTACAAAGTGCAATTCAAAACAATTTGTATTTTTTCACTGTAGCCTCTGAGTATTTATTTATACTTTGTTGCATTTCCTCACTAATTCAGTCTTTTATGACTGTTTGTTTCCCCAGGATCTCTTGGAAGGATGTGGTTACCATGGCAGCAGATGTGGCCAGAAACGGATTTAATGTCACTCATGACCTTGGTAAATATGAAACAAACAAAACCAGAGGGGGAAGTGGCTTTGACTTGTAGCCACGCACCTGCCATTCAAAACAACAACACTCTAAAACATGACAAGATGAGCAATGATCTTTCTTCTTCTTTCCTCTCTTTGTAGCTGAAGCTCTGACGAAGGCAAGAGATCAAAACATGTCGGACGCGTTTCAGGATTTGTTCCTCCCAAACGGCCAGGCTCCCCTTTCAGGGCTGTTCTCCAGACGTCTCGATCTAGCAGCCATCCTGGATGACGTCGCAGTAAAGGGGATATCTGAGTTCTATCGTGGGAATCTGACGCAGGAAATGGCAACAGCAGTAAGAAATAATGTTATTTTGTTTTTTGCAAGATGACTTCTACATGGGTCCTGTCAACATCCAGTATTACCCCATATTTAATAGTGTCTGGTGTATTTAGATGTTTAGATGCTAGATAAATTCAAGTAGCTGTGTCTTTGAACAGTTGTCTGTGATTTTTAATGACTGAAGATCACACAAGATCAATACTTATTTTCAGGATGGACTCTAAACTTGTTTTGAAGTTGATATTTAGTCAAAAACATACTGTGACATTTAAATTTTGTCTTCTTTTACTTCATAAATTAGATTTGAGAATTTAAAGGCATCGTTTTTTGTTTTTTTAAAGGTGCAAGCAAAAGGCGGAGTGCTCACAGAGGATGACTTTGCCAACTACAGCACAGTGTTAGAGCAGCCAGCAGAGATCGCCTATCAAGGTAAATATCTCTGTTAAATACTAACTAAAGAGCTGTCCTTGAATAACCCATGAAACTTATCAGACCTAAAAACAGATGCAAAGGCGTCTTGATCTTTTTTTTTTACACAAGGAACTTTGTCAACATTCACCTCCGAGCTGCTTCCCTTAACCTGAAGTTAGCCAGTGATTAGTTTTAACCCCCTGTTGAAGCTCGGTTTACAGGAGTTTATGGAAGGTAATAACTACCAGCATTCATTTCAGCTGCCTGTCCAAAAAAAGAAAATCTCTGACAGTATTTACTGTTTAATCATTAAGACGTAACAATCTAAACAACCTTACAATGCTTGATTTTGAGATGGAATGTGGCTAGACGATTTCTGATGTAACCTCAGGTTACTGAGAGCATCTCAGGTCTGATGCCACACCTTTTTCTTGCTCCAGTTGAAAAAATATTGCCTCATGTTAATGTTTCAAGACTTGCAACATGGCATTTATGCAAATTTCCACCTGATCTCTCATGTATGTTTTCTTTTGGTGTATGCTTGTAATGCTTTCTCTTTAGTCCTGACTCATCTTAAGAGTAGGCGACGTTGCATGAAGAATCTGTGGAAATCTTGCTAAATATACATCTCACTCTGAAAAACAGCAAATTATTGAAAAAGGTGTCCCTTTTTCGAACAAAGAAAGCAGCTTACCCCATTTATTGATATAGATTTTTAGGACTATAATATCTGTATTTGAGAAGATGGACAATGAGTAGAGCAGAAATCGGAGAAAGTGGGGTGTGACATACAAGGAAGGGACGGCATGATATGATTGAGCTTGCTTCTTGCTTAAGAAAGCATCGGTACACGAAGCGCAGCCCCATAAACTGACATTTTTAGGCCGAAAACTGTGTGTAACGAACTGAAAGGTGTTCATAGCACCACCTACTGTTCCATATCAGAACTTAAACCTCACAAGTCACAGAGGAAAGAGCTGACAGATTAGGACTTATCTTTTTTATGGAATCTATGTTAAAAAATAAGGCAAAGTCCTCTGAAGTATTTGTCTAAGTATACTTTAAATCTGCTTATTTTCTATTCAGCTCCATTATATGACACCACCACTGAATTGTTAGTTATTTTATTTGTGTTGTTTTCAAAGGACACCATGTGATGACAGCACCAGCTCCACATGCAGGTGTTGCTTTGATCACCGCCCTCAACATCCTGGAAGGCTATAACATCACCAGCCAGATGCCAAGAAACAGCACGTACCACTGGATTGCAGAGGTGCTATTCTGACTGCTGTACAAAAAAAGGGAACAAATAAGATTCTCCTCTTGACTTAGACTTAAATGCTAACTTTGATTTTCTCTCCCAGGCTGTGAAGATTGCACTCGCTCTGGCCAGTAAGCTGGGAGACCCCGCGTATGACCCTTCTATTTCTGAAACGGCTGCCAAAATGCAAAGGTACAGATCCCTGCTGTTGTCTGAAATATATGACTTGAATATTGGTCATGGACCCAGGCCTTTATTTTATTGAACTATGCCTTTTGTTTGTTTCCTCTCCAAGTAAATCCGAAGCTTCCCTTCTCCGCCAAAAGATAAGTGACTCCAAGGCTTTCCCTGCTAGCCACTACACTCCATCATTTACCTTGGAGAAGGGTGCTACAGCTGCACAAGTCATGGTCATGGGTCCAGATGACCACATCGTGTCAGTTATGAGGTACATTATGCTTCAATTGAGCTACATTTGAACAGCGTTTTGTGTCTCTGGAGATTTCGAACTAAAACCTGTTTATTTCTTGTGGCTGACTCAGCTCTCTAAATAGACCATTTGGCAGTGGAATAGTGACTCCTTCAGGAATCCTTTTGAACAGCCAGATCCTGGACTTCTCCTGGCCTAATAAGACCCAAAGCTCATCACCTAACCCAGTAATTTTGCATTTTGTCTTCATTTAATCAAGTTCTAAATGTACATGTACGTCTGATAGCAGCTATAAGCCCTCAAGACTTAACGTGTTGGTTTTCTGCAGCACAACAGCGTGCAGCCTGGAAAGAGGCCAATGTCCTTCCTGATGCCTACCGCCGTGAGGCCTGCAGTGGGGTTATGTGGCACATACGTAGCTGTTGGATCATCGAATGGAGAAAAAGCTCTCAGTGGAATCACACAGGTAGATGTTTTTATCGGCGTCTTCTTGATTTTGAATTGTTTCCTGTCCTATAAATTCTACTGTTGTGTGAACAATGATATTTGATTAATACGTGTTTTTATTCAGCTTCGCTTATTCAGTTTCTGATCCTCCTCAGGTGCTGATGAATGTTCTGTCATCACGCAAAAATATGAGTGACAGCCTAACATATGGAAGACTCCACCCACAGCTTCAGCCAAACACCCTTCTGGTTGACTGTGAGTTTTTCTCTTAATCCATCATACGCTCATTTCTTTCTTTCTTTCATCTTTCTTTATCTCAAACTTTAAGAACAACAAAAAAAAACAACTAGAAACAAAAACACCAAACAAAATAATACATATGTACACCAAACAACTGTACGTGTCAAAGATAAATTAACACAACATATGTATGTCAAAAATAAACTGTTTGAGAAAGAACAGAATGAAGCGAAGAGCTTACCTAGTCCTGACTCTTCCTTGCAAATTAGAGATTTAAAAAAAGAAAAAAATCTATTTGTATAAATTAAATTAAACAAAGATCTGTATAAATACAGATATTTTATACACAAAGATACCTGCTCAAACTCAATAGGTTACTTATGATAATTACTTGCATATTGTAATAATAATAATTAGTGTTAAAATATATGGAATTAATATTACTTTTATGCGTCAAGTATATCTAGTATAAAACCATATTTTTGGTTAATTTACTTGTATAATTCTTGTAATATTTATATAATAATAATATATCCAGGCTGTTCCAGAGCTTAACACCTCAAGCAGAAATGCACAAATACAAATAAATTTATGTTCCCCCCTTAGATTATAGAAAAATATATATAAATATAGAAAAAATAAATAAATATAGAAAAATACGGTAATTAACCTTGCTCATTTACATGCTAATTTGAGTGCTAACTTTCCAAGTGTGTTCATCAGATCATCACACTCTCTCCTGCTGTCTCTTCCTCTCTCGCAGCCGAGTTTTCAGAAGAAGGCGTGGAGCTGCTGCAGGCCAAAGGTCACAAGGTGGAGAGGACGGAGATCCTCTCATTGGTTGAAGGCACCCGCAGAACTAATGACCTCATCATTGGGGTGAAGGATCCTCGAAGTGCTGATGCCTCTGCCCTCTCAATGTCCAACATGCCATAGTGTGTCCCTTATTCCCGTAATACTAACACATAATGAAGAAGTGACAAGAGTAACACTGTGTGATTAATGTTTAGTGCTGAAATAAGGAAACTGCTCAACTGATTGACAAAAGCATAATTTTAAGTAAAAGTACACTGCTACTTAGAAGACATGGAGCTTTTAGGTGATAGGATATGAGACTGCAGTTGTATATTTCTAAAGACAAAACCGACAGGATCACCATCTCACAATCTGTTCATGATGTTCACTCACAGAGTTGTACCTCAATTCCTCTATGGCCCATATTACAGTGAGAACAGCATAGAAATGCAAAGCGTGTTCATTTATTTATGTCTGATGCATTCAGGTTTAGCACATTAAATTAATGCAGGTTAGATTATTGTACATTCTTTTGTTGGGATATTTGAAAAAGAAAATGTAATAGCTTTCAAAGCTTTGAGTGGCAGCTAGTCTCTGCCCTGTGAGGTACTCTGAATAGTCTTTCCCTAAATACAGGGTCTGACATTTGGAAAGAAGTGTATGTAACGAACAAACTGACCTTGAATAAGAATTGTTATTTCAAAACAACTCTGAAGATTGCTCGGAAATGTCAACTGTAATCATATTTAGAAAGACTAGCACTTTCATACCTGAACTTGACTAACATCACAGCTATAGACTGTATATAGTATATACAGTCTATGATCACAACTCAGTGGCTCAACCATCAAGCCTGCCTCTTATGGTGTGTAAATGTGTTAGATGTTGTTTGGTACAGCTGCTGTTTTGTCTGTGGTTCCTTTAGACTAACACAAAATCATAAATCATACAGAAATATGGTAAAATTCTCACATCTGTCAATATCCCTAAGCAAGGGGATTAGTTGAACAGGTGTTATTATTACTGGCAGAGTAATGGTATTTAAATGTATAATTTATTTGTCGCATGGCTTGTGTTCATTTAAAGCTGTGGCCCACACTTTTTACACATAGACCAGGGAGTCTTGTTTTTACATACGTAATGATCAGATTCTTGAAAGATGGATTGAATGCAGTCTGTCTATTTTTATATTATCAGTTGGGCTGTATGCATTTTCTACTGTTGTAACAACATCCATTCAATGAGCACACTTTAAAAGGCTTCTATGTTTATTTTTTGTGAATTGTTTCATAATGTAAGGACAAATATTTGAATATAATATTCAAATATTTGAACCAACAGATTTAGACAGCCAGTGCTGACTAATCAAATGTGTTTCAGCCGTATTGCCTCAATTGTTGGGCACTAGTGCAATATGACTGTTGATGCTTGTTTCTTGTACCATCGAGTACCATGCCTTGGGCACACATTTGCACAACACCTGATATTTGATCTCATGTTTATGTGTATTTTTTTTTAATTAAAATCAACACTGACCATATTCAAGAAATAAAACATTTGCACACACCCTGACACTTTAAAAAGTCTGCTTTTTGGTAGTCCATTCATGTACATTTGCTTGGATGTTACTTTAAAGCAGTGGTTCACAACTGGTGGGTCCCAACCCAAAAGTGGGTCGCGGACATGTTCTGGATGGGTCACAATCAGCTGGTCAAAAAAGTAAATATTTAGTGCGCATCTGATGTTTGACATGTCTTTTATTTTGAAAAATAGCTTCTTTTGAAAGGCATGCATTATGTTGTGGTCCTCCTCGGTTTCTTATTAATGTGGCCTGAATGCAGTTAAATTACATGTTTTTATGGTCTTTATTTTGTGCAATTTGATATTTATTCACTTTTGTCCATGCTGTTGCATGGTCCTTCTCAGATTCTTCTGAATATGCTCTGAATGCAAAGATGCAGATAAGCCAATGTTTTAATTTTGCTGGTCTCCATTGTGTGCAATTTGATATTTGATATTTTCTGCATAAGTAACTTCAGTAGTTGTCGTCCTCAGTTCATGTGCTCTGAAATGCACTTTACTTAATAAAATAGGTGTATTTATGTCAAAGATTTGAGTCTTTAAAGGCTTGTTTAATAAGAAATAAGTTTGCTTGGTTTGAAATTTATAAAAGTGGGTCGCTGGGACCCTGAGAAAATGTGCGTCCCAGAGCGAGACCAGTTGAGAACCACAGCTTTACAGGGCTTGAAAATACAAACTTGGACTGTTCAGATATTTGGACGAGTGACTTGATGATTGATTGTGAAACTGAGCTGTTATATTTTACAAATTCCACATTTTTTTTTTGTAACATGTAGTTGTAAGGAATATGTTAGTGAAGAGACGTAAACATTTAACTCATGTTTTTCTTGAGTCCAAGGACTATACAGAACATTAGATGCCCATGGAAAACTCAAATTGACAGATGTGTGTGATGGAACGATAATTTTACTAAGATATAGTTTGGTGGAACTTTTCTTAATGTAACCTTTTTATAATGAGTCATTCTATAATTAGGGGTACATGTCATGTCCATGGACTGTATTTTTCAATTCCCCCCCCACCCCCCCATAACTCTAAATTCAGTGTAATGTGAGTTTATGTTGAAAAAGGTTGCAATCTACATCATAGTATCCCATAACATCACCATTATGAAGCTCAAATTTCACATTTTTAAATCAGTTGGACAGATAAACTCAAAACCCCAGGTGTATAGACTTGTAGATTTGTCCGTAACACAGTTGACAAAATGATAAGTCAAATGTTCATTTTCATAAAAGTGATTTAAAAGTCATTTGAGCTTAAGCTTGCCAATTAATTGATTTAGCACATTAAGGGTGTATATCATAGAAACATCTAGTTTATTTATCGAAAAAGAATACTGATATTTTGAGTTTTTGGTCGACCTGAAATGTACCCCTAATTGGAGAATGATTCTAGTACTTCTTTTTTGTGTCTCGAGGGGACGCTTCCCCTTCTTCCTCAGTCGGGCCTTTTATTTTGAAAAATACCGGAAGTAGTGTCGTTGTTCTGCTAGCTTGATACCAATTTTACTGACTTGCTTGTGATTCATGTTTTGTTAGCTAATCTGGCTAGCAGATGTCGACTGACTGAACTTGTCTTCAGATGAATTTATGTGGTAAGGCTTTTGCGTATTCATGCCTTTTCCCCCTCTGGTGATATTTAGCCGGTTGGAGCCCATAAACCGGAAAGGTAATACGTTATGTTTTAAGGCAGGCATATTGAATAACAGGAGTGCTACGAACCTAGCCTAGCTAACGTTTGCTAACTGGAGCTCTCGGAGGACCTCTAAGGACCCGCCTTGCTGTTAATATTTATTCTTATAGAGACAGCGGACTGTTACGTGACTTATGCGTGATGTTAATTTAACCTTTAAAATGCACAGTCACATAAGGTAAGGGATGTCCATGATCTCTTTACCGACTTTATTATGAAATCGTTAGCTTACGTTTGCGCCGAGGCCCGTGCTACTGCAGGGCCAGTCATTTTAAACAAGCTGATCGTCGTTTATCACACTGGATATACTCAATGTCAGGATATCTGATACAAATGAAAACCATGTAGCAATTAAAATATTACAACCATCAGTTTCTTTTAGGGTCTCTTTCATGCCTGTTGTTATTTTAAGCATCACCAGTCGAGGTGATGTCACCGACGTACAGGTGTGTTGTTAACGTTGAGGTTGTAATGTCAGTCACGCAGGTTTTGTTTGCCTGTACCTTATTCTGCTTACATTTTCATCACTCAATTTACTGTACACATCGACCAGTCATTACATTATGAGCGCCGAGGCAATCTAATGCAACAGCCTCATTATGCTTTCTACTTTCAGGAAGCTTCTTAATTTCAAGGTTTTGAGCCATGATCAGAACGGTTGTTGCTATTATTATTATGATTATTACTATTGCTTTAGATTTGTTGTTAAAGACTTAGTGAGAGGAGACACTGTGTGTCCAGTTAGGGGCTTTTCTGTGATTTGTCCATATTATTAGCAAACTTTGGAGGAGCAAAATACCAGAAGCAGCTTTCATTGATGCAGTCCAGTACATCACCTACCACAACTTCAGTGGTCGGTTTGGAGAACATTTATTACCAGTCATACCAAGTCAACAAAAAAGTGACTATGAGGAAGTGTAACTGTTGTACTGGGTTGCATGTAGGGCTGGGCGATAAAATGATAACGACATAGCAGGGTCTTCCCTACATGCAATTGATTGTGGCGCGCGGCCGTGGCAGCGCCACAGCTGAAAAAAATTCTAGGGAAAACACTGTATAGATCGAAAAATAATTTCTCTCAAGATCAATATAAAACACGGTCAATATGCTTTTCGATAGTCGGCATTCTGCAATGTTTGGGTAGATTATACAAATAGCTAATGAAAAGGGGAGTTGCCCCAGGTCTGCTTCGTGCTGAACCAATCATGTGCTGAAATAGAACCAAGTAGCAAACAACTGCTATGTCGAGTACGTGTTCTCACAAAGTTGGGGTATACCTCAAATCTTTTTCCCCACCTGAAGCAATGCCACGTGGCAGAGCACACGCAATGCAAAAGGTTACAAACTCCAGTGCAGTCTGCTTTCTTTAGTGCAACGCCTTGCGACAATACATCGAAGAGACACAAAGACCTCACAGATGCAGTAGCTTATTGTATTGCAAAAGACATGCTTCCAATAAGCACTGTTAAATTTCATTCTTTATATTGTGATATTGATATCGACTGACATGAAAAAAATATATTGTGATAAACTTCTTCCCACATCGCCCAGCCCTAGTTGCATGAGATCACCCAGGTGGCCATTGTTTTATGGCTGATGGATGTAGTGCGACTTACTTGACAGTGTCTAACAGCAAAATGCAGATTTTGTTTGATCATGTCTTATGCAATGCTTGCAGCTTATATTCTATAACTGTGGCGAACAATATCTATACAGTCAGTTTCCCATCAACTACATAAGTCAGGTTGTACTTCTATAGTAATTTTGAGTTTCGACTGTGACACCTGTGTGACTCTAGGTACCAATGTAATGAACAAGTTGTCTTTTTTTTATCTTGGTAACAATTTCAGCATAAAACGGTTCAAACGCCACTCCTAGTGAAAGAGGAGAATGGCACATCAACATAGTCCACCCCAGCTGCCCCATAGGACGGAGCACCTGGAGCCTGATAATGATTCCGACAAGGACTCTGGTGTTGGGGAGGATGCAGGGGAGGATGCTGACGGTTGCCATGGAAGCACAGTAACAGAAGATGAGAAATTCAACAAGCAAGATGGCACAGAAGAAAACATGGAGGAAGGGGGGGATTTTAAGGTTTTTGTTGCTTTTCAAGGGAATATGGAGGACGAGGACTTCACACAGAAACTTGAAACCATCCTCAACGGCATACCTAACATGCTTGATATGGGTTAGTTTATATTTCTTCAATTCTCATTTAATTTTAGAAAAAAAAATGCCCACACTTACTGACAGAAGGGAGCTGCCCAGTACAAATATTCACTTCACAGCTCCTGCTGTTAACTTCAGCACAATAATCGCATTGAATTGTTGGAGCTATCTATATTTTATCAGGTACTGCATTCAAAGTAATGTGATTAACTCGCAACAATGCAACCAAACACAACAACATTTTTTAAGATGCGAGTTCACAGACATATCTTGGTTAATATCTTTGTGCACATACCACTAGAGGTATATCTAGTTTCTTTGTTATGGAAAATATAGTATTGCAAATGATTCGCCAAAAAACATACTATGATTCCTTGTGTTTAGTTACCTTTTGTATATTTTAAGCCAAGATATCGTGTTTTTCATCACCCTGCTACTCAACCAATATTTTGTGCAGTGCTTTCATCTAATTTCCATTCATTGTCACACCTTTAGGCTCTCAACAGCTACAGCCACAACACGTGGAGCCATGGAACAGTGTTCGGGTTACCTTCAACATTCCTCGGGATGCTGCAGAGCGGCTCAGAGTGTTGGCCCAGAACAACCAGCAGCAGCTCAGAGACCTGGGGATTCTCTCTGTGCAGATTGAAGGTATCCCCATGCCACAAACTGCCTACTATTTAAAAACAAATGCCAAAGGCAGTGTTCAGACGAAGGGAGACAGAACAAACCTTTTTATAGACTGTTAGCTGTAAATATTCTGTCTGTTGGTTTTCAGGGGAAGGGGCCATCAATGTGGCTGTGGGACCAAATAGAGGACATGAGGTCAGAGTTAATGGACCAATTGGAGCACCTGGACAGATGAGAATGGATGTTGGCTTCCCAGGTCAACCTGGTCCAGGTATTGGCTCACTGGATTGATGAAAGTAGAAATACAAATATGAAGAAGGTGTATTTCATTGAATTATTTTAGGAAAATTGTTTTTGATATTTCTCTTTTAATTTATGGTTAGTCGAGTATGTCTTTGTCATTGAGTTTCTTATTTTCAGTCTGCATTATTTTATTCATTTCTCAAGTCACTTGAAAATATTCGGTTTTTCCTTTTGCTATTACTATTTAACGTACATCCATTTCTTCAAGGAGGAGTAAGGATGCCTAATCCATCAATGGTTCCCCCTGGGCCTGGCATGGCAGGTCAGGCTATGGTACCGGGCAGCAGTGGACAGATGCATCCTCGTGTTCCCAGACCCCCTTCGCAGACGGGTATGTTTTTTTTTTGTGTGTGTGTGTGTGTGTGTGTCAAATGAAACATGTCATGATTCTTACTATCTTACATTTGGATAGTAAAATAACAGGGGAGTTATCTCCTCCACTCTCACAGATGTGATGGATCCAATGATGCCAGGTATGTCAGTTCAGCAGCAACAGCAACTTCAGCACCAACAAGCTGGTCCCCATACCTCTGGCCAGATGCCCCCTCAGGCTGCTCATCACATGCAGACTCTACAAGCTGGAAGACCTCTCAACCCTGCAGCTCTGCAGCAGCTACAACAACAGCATCACCAACAGCAACAGGCCCAGCAGCAAGCTCAGCTCTCCCAGCTTGGACCTCGACCTCCATTCAACCCATCAGGCCAGATGGCCGTGCCGCCAGGCTGGAACCAGTTGCCCCCGGGAGTCCTCCAGCAACAAGCTGCACAAGGAGGCCCTGCATGGAGAAAACCACCACCGCAAGGCCAGATTGTTCAACGCCCACCTTCTCTCGCTACAGTTCAAACTCCCAGCCATCCTCCTCCTCCTTACCCATTTGGCAGTCAGCAAGCTGGGCAAGTGTTTAATGCCATGGGACAGGGACAGTTACAGCAGCAACAGCAGGCAGGAGTAGGTCAGTTTGCCACCCCCCAACCGAAGGGTCCACAGGCTGGCCCCGGTGGGGTTGCAGGGTCACCTAGAGTCCCTCCACCCCTTCCACCAACATCTGGGTCACAAGGCAACCTTACTGCCAAGTCCCCTGGTTCCTCCTCGTCTCCCTTTCAGCAAGGTTCACCAGGGACTCCTCCGATGATGGCTCAGAGACCCACAACTCCACAGGGGTTTCCCCAGGGTGTTGGTTCTCCAGGAAGAGCAGCCCTCGGCCAACAGGGTAACATGCAGCAAGGGTTCATGGGTATGCCTCAGCATGGACAGCCTGGGGCCCAAGTTCACCCAGGTAGGTTGTTGTCGATATCTGTTACTCGTTAAATGGAAAAATAAAAAAAAAGAAAGGAGATAAAGAAAATCACATTTTCTGGTGTGATACAAAGCTTGTGATGTTGAGGTTCAACTAAATTTTGTACTTGACTGTCTACAGAAACTTATTAATATAACAATTATTAATGACAGGCATGCAAAAGCGTCCCATGGGCTACCCAAACCCAAACTTTGTCCAAGGTCAGGTCAGTGCTAGCACACCAGGAACCCCAGGTGGAGGAGCCAATCAACAGTTACAAAACAGCCAAGCAATGACTCACACAGGTAAAATGTCTTCAAAGCTGCAAAGTTTAGTAGGTAGTAGTTTTTGTCTTTTTTGGGAAAGTTCATATATGGTTTGTTGTTTTTTTTTCTTTTTGCCTTTTACATCAGGAGCCCAGCCACCATCTTCTACACCGAACTCCATGCAGGGACCACCCCATGCCCAGCCCAATGTAATGGGTGCACAGAGTAGCATGGCAGGTGTGCCCCCTGGTACAACTGCTGGGCCCATTATGGGACAGCCACAGCCTGGCCTCCAGACCCAGATGATGGGCCTCCAGCATCAGGCCCAGCCCGTGTCCTCCTCCCCCAGCCAGAAGGTTCAAGGCCAGGGTGGAGGTCAAACTGTCCTCTCAAGGCCCCTGAGTCAAGGGCAGAGAGGAGGAATGACCCCACCCAAGCAGATGATGCCTCAGCAAGGCCAGGGGGTGATGCATGGGCAGGGTCAGATGGTTGGAGGCCAAGGGCACCAGGCCATGCTTCTGCAACAACAGCAACAAAACTCCATGATGGAGCAAATGGTTGCCAACCAGATGCAAGGCAACAAGCAGGCATTTGGAGGCAAGATTCCTGCCGGGGTCTTGCCTGGACAGATGATGCGAGGCCCCTCTCCAAATGTACCTGGAAACATGGCTCAGTTTCAGGGCCAGGTTGGCCCACAGCAGATGACTCCACAACAACAGCAACAGCAGCAAATGGCTCAACTTCAACAACAGCAATTACAACAGCAGCAGCAGCACCAGTTGCAACAGCAACAACTCCAGCAGCAGCAACAACAGCAGCAACAACAACAACATCAGCAGATGAACCAGCAACAGTCCCAGCAGGTTCCTATTCCTGGGAATCCTAATCAAGTTATGGGCATGCATGGACAGCAGATGAGGCTCCCTGCTGGCCATCCTCTTATTCAGCAACAGTTGCAACAGCAGCAGTTACAACAGCAGCAGAAACAACAGCAACAAGCAATGTTACAACAGCAACAGCAACAGGCTGCTCAACAACACCCACATGCTTTGGGAGATCCTACTAGTGGGACAGGAGACATGGGCGTCCAACAGATGGTCCCTGACATGCAGGCACAGCAGCAAGGCATGATGGCAGGCCCTCAGCACATGCAGATGGGGAATGGTCATTTTGCAGGTCATGGGATGAACTTTAATGCACAGTTTCCTGGTCAGATGCCAATGGGAGGACCCTGTGGACAGGCAGGTGGCTTTCCCGTCAACAAGGATGTAACACTGACAAGCCCACTGCTGGTCAACCTGCTGCAGAGTGATATTTCAGCCAGCCAGTTTGGGCCAGGGGGAAAACAGGGGGCAGGAGCGGGTAATCAGACCAAACCCAAAAAGAAAAAACCAGCTCGAAAGAAGAAGCCAAAAGAAGGAGAGGGACAACAGCAAGGAGAGGGACTTGGGTAATTTTTATTTTTGTTATAGTTTTACTTTTGCAATTGTTAAAAATGAATGTCAGTCTGATTGCTCACATTAATTTAATTGAGCGCCATTCATTTCATCACTTTTTCTTAGTGGTCTTGATGCTGCTTCTGGCATGGAGGATTCTGAATTACCTAATCTTGGGGGTGATCAAAACATGGGCTTAGAAAGCGCTGGTCCAAAACTCCCTGAATTTGCCAACAGGCCTGCAGGTAAAGTACAAAGATTATTAATATTAATAGTACTTTGTATTTGCATATATTTGCTAATCTAGCTATCTGTCTTTGCATTTCTTGAATTTCACAGGCTTTCCTGGCCAGTCTGGGGACCAGAGAGTATTGCAGCAGGTGCCCATGCAGTTCATGCAGCAGCAACAGCAGCAGCAGCAGCAACAACAACAACAACAACAACAACAGCAGCAGCAGCAGCAGCAACAACAGCAACATCAACAACAACAGCAAATGCAGCACATGCAACAGCAGCAAATACAACAACAACAACAAATACAGCAGCAGCAACAAATGCAACAACAAATGCAACAGCAGCAGCAGATGCAGCAGCAACAACAATTACAACAACAACAACAACAGCAGATGCAGCAACAGCAGCAGATGCAACAGATGCAGATGCAGGGTCTCCAGAATGCTCAAGGTCAACAGGGTATGACTGGGCCGCAGACTGCAGGCCAAGCCCAGCCCCAGCTGCACCCTCATCAGCTCCAACAACAACAACAACAACAACAACAACAGCAGCAGCAACAACAACAACAACAGCAGCAGCAGCAGCAAGGTCAACAGCCACACCTACAACAGCAGGTATTATAAATTATGCTCATTTGCATTTCTGACATTATTTGGAATGAATAAATCAATAGTAGTATCTTTTCCTATCTTATATTGCCACAAATTTTGTATTTCAGCAACAACAGCAGATGATGATGATGCTGAAGATGCAGCAGGAACAGGCAAAGAATCGCATGTCTATCCCTCCAGGAGGGCAGCTCCCTCCTCGTGGGGTGGGTAACCCGCCGGAGGTGCAGAGGCTTCCTGTCTCACAGCAAGGAAACATGCCTGTAATGATAAGCCTTCAAGGACATGGAGGAGGGGTACCACCATCACCTGATAAAGCCAGGGGTATGCCCCTGATGGTGAACCCACAGGTGAGGGACAGAATATGTAGATTTGATATAGCCATAATTATTAATATTGTTATTATAATCCTGCGTTGAGGGTTTCATATTACAGAAATTGTATTGTTTTCAGACACATCAACTTTAATTCTAATGAAAATAACAGTCATAGTGGTGTATGACTTACATTTTATTCAAATTAAACCTATACCGAGTTCTCTTTTTCTGTCTATTGAGTAAAATGTACTTTGTTTTTGTCTGTCTAGCTTGCAGGTGTTGCACGAAGAATGTCACACCCTGAAGTAGGGCAGGTTCCCCAAGGGACTGGATCAGAAGAATCTCCTGCAGGGACCCACCCAAAGCAGGACAGGCCCAGTGGCCCAGAAATCGGGGTGCAACCAGGAAATGGGACACAACACATGATGGCCAACCAAGCCTCCAACACTCACATCATGAAACAAGGCCCTGGCCCGTCACAGATGCCCCAGCACACTGGAGCCAGTCCTCAGCAACAGTTACCCTCACAGCCTCAGCAAGGAGGTCCCATGCCAGGCATTCATTTCCCTAACGTCCCAACAACATCACAGAGCTCCAGGCCCAAAACTCCCAACAGGGCCAGCCCAAGGCCCTACCATCATCCCCTCACCCCAACAAATCGTCCACCAAGTACTGAGCCCTCTGAAATCAACCTCTCTCCTGAAAGGTTGAATGCCTCAATTGCAGGGCTTTTCCCTCCTAAAATCAACATTCCGCTTCCCCCCAGGCCTAACCCTAACAGGGGGTTTGATCAGCAAGGTCTTAACCCTACAACTTTAAAAGCCATAGGGCAGGCCCCTCCTGGTCTAACTTTACCAGGCAACAACAATAATGGTAGTGGCGGTGGAAATAACGCTAACAACAATCAGCAGCCTTTCGCAACTGGCACTGGAGCCGGAGGTCCAGGCACTAAACAGGACAAGCAGCCAGGGGCACAGGGTAAAAGGGCAAGTCCTAGCAATAGTCGGAGATCAAGTCCAGCCTCTAGCCGCAAGTCAGCCACCCCAAGTCCAGGGAGACAAAAAGGTTCAAAGATGGCCATCAGCTGCCCTCCTAACCACCAGCAGTTGGTCAACAACCAGGGGCAAACACTGATGCTTAGCCCTACCTCAGTACCACCAAGCCCAGTGTCTATGCCTTCACAAGTCAGTGGGGGCATGGAGGCACAGCAGTCTCAGGGCTTCTTCCACGGGATGCAAGGAAACTCTATTGAGGGAGTCAGGGATGGTCAGGGAATGATGACAGCAGAACAGCGACACATGCCTCAGCCTCAACCCCATCCACAGCCTTTGAGAGAGTTATCATCTCCCAGAATGGCAAGTCCTCGTTTCCCCTTGCCCCAGCAGCCTAAACCTGACTTAGAAATGCAGGCTGGTACAGTTGATAGGCAGCCCACACAAGCAGCGCCTTCACAGGACTCTGAGGTCTCACCCACTGTCAGGACAGCTCCGACTTCCCTCAACCAATTACTGGATAACACGGGTATCTCTAACATGCCTCATCGGTCCACACAGAATAATCCTGTAAGGGATGTTTTGGGAAAGGACAGCCCAAAGTCTACTTTAGATTCAGAGAGACCAGTCCTCAGTAATTCCCAGACTACAGACATGTCAGCTTCTGTCCCAACCACTGCCGCTGTAACTGAGTCAGAACTGAAACCCAGACCTGCTGTCACAGTCCCTACCAGCAGCCCCAATTTGCAGCCAACTTCAACTCCCAGCTCACATTCGAGCACTAACTTCAACTTAAATACTGCCCCCAGCCTTAACCAAAACCCAGTTTCAAGTCTTGGTGTCAATCCCAGTCCAAACCCAACTGCTACTCTTAGTGCTAACACTTCTGCCACCACAAGTGTAGCGCCCAGCCTAATGACTCCCAGTCAAAGCAGTTCTGCCTTGACTGCTAGTACCACTTCTAATCCCAGCTCTGTTTTAAATCCACTGAGTTCATCTCTAAAACTAAGCCCGAGCCCAAGTCCTAAACCAGTGACAAGTGTTCACTCTGTAATACAAATCCCTTCTTCTTCTACCACCATATCTCCTAACCAAATCACTGTATTTGTCACCTCCAACCCCATCACCTCCGCCCCCACTCCCCAAGCACCAACATCTATGGTCTCCACCATGGTGGCCGTCCCTAACAAAAACATCAGACCTCAGGACATTCGACAGCAAACCCCTGTGCCCAGACCTCAGTTTATCACCACCACCCCTGTGTTCATCAACCCAATTTTCCAAGTCCCAGGTGCATCTGTGGCACCAAACACAACAGTGGTATCCCAGTCGGTTACTATGGTAGGGCCTCTCCAAGTCTCCACTGCAAATATTCAACTTTCTCCTGCCCCAAGTTCCACCCAGTCATCAGTGGCTAACATGTCCAGCATTCAACCCACTAGAAGCACTGTTGGACAGGCCCAGGTTGCCACCAGTGTGTCCTCATCAGTCCCAGTTACTCTTCAGCAAACTAACTCAGGGGTACTCAAAACAGAAAATCTTACTGAGGCAGGTCCTACTCAGAAATCTAGCCCCCCGATCCAGCAGCCCTCATCCCAACCAAGCCCTTCAGCTTCATCTCCCTTTCAGCCTCCCCTGGCTTCTCCTCCACCATGCTCAAGTCCTGGAGCTGTAAACACCATGCGAAAGAGCCCCATGTCTCCTTCCTCCTTTATCCAAGTGAAAGGGAAACCTGCACAGGCTCTGGCAGCTGTTAGTGGTTCAGCTGAGTCCCAGCAGAGTCCTGTAGAGAGGTCTGCTCAGGGGCCCGCAGTGGCAGCACCAACACAGGTCTGTCATCCACCTGATGGTCCTGCCTGTCAGATCGAAGTATTAGTCCCCCAAACTTCTACTGCTGCTGCTGCTTTAAACAACGTTGCACTGCCTGCAATTTCCTCTCCAACTCCCATTACAGGTCAGGTCGCTCTTCCTACTCAGATTGTTACCCAAGCGCCATTGTCTGTACCTGCTTCAGTTTCAAGCCCAGCCCAGGGTGTAACCTCCAAAGCTCCTAATGTCACTGTGGTTGGTACTACCACAAATGCCCCTTCTGCTACTTTGCCCTTACCTTCCTCTGTAACTCCTGAACAAAGTCCAGTACCGTCCATTGTTTCCAGTGTTTCGGGAACTGGACCTGTTCAGGATGTTCAGCCTGCCACATCCTCACCAGTTGCTAACTCCAGTGGAGTTTTGGCAGTTCAGTCAGAACCCTCTGCTCTGGAGCCCCTTATACAGCCAGCTGCAGCACCTGCTGAAACCTCTCAGACCTCCCAAGGTAAACATGCAACTGTTAGCTAAAAGCACTAATGTGCTTTTAATGATCACTTAGGTGTGCCAGCACAAAATTGACACAAAATTGAAATGCTTTCAAAAACACCTTTTAGTCACTGATCTTTTTGTTAGTCCTTAAAAAACAAGAGTTTTATATCTTGAACTGTCATCTTTGAAGTTTCACTTGTTTCCTTTTGCAAAGCATGGTCTGTTACTCAAAAAATTGTAGAAAAAAGCTCCAGGTTTGGCGGGTTAAAAAAAGCAAGTTTAACAGAAGCTTCAGGAACTAATTATTTACAACTGCATCAGCGATTGTTTTATGCCAATACCGTTAAACCCAAGCTTTATAAAAATAACATACTTAAGACTCCTGTTTGCATATGGAGCCAAACTCATATACAGTTAATACCCAGTCATTTTGTCATACTATAAAGGGGACTCAACAGCCACATGTCAAAGTGGTCTTGGACAGTGAACCCCAATTTGCTCCTGAAGTCTTACCATTGTTGTGTGTTTTTACAAGTGATGTACAGTCCATCGCTTTTTGTAAAAAGCCTGTTTGTGTCAATTTGTACAGTGTAAAGGTGTTTTGGTGGTCAAAAAGATAGAAAACAACTAAGCTGTTCAATATTCTGATCACATATTCTCCAAATCTGCTGGTGAATGCGCTTGAGCTCAGCAGTTTAATGATGGCTTCCTCTTCACTCACCTGTCACACTTCATAGCAGTGATACATTATGCTGACTCTTTACATGTCAGAACATCAATGCAGCTATTAGAAATATTCAATTTAACTGGTATTTGTTCAGGTCTGAGCATTTTGATTCATATTTTGGCAGCTGATAATACATTGATAAGAAGATAATACAAATACTCGAAGTTCGCTTTGAAAAATGTGTCTGTTACATTAACTGATTCTGTCTTCACAGCACCTATTCAACCAGAAGCCCCACAATCACAGGAACCTGTTCCCAGTGAGAAGACAGGTATTTCAGGTTATATCTTGGTCATTAACAATACTTGAATTTTAAATGGAGCTACATCTACATCCGATATGACTCACCTGAAAATTAGTGGCAAATTGATAGTTGTTGTTTTCCCCCTGTTCAGGTGAAGAGGTCTCGACAGGATCCGAGCAAGGGTAAGATTTCTCAGAAAGACACTTGTGTTCCTTTAACTGCTGTGTAATGATTCATGTGCTGGGGTCTATTAAGGTGTCCCTTTGTATTGCTCTCTGAAAATTTGGCATAGTCTTTAGACCTGTGCTTTTGATGGAGAAATGCTTAGACATTTCTAACTCTACTGAAACTCAGGGAGTACATTTGGTTGGCCAAGAGGTTACATGGTGAAATCAATGAGCCACGTGGCCTCAGCGCTTGGTATGTATGATTAGCATGCCACAATATAATTATACTAATGCATGCCACTTTCTTAAACTACTAATGCATGCCACTTTCTTAAACAAAGAACAGCCTATCTTAAAGCAAATTGTACCACTCCGCTGACTTATTTAGGCCAATCTCTTTTCCTGGGGATTGATTTGGTGGGAAAGTGAAGTTGTGTATTTTCAGCACAGTTTATAGTTTACCGCTGTTTTTCCACTTCTATCACAGATGGGCAAAGAAAAGAAAGGCGCCCATCAACTTAGATCCAAGGTATGTATTTTAACATGTTTACGCTGCAAAGTCACAAGCAGTAATCATGTCGACGTAGTGGATGCTGTCGGGATGAAGATGGACAGTATCTGTGGTAGACGAGGAAAAACAGCAGAGTCCTGAGTGGTATTATACCTTTCTCTGAGTAGAGCAGAGTTAACGCACACCTTAGCGTCTCTATTAACATGTCCCTGTTTTGTCCCTCCTCTTTGTCGTTTGTTGTTTTTTTTTCCTGTCTGGTCCTCCCAGAGCTGCTGTGGAGAAGCCCAAGGGACCGAGTCGACGCAGCTCCCGGGCAGAGAAGGAGGTGGAGGAGGAGCCAGTCCCGGACAGTGGCATTAGGAAGAGATCAGCGAGGCCTGGAACCAGTGCTGCTGTAAAAGGTCATTTATCCAAACCAGCAACTTTTGAAATCGCTAGGAGTACACCTTATATCAGGGGTGTCAAACTCAACCACAGCAAGGGCCATAATCTGGATTTAGGTCCAACCTGAGGGCTAAACAGGGTCAACATTTCACCAAAACTGTCAACCTCCTTTTCAAAAAATATGCAAAACAAAAACAACAATAATTATAAATCATTTGGAAATTCAAAAAAGATAAGTTTAAAGGCAACCTGAGATAGAAAAATGTATTTTCCCCCACATTCTTGACTATTTATCAAATCTTCCTTAATCTTTAATCAAAAAAATCAGAGCATGACATTAAACATAGAAAAATAATGCATTTAAAGAGCGAATACATAAGGATATCATTGAAATCAGGTATAAAAGGTCAAAATATGACCTAAAATTTAAAACAAAATAAAAGCATGAAATGAAAAATCCAATTATGTTTGACTTGATTGACAGATTTGGCCCCCGGGCCTTGAGTTTGACACCTGTGCCTTATATAAACAAATGTCATGACAACCTTTTCACTCTTCTCTCTCTCTCTTTTTAACAGAGACTGGAGCAAGTCCAACCCAGGCCAAACGAAGGAAGTCTAAATAAGCCTGTGAACTGTACTGTAAATGTTTTTGTTCCCGCTGTGAATCAATGGATATCGGTTTCAGTGTCCCAGATCATGAATTTCACTGGATGAAGAAACCTTGTACAGATTGTTTTAAAAATAATTATGCTCTTGTTTTGTCCATGCTATTACATGAGATTGTAGGTAGAATGTGTTTGCATACAGTATGTGTTTTGTGTGAATGTGCTTTTTATATTAAATGCTGGATTAATCATGTGAAGACTGATAAAGCTTGATTGTATAATTATGTTGTAAAACTGAATTAAATTTTCTACTGCTTTTGTTCTGTGAAAGGTCGTTGGATGGTTTGTGTTTTGTTATGGCATTCAAAATAGCTGTAGAGTAGTATATTCTTCATAAGCACTATGAAAAGGTGGCTGATCTGGGTAAACAAAAAAACATAAACATTAATTAAGTGTTATGAAGAGATTAATAACTTAGAAGTCATGAGATTTTGATGGTAGTTCAGGTAGGGACCTCTCTACTGCGCTCTCTCGGCTGAGTTTGGTGTGAGCATGCGCGGTGAGGAAACATTGGGACTCCATTCCAGTCTGTCACTGAGGGTTCCCTGAGCCTCGCATCTCGAACAGCTGTCTGCTTTGATAACTTCACCTGCTTTACAAACAAAAACTATTTAACATGAGCGGAGACCACGGACAAGGAGACTCTCAGGTATCCGTTGCCCCCTTATTCATATATTTGATCTGTTTGCGTCGAATTCCTTTATATGATATTACTGACCTGTATTAAACGTCATGTTAAAAAAATATTTACAGATGTCAATTGACGTGAAGAGTTATGATGCTGATTATATAGTTATTGTAAAATCTTTAAGAATAGCATATAGTTTTTGAGATATTATTTAGCGAAATATATGTATTTTAATGTTCGATTTGAATCCAAGTTGAAACTTGAATAACCGAGCTACCGGCATTTGCAAAATTCTAATATTTAAAACATATTTTTTCACAATTTCTAGGTCAATTCTGGATCTAAAGGAAGCGGTATGTACCCTGATGAGGGTTTTTCATTATATTTACTCTGGTTTCTTATCGGGATCATGGTCTGTCTGCTGTTAGTTTTTAAAAGGACAGAAATGGCGTCCCAGAGACTAAGTCCCTTTTGCTCCCCTCTCTTGCGGCTATTGTTCAAAAAGAGGGTCTCAAATGTACATTTACTGCCCTCTGTTTTTTAATCTGACGAGCTCTTCTGAAAGGGCCTGGCATCGTGTTCGTGTTGCATGCTTTAGTTTGCTGAAATTAACATGCAATTGTGATGAATTTTGGAGCCGAAAGTGGCAGAAATGGGGCTGAGGACTTAGTCTCTGCGCCATTTTCTTTTTCTGTGTGTAGCAGCCAGGGCGCCGATCACAGAGCCAACTGTCTGCCGTGATATGGAGGCGAGAGCTGGGAGCTTATCGCCTCTCCCCGCCCGTATCTCACCACCGGCAGCACTCTGCCTCCATCTATGTTTTACAGAGACTGTTATCTGCTCTGATAAAAGGCAATACTTGTACACAAATGGAACCAAAACTTTATCTCTCAAAAATAAAAAAAGTTGCACTATATGATCAAGAGCAGATGCCATAAGCAGTCATATATTCCAACGAATATTAGAGGACCTATTTACTTCTTTGGAGTTGTGAGGTTCGTCTTTTCAGAGGCCTAATTTTCTGCAAAGCAAAGCAGTCAGTGAAAACTGATTTGGTTAATAAGTGGGATGTGTGTTACTGTATCATAGAGGAGATAATACCCGTTATCAAGGTGCCATGACAACAGGGCGCCACGAGGTGATGATCCAGCCAAGTAAGGTCGGCCTCAGGAGGGATGTCACTCAGTAGGAGACATTGTAATATAAGGAGTGATGTGAAATTATTACTGTACAGTTATTAGTTAGCTCCTCTGAGAGTGTGAAACACATTAATTTACCTCTAGAGAAAAACTACTTGGCCTACCTCTTTTATTGAACTGCTGAAATGAGGATTTAAAAATAGTGTAAAAAAAAAAGGTTGATGCTCTTTTTTTCAATACTTTCTTTAAAAATGTTCTCCCTTTTGTACCGTAGACACTCACAAGCATAAAGACAAGCACAGAGACAAGGAACACAGACACAAAGACCACAAGAAAGATAAGGAACGAGAGAAATTAAAGCACAGCAACAGGTAAGACTTCGGCAGCTTCCTCTCATGCTTAGAAATTGAAGACAAAACTTGAGTTGATGTTTTTCGCAAATCAATGGACACACATGTTTATTTACACTCACACTAATTCTAATGTGCAAAATCTGGCTGTAGTTCCATTGTTACCATTGCCTCATTTGTTGTTATCCTACCTGTGTTTTATTTTGGCCTCATTATTATCTCTGATTGTAGCTGTATAATGAATCAAATCAACAGACCTTTCAAGCACAAATTGTCCTGTAGATAACTAAACATGGAAGAGGCACTCAGGAGATTATTACGATTACTATTTAATCATACAGCACATCCCACTTTTATAAGGGACTTCAGCGGGCCTTATTTGAACTGTTATTGTTGGTTAAAAACTGGTTATATTTTGTGATTGTACATCTGGCTTAAGACTGACCCCTTGTACTTGACCTCTGACACATGCTGCATCTTTGTTCTAGTGAACATAAGGAGCACTCTGAGAGGAAGCATAAAGACAAAGAGAAGCTGAAGCACAGTGACAGCGGCTCTGACAAGCACAGGGAAAAACACAAAGAGAAAGACAGGGACAAAGAGAAGAAGAGAGAAGAGAAGGTTTGTTAACGGGCTGTTTGGTGTTCATGAATGACTTTAAAGGCCTTTGGTGTTAATCTGACTGTATGGAAAAGTTAAGACTGTTGGAAAATTGCTTGAAATTGATATCCCTCTAATAGAAATATATGCTAATATATTTTGATTGTTTTTTTAAGATCAAATCATCGCATGCAGATAAGCCAAAAAAGGAGAAAGAAAATGGATATATGAGGTAAACAGCATCACTTTGTTGGTTCTTTTATGTGAAACAAATTTAATCAGGATGTATTTACTCTAAAGTGATATTAACTGTGATTTTATCCTGTTTATTGTCTGCACTGTTTGATCTAGAGAGACGAGTCCTGCTGCTATTAAAAGTGAGCCTGAGGAAGACAATGGCTTCTACCCCTCCCCCCAACACAATAAGACCTCCAAACGAGAGCACGATGACGAAGAGTGGGTATCATGCAAATGTTCACTGTCACGGTCACGACTGTAAACTTAGATGAAGTTACATTAACGATATATTTGTCCACAGCTCTGAATACAAACCCAAAAAAGTCAAGACAGAGCAAGACAAGAAGGCCAAGAAGAGGAAATATGAGTATGAAGAGGATGAGGAGGTAATCATTGTAACAACTTTTAGATTCAAATATTTTTTATTGTTTGTGTTTCCAACTTTTATTCTGCGCATTTCTTGTGTTTCAGGATATTAAGCCCAAAAAGAAGACAAAAGACAAAAAGGGGACTGATGGAAAGAAAGGCAAAAAAGAAGAAGAGGAGAAGTGGAAGTGGTGAGTCACACAGAGAGAAAGTTGATATAAGTTTGAAGAAGATAGCAGTGTTTCCGTGTTCTTGTATTTTCTTGTTCCTTATGCTGGTCAGGTGGGAGGAGGAGAGATCCACAGATGGCTCCAAATGGCGCTTTCTTGAGCACAAAGGTCCTGTGTTTGCACCTCCATATGACCCACTGCCCGACAAAATCAAATTCTACTACGACGGTGAGTCTGTTTTTGAGAACTGTAAGTCAACCAAACTTTTTTTGTTGAAATCTAAAATGTGATTTTTCTGTATTTTTAGGTAAACAGATGAAACTAAGTGCTCCTGCTGAGGAAGTAGCAACATTTTTCAGCAAGATGTTGGATCATGAGTACACCACTAAAGACATCTTCAGGAAGAACTTCTTTAAAGACTGGAGGAAGGTGAGAGTATTGAAGTTAAAGGAACAAAGTGTTCAAGCATATGAGCTGGACATTAAATCAATATTGTCTCTTATTTTAGGAAATGACGTCAGAGGAGAAGTCAAAAATCACAGACCTGAACAAGTGTAACTTCAGTGATATGAATGAATACTTTAAGGCTCAATCTGAAGCGAGGAAACAGATGTCAAAGGAGGAAAAACAGGTATCCCTGGTTTTCATGTTTACTCTTCCCAGCTTGAGAGCATGAGGGAATCTGTCATTATGTTGTTTATTACTCTGTAGAAAATCAAAGAGGAGAATGAGAGAATCCTTCAGGAGTATGGTTTCTGCATCATGGACAACCACAAAGAGAGGATTGGAAACTTCCGCATCGAGCCGCCGGGCCTCTTCCGTGGACGTGGGGATCATCCGAAGATGGGCATGCTGAAACGACGCATCAGACCCGAGGACATCATTATTAACTGTAGCAAGTAGGTACTCTCACTACAGTCGTGTCGGAATGTTTTCCATTTTGGCTCTGATGCAAATTTGTGTCCAGTTTATGTTTTTACCACAGGGTGGCGCTGGCAAACCACTTTAAATGAGGTTAAGTGCCAGCAGGACTTGTCAGAGGAATATAAGGAAACTTAAAGCACACGTGTGCTGGTCCTCCTGCGCCTCTCCGTCTCTATTCAACCTTTCTTTTGTTGTTTTTGTCTTTGCTAACCACCATGCTGTGCTGAAATGAGTCATTTTCAGTGGAGGAATTTTCTGTCTGTCTCTCATTTCAAGCCACAAAGATGGTGGGCTTGAATGTCAGAAACTTAAGGTAGCAGAAGGCTTATTCGTAGCATTTAGTTGTCATCACAGAGGAATAAATGTGCTAAAAGTGGCTTGTATGTTGGCTGTATTGCTGACATGCACTCACACACATGCCGGCACTGTGTCAAAGGTAATCTTCCTGTCAGAGTACGCTGTGTGTGCAAACAATAACATGGCCCAGAGAGGGCATGTCCACCCCCCCACCTACTGTTCACGGCAGGCTTTCCTCAACAGAATCTCTGTGCATTTTTGCCTCATAGCATCAGTGTTCACAGCCCAAGCTAGTCTCGAACTAGAACCTGAGAAATGTAACAAGCGTTCACACATTGAAGAAAAGCTGTCAGCTCACTGCGCACCTGTTTAATGTAAAAATGCGTCTTGCTCTGCAGGGATTCCAAGCATCCCAAACCCCCTCAGGGGACTAAATGGAAGGAGGTGCGCCACGACAACAAGGTCACCTGGCTGGCGTCTTGGACAGAGAACATCCAGGGCTCCATCAAGTATATCATGTTGAATCCTAGCTCTAGGATCAAGGTAGCTCTGTGTGCACACCTTTAACTCTCTAATGCCAGCCTGTATACTTTATGAGTGTAAATGTTTCATATTTTGAGGAAGAATAAGGGTCTTTCTTTTACCTGTTTGGTTAAAATGTTCCTGTGCGTGTGTGTGTTTGTGTGCAGGGGGAGAAGGATTGGCAGAAATATGAGACAGCTCGGCGGTTAAAGAAGTGTGTGGATCGCATCCGTACCCAGTATAGAGAGGATTGGAAATCCAAAGAGATGAGGATCAGACAGAGAGCTGTGGCGCTGTATTTTATTGACAAGGTGAGGAGAAAAATTCACTGCTTAATGTTTCACCAAAGACCCTCCAATTAAGATTTTATTGACTTTAGAGTAGTAGTAAAAATCCTAATTCTCACATGTGTGGTGTTATCCCATAGCTTGCACTAAGAGCAGGTAATGAAAAGGAGGAAGGGGAGACGGCTGACACAGTTGGCTGCTGCTCGCTGCGGGTGGAGCACATCAAACTGTACCCCAAGATAGACGACCAGGAGTATGTGGTGGAGTTTGACTTCTTGGGGAAGGACTCGATCCGTTACTACAACAAGATCCCTGTGGAGAAGAGGGTAAGAAAGAGAAGAGAGGAGTAGGTATAAGCTACAATAAGAGTGCAATGCTGTGATTGTATGTGCTTTAATGAGGCTTGTATGCTGGGCGGGTTCTTGACAAGTATGTGTTAATGAGATAAGAAGTTGCTACACGGAGGAGGATGTTTGTACAGACAGGTGATCAGGCACTAAAAGCTTTCCGTCAGCTCTGCTGTAGAGGGTGGGCTGCTTCCTGCTATTACCAGAGTGTACAGACACACAAAGACACACTTATGCACACACACACACACACACACCCACATGGTTGACATGTTCTGTTTCAAGTCACATTTTCGACAACTTGCCTCACAACCTATTTGGTAACTATTCCACACCTGCATGTCGACGTGTGAAAAACAAACTAAAGTGTAATAATTCAACAGCACTTGTCATATGAGCAGAAATTGTTAAGCACCCCCTGCTGGCAGAAATGTGTCGGTGCACTCAGTAATACTGTTAGTGTGGAGTGTTGCATGTTGGTGATTTAATGTTAAATTAATTTTAGCTCATTTTTTCAATCAGGTCTTCAAAAACCTGCAGCTGTTCATGGAGAACAAGCAGCCTGAAGATGACCTCTTTGACAGACTGAATGTAAGACTAACACACCCTCTGCTACAGTTTAACTGAACTCTTTGCATTGAATTTTTTTAACCCTTTCTCCTCTTTGTCTTCTTTGCAGACTTCTATTCTGAACAAGCATTTACAGGAGCTGATGGATGGCCTGACAGCAAAGGTGTTTCGTACCTACAATGCCTCCATCACCCTGCAGCAACAGCTCAAACAACTCACCTGCTGTGAGTAACGTCGGCTTTGGCCGGTCACATGCTGCACACTTGAATGACACTCACGTAACCATGAGTCACATAATTTGCAGCAAAGAAAAGTGTCTCAACAGGCGAAACTGGGTGGCTGTGTAGTGTTTAATATGCGTCTGAAAGTCTGACCAATGAGCAGTGTCAACTAAATGTTTGAGGATATCACAACAGTGTGTAAAGTTTATTCAGAAAAAGTTTCAACGCTTGTTCCTTCTTGATATTAAAGCAGGATAGTAAGATAAAATATAAAAGGTATCATTCATTATTAGTTTAGGAATAAGCAAAGACAAAATTAAAGTCCCTTCTTTCTCAGTCAGAGCTATAATGAAATCTATTCAGTAAGATAAGAACTGAAAGGACTGAACAACAATCACTGCCAAAACAGTTGCTTTTTTTGAGGCCTAAACATGCCTGAAAACCTACACATCAGGCATGCATAATCTACACAATTAACTAGTCTATTAGTTTATTTTGCTTTTTATTCATTTATCTCATTATTATGTTTACTCTATAGTGACTTTTTATTTTATTTTATTTTTATTTATTTATTATAATAATAATTATTATATATATTTATATTTATATTTATATTTATATTTATATTTATTATATTTATATTTATTATTATTATTATTATTATTATTATTATTATTATTATTATTATTGTTATTATGTATTTATTTTTTATTATTTTTTATATCTATTTCTCTACCTATCTATCCATCTAATTTTATATTTATTTTTAATTTTTCTTCCCTGTGATCAAATTTGATGTTACCCCCGGGACAAGGGTAGGGGCAAGGGTGGATTAATGGAAATGTAATGAGTTAAACAAAATAAAACATTGATCACAAAAAAAAAATAATAATATGCTGAATAGCGCCCCCTAAAGTTCTCAAAAAGCACTCCTTGAAGTTTTTTTTTTTCACCTTCGTGCATGAAATTCACAGGGTACATGCATCATGTCAAGACCTATAAAAAGTGTCTTTCCTCCACACCCTAAACCCAACAGGGAGTCGGCAAATTTGAGTAGAAGGTCAAAATTTGACCTAATTTTACTGATCTTTAGGGTGTCTATTTGTAAAAATCTGTCCTAAGGGTTTCCACCAATCGTCTCCAAATCTGCACAATGTGTTCTCGACAGATTGAGGATGATTAGTTGCTCAAAGCTCATCAGTGGGTGTTGCTGTGGCGACCCTTCAAAGATGGATGCTTGGCCATGAAACAGGAAGTACATTTTATCACAGTCGTGCATGCTTCAATCTCAGCCATGTGCACCACACATAATAAGGGTCCAGGCCTGAATACATTCATAAGGCAATATTTCATCCCAGTCACCCCTCAGTTGTGCAGAAAATGCTGTGCTAAACCTATAGGAGGACATCAAAAATAACCCTAACATTCATAATAAAATAAAATCATAGACTTGACATGCAATTTACTGAGAAGTCTAGAACCACAGAACCACAGAAATATCTAGGTCAGTATTTTTAAATGATAGTCTTCTAAACTACCTCTCCCATTTTGTGTGATTGCCTGCGGGGCTGCAGCTGATGAAAACATCCCTGCCAAGATCCTGTCATACAACCGAGCCAACCGAGCTGTGGCCATCCTCTGTAACCACCAGAGAGCTCCTCCCAAAACATTTGAGAAGTCCATGCAGAACCTGCAGACCAAGGTAAACCTCTTTGTCACACCTTTCTGGAGAAAAAGTGTTGTCATTTTCTCAACCCGAGTTCACTCAGTGTTGTGGTTGCAGATCGACGAGAAACAGAATCAGCTGTCAGCAGCCAGGAAGCAGCTGAAGGCAGCCAAGGCTGATCACAAGGCCTCCCATGATGACAAAAGCAAAAAGTAAGAGCTAGTGTGAGAGTCAGTCCCAGTTTTATCTCTTACTTACTTGCACCTCCTTGTCTCAAGTGGGATGTAAGGCCACAAAGTTTCATCTGTGCAGACTCCTCTTTTCTGTCTGTATTTATTTTTACTCCTACCTCTGTCTGTCTTTGTGTGTCTCTCAGGACTGTGGAGGTGAAGCGCAAAGCTGTCCAGAGGATAGAGGAGCAGCTGATGAAGCTACAGGTGCAGGCCACAGACAGAGAGGAAAACAAGCAGATCGCTTTGGGCACTTCAAAGCTCAACTACCTGGACCCACGCATCTCTGTTGCATGGTACTTATGCCACACAAACAACTTTGAGTTATTTAATCACAGGAACCACAAATTTAAATAAAAAAGTGACAGAAAATGAGTATACCGCCTACTGTTTAATAGGCCTGTCTTTCTCTGGGTGGGTGTATATCTACCTTGGTGACAGAAAGGCAGGAAATGCTCTTGCATAGTAGGAAAAGGAGCAGCACAAGCAAAAAAGCTAGCCGCTGCAGAAGGAAAATAAGAGGAAGAAAAGCGTGTGAGCACCAGGAACAATGGGGTTTGTTTCTGAAAGCCAGGGAGCGTCCCCAAACAGCACTCCTTCCTCCATGTGTGAAGTCAATGAGGAGCTGTCTGTGGCCGAATGGCAGGCCAGGCCACAGAGACGGAGGGGAACAGAGGTCTGCCCTCCCTAACCCATGCCCCACTGCTATTTATGGAGAGCCTACTCCTTAAGCACAATGGATACAGGAATGCTCTGTGTTTTGCCTGATTGTAAGGCGTAAGGGACGGGGACCCCGCTTGTTGGGTGGTGCATGGGAACCTGCTCTACGCTGCTGTTTTATGTGCGCGAGTAAACGTAACACAAAATGAGATCAGGTTAATCCTTTCTGGATTACAGATGTTATTATATTTTAATAACCTCCAAAATAATTTACCAGGTTAAACCTACATACCAGATACATTACATAACCAGATTAAGATGAAAAACTGTCTGGTTTGCGTTTGGTTAGCTGCAAGATATGTTCTTAAAGCTCCAGTGAGGAATTTTTAGCTGGTAGTGAAACAGGCTGAAATTAATACTGACGCCTCCAAATGGGCTAAAAAAAGTATATATGACCATCAGAGAGAGGATTGATTATTTACTAATTGTTGTTATGATATGTTTTTCACCTCTGCCGCAGGGATAGTGCCAGAAAAGATGATCAACATTGCGCTGTCAAAACAGACTTTCGAACAATTTACATAGCGAAAGTCATTGTGATTTGTAAGTTTGAATTTAAAATGAAAGAAGGAAAAGATTTTTGCTTTTTTTTTTTTTGGTCAGGAAAATATTATTTACTCGAGGACGGGACAAAATCAGCAGGAAGATTTATCGTCCCTCTTAGCCCAGAGGGGGGCGCCAAAATCAACTCAACCTGAGGGGTTACCTTAAAGCCAAAAATGATTTTTTTTCTTTCCTCTTTTTGTCCATTGTTTCCATCAACCACATAAACTGTATGCTGTGCCTTGTCCTCAGGATTTACAGTATTTTACTTTAATTAAAAAAAATTAGCTAGACAGGTTTTATAAAATATGTCTCGTATATGCTTAGTCTTCTGAGAACTTCCAAGATTGGGAAATTTGAGCATTGATGGGAAGATTAACAGCATTATTTCTCTCTCTCTCTCTCTCTCTCTCTCTCTCTCTCTCTCTCTCTCTCTCTCTCTCTCTCTCTCTCCAGGTGTAAGAAGTGGGGCATTCCCGTTGAGAAGATCTACAACAAAACCCAGAGGGAGAAGTTTGCCTGGGCTATCGACATGGCCGAGAAGGACTATGAGTTTTAAACACACTCCTCGTTTGACCTTGTCCATCCATGCCTTTGATTGTAAAGATGGTCTGTAGCTGATGTCAAATATTCCACAGTGTGGCTACTGCAGGGTTGTGAAAGAGGAAGGCTTTCTAAGAGCTGTGACCACTGTCTAATAATTGTGGTGTGTATATAGTTTGATTGTGAATATAGGAACATAACTCCTGATCCATTTGACCAACCTGCCAGAGGGTGTCTCTCTTTTAAAACAAAGTTATAGTAGTGTGTATGTAGCTGCAGCTTCCTGCCCATGACCGAACAATAATGACAATAACTGTAGTATGGTTTGTCAGATATGACTGTACTGAGATTTGTAAGCCATCAGACTTATTGAGAAATTATATATTCTCTTACAATAATGAATTAATTGATGTTTGTGTGGGAGAAAGTAAGGAACATCAGGAGAGATGATGGGATGAATTTAATTTGTAGGATTTTAACGTGTGTGAGATTATTACAATGACAGACTGATGACAGTGTGAAGAACAAAAACCCCAGCACTACTCACTTAAGATTTTAGCGCACTGAATGTCATTTTACTTTTCCACACTGTTTGAGTTCACTGTTTATTTCAGGGATGTACATATTTCTTGTCACATTTCCGTGAAAAACGATCAAGTGTTTTATAAAAACATGTGCTGTAAGCATCGTCAACATACAAAGCTCTTTATTGCTCATATGCAACTCCAGTGTAGATGTCCGCAGTGTTGCAGTGAAAAAGACGTGACATTCCTCTTTGTTACTTGAAACTTACTGAAGAACTGCATAATGTTTTGTGTGCAAGAGCCAAAAGAGTCTGTGACAGACACTGTTTTTGGGGAGGGATGTGAATTTCACCAAAAAGGATCACAGAAGTCTATTATTGTGGTGTGAGATTTTTTTTTGTTTTGTAATGCTGTGATTAAGCAGGAAGTGTCCTCCTTACATGAATTTCATAATGTGAATGGATTCTATAAACTTTTGTCATTAATATTTCTTGCAATTTGATCATGTATCACTCAACTTCGGATGGGTTGAATGCTTCTTGTTTTGAGCTTTGTAGTTTTCAGAATAAAACATCAACCTTGTAATTATTGTCCTCACATTATTTATTTATTTATGTATTTTTAATAGAAAAATAGGACTAATACAAGCAGCCGGCACAGTTTTAATATTTAATTAATTTTCTTTCTTTTTTTTTTGCCATCTGCACTGCCTCACACAGATGAAAGGGAGAAGTTTGACTTGATAATTATGAGGATAAAACCAACGACTCCGGCTTTAGATATGAAAATTGCAGTAAGGTGCAAAAGTAAATGTGTATTATTACTGAGTAGTTGCTTGTTACCTAAGTTTGGTTACCTCTACTATTTAGCAGTAATAAATTTATGAAGTACAGTTGAAACAAGGGGTCTGGTTCTTTAAGAGGCCGAAAACAGGCGCTTCCACTGGAGGGATGTGCCTCGTCAAATTAACGGAATATGGACAGGATACCCGGATACTGGGAAATTATTTCATAATAAATGCATTAAAGGGTATGCGCTACATCTTTTCAGTAAAATTCAAATCTGATATGTCATATCAGAAGATAAAACACTAAGCACTTTTCAGATAAAGATGACTTTGACAGAACAACTGTCAGAGCTCCCAAATTATGCACCAAATGAAGTAAATTATTACAATTATTACATAATGTGTTGAGCTTCATGCAAGAACAATACAAACTCCCTATACATTCGTGTTTTGAGAAAGATAATTGAGGCGTTACAGATTTGCATATTTTATCAAAACTTATCCAGTTTTAATCTTCTTTTATAGTTATATGAATGATGCACTAGTTTTTACCAGACCAAAAATACAATTTACAAATAAAAAATACAAAAACAAATGTCTTCATTTGGAAACCTCTGATTTCTTAAAATTGTCTTTCTTTCTTTCTCCCTTTCTTTCTTTCTTTCTTTCTTTCTTTCTTTCTTTCTTTTCACAAAACTTCACACCCTCCTTTTTGCGAATAAAGCATGCACAGAACTGGTTGACCCGCCCCGACTTTGCCAAGTCACCTATATAAAAATAAATAAATAAATAAATAAAATAAATAAATAATAATAATAATAATAATAATAATAATAATAATAATAATAATAATAATAATAATAATAAATAACAATTTTTAAAAAAGTAATATCTTGACACGACTTTTATTGTGAAAATTTTTAGCGGAAGCGCGGCCTCTACCTCTGTTTAACTTGACCGTTTTGGTGTTCGGCTGGGGGGGGAAGGGCCTGAGCTGGCATGATCTGTGAGTAGACAAACTTGCGTAGTCTTACCACGGCTCTAGCTGTCTGCCTCCCTCTCTGTATGGACGGCCGGAGGGGTGCAGAGGAAACTGGGATTGTTGTCGTCGGGACAGTTTCACCTTTTCACGTCCAGGGGATGATTTAATTCAGGAAAACTGGGGCGTGGGGGGAAAACGGAGAAGAAAAGGGAGAAAGACGACGGGAGCGCGAGAGGAGAGAGAGAGGGGCAGCCGTAGGAGATGTGCTTTTGGGCCGAGATTGCGGCGCTAGGTACAGCACAGCAGCCCCTGCGACGTGTTGTTTTCCACTTGGTTGTTGTCCGCACGGTAAGGGCAAAAGAAAACAAGGAGGAAAAAAAAACTCCTGTCACTTTTGTTTTATTGTTTTTTTATGTCTTGGATAGCTTCAACCATGGTTGCTTCTTGTGGCCCAGAGAAATGCTAGCTCACACCGGCCCCGTTTCCACGCTGTGAAAATAGCCAGACGTTTCTTGTTATCCCACTCTGCTGCTACTCGCCACCAGTTTATTCCCAATAATCTGCACGTTTCGGTTTCGAAAGAAAAACTTCCTTTTTTTCTCTTAGGTCGGACTGAAGCAGGTTAGAGGCCTGTGTTTAGTTTTGACTGATGGTCTTATTCAGATTTATACTCCACACTGTTGGATAAAATGTCCAATCACAGTAGAGATAAAGTTATCTGTCTTAATGAGGCAATTAACACCTTAAACGATTGCAGCTGTGATTTTATTTTACTGTCACTGTACTATTAAAGGTACCTCGAATTAAGAACAATCTTTCCTGCGTGGAAAAATCAATAAAAACACATTATTGTCAAAATTTACTGTCGTGTGGTGGAACAAAGTTTGTCTTTTCTTAAAAATGTATTTTACATAAGGACATTTCGTTTAAAATAATTTAATCTTGACAGTTTGAACCATGAAACCCTCAAATTTAAATACACAAGACACTTAAAAGCCCATCTTTCTTATATCTGACAATATTTTTATCACTGGTCGTATACAAGGAAGAAATCACTACATAAAAGTCTGAAAATCATACAGGCTTTAGGATTAGATATGTAATTTCAACATCTCAAAGTTTTTAAAATTGAGTTAAGATATTTTAAAACACAACTTAGTCTTTTTTGAAGGCAAGAGGATGAAAAAATGCAGATTTTTTTGTTATTCTCCACGTATCCTGAGATGTATTAATATACACAACATGTCAACAATGTCTCAAATGTGTCTCCTGACGGCATCAACTCAACACTGCTGTGTAATTTCTGTGCGGGATGGACACACTAGAAGCCCCCATGGAATTGTTGTTTCATGGCTTCCCCCCTCTTCTTCTGCTGTAGGTATCCCTGTCTAGGCCTGGGCTCTGCAGATTGTTCTGAAGAGGAAACGGACAACAAACGGTGGAAGTGAACATGGCTGGGACCTCAAGCTTCTTTTCCAACGGACCTGTTCCGTGGATGGACAACGACACGGAGATGAACAACCTGTACCGGGATCTGGAGCTGGGGACAGTGCTGACGCTGTTTTATTCGAAGAAATCCCAGCGGCCGGAGAGACGGACATTTCAAGTCAAGCTGGAGACCAGGACTATTATCTGGACTCGAGGCACGGATAAAATAGAGGGAGAGAGTGAGTAGCCTGCACACACAATCCAAAGTATACACACTCATGAATGCTGTCCAGAACTGGTTGGTTTACATGCACTGAGAAACGAAAGTGTTGTTAGTTTTTTGGAACAGCTGGCACAGGACGGGTAAGTCCAGATGACATGCTGACATGATATTGACAACTGTGAATTTACTTGGATGATACAAACTTTGATTTCATAGTTTTATGTTTCAAGGTCTCATAAAATTAGTAATAATATGACGAGTGTTGGATACAAGTACCCAAATCTTACAAAAATAGTGAAAATTGAACAAACAAATGTCCTCGCTCCTCAGTCAATAACGTCACATCTCAGACTGACAACAAGCAGAGGGCACCGTCCTCTGATCCTTGAATCTCCTGTTATTCACCAGGAAGCTGACGTTGAGATAAATCGTGCCTAACCGAGGTGGCGCAGGTTTTTCACTGTCTCGTTAAGTTGTCTGTGGCAGGATGCCTTCTGCACAGCTGCACTCTGCTCCGGATGCACCAAGAAGAGCACATACAATAACATAGAAGACGAGCAGTTGCTTTTCTTTCTTTTTTTTTCTTCTTTTTTTCACACTTCAGTATCATCTTCGCTGTGATGAAAGGTGTCGCGCACACATGTGAGCTCAGAGCTGCCATTTGATACTCCTGAAGAGGTGAAATTGGCCTAGGCGGCTCATTAATCTACAGAAATAGAATATGAGGGATTTTACTGGAAGTGTGTGATCATTTGGGAACGATTTGGCTGGCTATGTTTACCCCTTATCAATGGCTGTGAGAGGATAATGTCCATTAACTGTGGAGACTGCACTTTGGTTTTTAACTAAATATAAAAGGCCCAGAAGTCTAACACATTGTCCCTTCATCTCTTTTAGATTTCTTTCTTTTCATTCAAGCTTTCCTATAAAGTAACTGGTACAGGGTGTTTCATGCGGCTCACATACATAAGCTATAGAATATTGTGACATAAGATGTAGGACGGAGCAGGATGTGGTCTCGCAGAAAAAGTGGCGGTAACAGCCTGCCTGAAAGTGTAGGCTGGGCATATCATAAACATAAGGTTTCATTACCTGACACATCATCAAGAGTCTTTTCCAGTCAAAAAAAAAAAAAAAACTCCAACTGAGCATGAGTGTGAAGCTTTAGGTTTGTACTTAAATTCAAGCTGATGGCAGCAGAATATGTTGAGTTTTTACTAAAGTTATAAAAGTACTTTGTGCTCTGGGTCTCAACTTTAATCTTCACATTCTCAATCTGTGACTTCACTTTGCAGTGTTTTGGTTTGGAAACCTGCTATCTAGTCTCATTTCCTGTCTGTCTGTGTTTTAAAACTGTTGATAGAGACAAAATTTCAAGCCAAATATAGATTTTATCACTGCAGGTTTTGGCGTCAAGTTACTATGAGATGATAGAAAGTTAAACATAAAAAAAAACTATCTTGAGGTGCTGTTTTGCAGATATTTATGGATACTGGTGTTAAAGTCGGTGGGCAGGTGTCAAGAGTGCAGGTATGCAGATCTCGATTTACAGTGATGTAGAAACAACTGAACTGTTGTGGGCTGAAAAGTTGATCTTAGTAGTTGTAAAAAGTTAAATTTAGGATGTGTCTTTTCTGTGTGTTTTTGAATCAGAAAGACTTTGACAGATTTATAGTTTTCAGGTTTTAACAATTATAAGGAAATAGCCTTAAAAAAACCACAGCATCTGTCAGACATTACTTATCATGATATGTACTGATAACACAATGTACAATTAGGGTTGTGTGATTAAAATTGTTCAGGGTAATATCATAAAACTTTTGATAATGTGCAAAATTGATAAATTGAGTTTGACACTAAAACCAATAAAAACCCAAGAATCCACATATTTACTTAATATGATTATTAGCAGGACAGACCGTTGGGAATGCACATTGTTATGATCTGCAGTTAGAGCTGGACAGTTAATGGTATATCTAATATTGTTATAAGTAGGGATGCACGATATTTATCGGACCGATAAAATATCGGCCGATATGGGGGGAAATTACGTCATTTTTTATCGGTCCGATAGGTGCATTTTTCCGATAGAAAGATCCGATATATTAATGAAATTACGAGTAACGTTTGCAGGCGGAGTAGCCGCCCGTCCGAGACGCGCTGGTCACGTCGTCTATCAAGCCTTACTCGCAGGTCCCAAGCCTGACCCCGTCACTGCCTGACAGATAATAAAATGTCTTCACCAGCATGGTCGTTTCTCTCAGTGGCAGAAGATGACAACAGCATTGCTATATGCAAAACCTGTTCAGCGAGGATTTCAAGAGGAGGAATGAAGACGTCAAGTTTTAACACAACGAATCTGATAGCTCATCTGAAAAGTCGCCATCGCGGCGGAGCAGTATTAAAGGACTATGAGACAGCCGCCGAAGCTGCTAGCGGTACTAAAGCTAAGACAACAACACTACGGAGGATCGATGTCCCCATTCAGCAGGCGTTTAAGAACTGCAAAAGCTTCTCAAGAGACAGCGAAAAGGCTAAAGCCATTAACGACAAAGTGATGGAGTTCATAGCGGTCGACGACCAGCCTTTTTCCGTCGTTGAGAACCCGGGTTTTCGTAAGTTCATAGCACACTTGGAGCCACGTTACACTCTCCCAAGCCGCCGCTTCTTCTCGGATGTGTCTCTTCCTGCACTCTATGATATTGTCGCCACATACATTCACAACCTGATCGACAAGAACGGACTACACGTGAGTTTTACCACAGACATATGGACGTCAGATGTTAGTCCGGTCAGCATGCTAAGCCTAACGGCTCATAATAGCTCCTTTACAGTTTACAGTTCTGTTGAACAGTTCAGGGGATCAAATGAAGTTCTGCTTTTTGCTCTGTTATTTTTATTTATAGCAAATGACCACATTTGAAGAGCCAAAAACTTTTGTTTGTTGTTCTAGATAGGCCAGAGCAACAAAAATATCAGTTTTCAATCGCTGCATCCTGCACAAACAGATTATATGAAGATTATAATAAATGTAAAAATATGAATTTATCGGTTATCGGTATTGGTATCGGCCATGAGAAGAAGAAAATTATCGGTTATCGGTATCGGTTGAAATTTTTCATATCGTGCATCACTAGTTATAAGATGTAATTATGATCATGGCTCATAATTGGATGGATCATGATTAAAACTTAGAGGAGGTATGTGTGTTTGTTTGTGTGTGTCTGAAAAGCCAAGGGACAGAATAAACATGATGAGGGAGAGAGGCTGTAGCTACAACAAGCTAAAAGCGAGAGACATCGTTCTGAAACCCAAACCTTTGAGGCTATGAAGAATGTAAAGTAGTAAACATTAAAAGAGCTCGAATCATTAGATTTTTTATGTCGGTGTAAAAATGTTTTACTATGAGGGAAATCTGGTGTTTAATCTAAAGAGTATATTCACAAAAGTTAAGCACAGCTCCTGAAGTGAAGAACTGATACATGGTCCCTGTCAGTAGAAGTTTATATGACTGGTTTTATTTTATTTTTTTTACAAAGAATTGAGAGTTTGTAAGTTTTAAAGATATTTCAAATTACTTAACAGTGTGTGATGCAGATGCCATGTCATGTGTAATAATGGTTTTTAATAACCTGATTCCTAAATGTGAATCATTTTCATTTACATGGAGGTGGTTTGGTTTGGAAAAAGCAGGTCTTGCCCAAACTGCAGACTCTGTCAGAAAGCAGTTGCCATCGAAGACAGCTCAACATCTACCGTGTATCATCGTCTATAAACGAATTTCCAAACATGATACAGAGAATGAGATTAGCTTTAGCAGCCACCAGTCTTCTTTCTAAAGGGAAAAAAAAAAATAAGTGAAGGGAATTGATTTTCTGTCAGTAATGTCAGTGGCAGATTTTTAATCAAAACAGGATGAGATAACGAAACATGAATAATAATTACACAAACAAGATTGGGATTTCTATCTGAAGCATGTTTGACTCCTCCTCGACGGTGAAAGTGTTATCAACGAAACAACACTCATGGACTGATATTTCAACATCACAGCAGTTACAGCATTCGAGAGCCTTTGTATCAACATAATAACAGTAATGATGATAATAATGGTAATACTAATAATATGATCATTTTAATAATTATTTAATTATAATACTAAAGGGTGAAAATGAAATCAGAGCCAAAAATCATGTTTCAGTTCTTTGACTTAATATCAGCCTCTATAAAATGTTTACTTCAGTTTAGTTAAAGATAATGGGATGTATTTGTGATAAGCAATCATTTCCATATCGTGAGTATTTTCTGGTGTAGAAATGCTTCGTCTGCATTTTCAAGTCACACCATGCCCCGTCTGCTGTCTAACCCCATTTAGTTAAAACACAAACCTCTGACACCTTAGACCTTTAAACTCTGACAGACGAGACTCCACATTTTTTTTAAAGTTTTGTTAAACAATTAAAACATGCATCCACAGGTTCTACCTTTTTAATCATTCATGACTTTGATTTTATTAGTTCAATCTAGCTCATTTGTTTCATCAAACCGTTGTCATTTTGGTTTCCTTCTTGCGATTGCTCTCTGCTTTTGGGTCTTTTTAAGATGTCGCCCTCATCCGTGACAAACTAAGATGAACGTTTTTTCCGCGCATATCTTGCACTTGGTTTGGTTATATAAAAAAGTGACAAAGCAGGAGGTTTTTTTTTTTTGGCAAGTTCACAGTTATGATACCTAGAGGTCTCAGAGGTGTTAACCCGCATCGAACAGCAGATATGTAGTCATTTATCTAAACTTGCACCTGCTTTCTTGCCTCAGACATCAAAATGAACTCAAACACTTGGAAACACTCAGCCTGTTTTAATGCAATGTGTCCTGTTTAGTTGGTTGAACCTGCATTTAAACATTATGGAAAGATCAGGTCGTCAATGCACTTCCACAGTTGACTTGCTATATTTACTATGTGCTGGAAAGGGGAACAAAATCCATGAGCTGCATGACAGATATTTGTCAGGGGGAAAGTCCTGTGTTTGACTTTACACACAACATGGTATGAAAGGAGCCGATATGGATCAGCTGATGTGTGAGTGCACACGGAAACACTGTCACGCTCTGCGCTGCTGCCTCTCCAACTCTGATTGTAATATATGATTAAACAATATGGTGGCTTCTGGTCAAAAATGTCATATAATTGCAGCTTCTAATGATTAATGTTGGGTTAGTCTTGAAAATATTTTTTTCCAAGTCAGAGTGAAAGTATTCGATTAGTTGTTTGACCCCACTATGTTTCGTTTTTAGTCAGATGATGTGATTAAAAAGCAGAAAAAGTCACAGTTTGAGAAGTGAAACAAGTTTGAGAAGTCACAGTTTGAGAAGTGAAACAAGCTCATGTGTGATTTTTCAGAAATCACTAAATATTGAAGTATTTCTGTAGAAAGAGTTTATGTTTTATTGGACTGAGTCACTGTTTTCAGGCTTTATTCTTTTGGGCGGTGATGATCAGTCTTCCACATTATCATAAATGTAAAGGTAAAAAAAAGTGAAGAAAGGAAGCGATGATGGGCAGGCAGGACAGGAGTGCAGCAGGAAGTATAGGAGTGTGTTGTAGGACCTCATCTCCTTCAGTAAGATTACACCTCCGGCTCTCTCCAAATATTTTGACTCGACTGACTTAAAGTGTTTTCTAACAGATCAGCCCGCCGCAGACGCCGCGCTCTCAGCGGAAGTCTGCTGGCCCTTTTGTTTGGTAAGGTAAACGGAGATATGATGTATTACCGCGAGTTCAGCTCGCTGAAATTCTGCGTGAGAAGATTCACTTTTTTGCGCTTGAGAAAAGAGTGTGTGTACACTCACCTTCGTACGAGCACAGATGTGGTGTGTAGGCGACAAAAGCACAGGATGTGTGGTTCTGGGGCAGGAAGGAGAAGCAGGAGCAGAAACAAGTGTGTGTGTGTGTCTGTAATTGTGTGTGTTTAGCAGGAGGGTCCCCGCTGTAGGTCTTTAACTGCAGCTAATATGACGCTGATAGAAGCCTGTTGAGCTACTTTACAGCCTACACACTCATAAAGTTTCAGACTGCCTGTTAATGGAGGCAAGATAAGACTGTGCCAGCTGTCTTTACATATGGAGTATCTGATTTTAGTGACCTGACGCAGGTAGTTCCTTTATTTAGACCAGTAGACAGTATATCACAAAGGGAAAACTACATCTGAGCTTGGTAGCACAATCACTTCATCTCCCCTCTCTGATGCTGTTTTTACTGTGGTTTATTCAAACATTACAAGCCGACAGATAGAAGCTCAGTCACTTTAAATATACATACATGTGGTTCAACTGGTGGCCTCAACTCCGGCTCTAAATGTGGTCTGGGGGCTTAAAATGCTTATATATGCTGTGTCGGTCTGTGGCCTGGAGGGTTAGAATTGAGATGAACTGATTTATGCGAGTAAAAAACAAACATTTATGTTTTTGTATCTTAATCAGCATTTTTTTAGTCCACATTTTTCTCAAACAACTTTATCACACAAAAATAGAGTTTCTTTCCAATAGTATTTTGTACACTAAAAACAAGCAAAATATACTCTTACAAACCATCAGTGCCAACCGCAGCTTCATTAGTGCCGAAAAAAGTCACTTCTGTGTTTCATTAACTGTTCCATGCATGTCTGTCTCTCTCCAGTCGACATTAGAGAAATCAAGGAGATTCGTCCTGGACAGAAGTCCCGAGACTTTGAGCGCTATGTGGAGGACTCTGCAGCTCGGCTGGACCAGGCTCATTGCTTTGTCATCCTCTACGGCACCGAGTTTCGTCTTAAATCACTCAGCTTGGCAGGTACTTGCAGACCTTGTTCCTTATGTGTTGCTTTGACTTGGTAATGGGTTGGTACATGTGGTATTCCTGAAGCTGAAGTGTTGCTGTGATGTTACCCAGGATGCTTTAATCAACAGAAATTTGTCAAATCAAGCTCCTCTACAGTGATGATGTGGTGATTTTATGATTGTAAATAAATCAAAGTTTACAACAGCCTGATTTAAAAAAAGGTAATAATTCAAAGCCCGTCATGTTGATTTTTTTCTTCCTAGCAACATCTGATGAGGAGATGACCATGTGGGTGAAGGGGTTAAACTGGCTCGTGGCAGACACGCTCAAGTCCCCGACGCCGCTCCAGATAGAGAGGTATGCTGAACACACGCATGGGTCTACACAGTGAGTCTTGAGTGGAAACTGTTGTAATGTGAATATAATATTAAATTGTATTTCATTCTGTTGTTCCCAGATGGTTACGCAAGCAGTTCTACGCTGTCGATCGCAACCGAGAAGACAGGTAGGTCATCGAAGTGAGAAGATTTAAAGTCCCCTGTTAATGCGATCAACCTCACAGGAAATGGGTGTCATCAGATTTAACTCAATTTTTTGAAGCGCCAGTTGTCTGTCTTTTTTTAAAGTGTAACCTTTAGAGCAAGTAGAGTAGACTGGCTGCAACAGACTCGTAGGTGACTGAGTGAGAGGGAGTTGGGGGGAGGGGGGGTTAGTGTAGAGGTGTTACTGAGGAACTAACCTCTCAGCCACACACCAGCACCTCTTCCTGCTGAAGGAAACAGACTGCAGAGGATGGAAGAGATGTACGGAGATGTTTGTCTGTTACATCCCTGACGAAAGCACAAGCCTTTGTTATGCTGAAGGGGGGGAGGATTGTCTTCTAGAGTCCAAATTCCAGGCTGTGTAGTAAAAGTGAATACAAAAAAAAAAAGACTAGGCAGAACCCCAGAGGGTTGTGTTTTGAATGTTTGTGAGTTTATGAATGATTTCTGCATCTCAGCAGGATCTACGTGTCGCCTTATCTTATCCTACGTGCGTATCCATGTTTGTGTTTCACTCCTCGACCAAACTTGTGTATGTGTTTAGGATATCCTGTAAGGATCTGAAGAGCATGCTGAGCCAGGTCAACTACAGAGTCCCCAACATGAGGTTCCTCCGAGAGAAACTTCCGGTAACCTCATCCTACTTATCATTGGCACTCCTTTCTCTCTCCATCCCCCTCGTTCTTACTTCCCTTTCACTGTGCCGTCTCAGAGGCTAAAAGATTTATGATTCGCTGCTAACGGTTCCTTTTTCTTCCCGTTTTGCAGGACTCCGAGATGAGGAATGGAGACGTTTCCTTCAGCCAGTTCGCTCACCTCTATCGCAGCCTCATGTTTCACGCTCAGAAAAATGTAAGTGCTCTGTTTCCATGCACGCACAGACCGTTTCTGTCCCAGCCCTTTCATCCCTACCCCCCCTCATCTGATGTCCTGCCAACGCACCCTTCCTCGCCCATCTGTCTGTTCTCAAATGGCTGTGAGATCAATATGGACCAGCTAAAAACCCACCATACCCCTCTGGAGGCCATTAGGACATGCACACACTCACTCTCACACAGATGAGGAGGCAGGCAGGCAGGCAGGCTGGGGTCAGATTAAATGGATGACCTCATACCCCCCCATGACTTAACATCCAGCCCCAACAGGATGTCTGTCAACATGAAAAGGCTTTAATTTTGTTAATTGACTAATGTTTCCCTTTTTATTCATTTAGATGGAGATTCCAATTGTGCAGAGGTAAGTCCGAACTGAACACACACTCACTGTGAATTTTTACTGCATCACAGATCTGTGAGCATCATTTCTCTCTGCCAGGTACATTGACAGACCAGAACAGAAGATGTCCCTCGATGACTTCAAGGGCTTCCTCCTGGAGTCTCAGAAGGTAACATCGACGCTCAGTCTAACGTCTTTATCGTTTTTGTTTTACCTCCACGCTCCAATATGTGTTTTTTGTCATGTGAATCCAGGAAATGTGGGCGTCAGATAATGACAAGGTTCAGGAGTTCATGTTTAACTACCTGAAAGACCCCCTGAGAGAAGTGGAGCAGCCTTATTTCTACCAAGATGAGGTAAACACAAGCTCTTCTCCTCGTTTGTGTCGTTTATTTAAGGGTCTTTTTCTTTTTCTTCTTTTTCGCTAATGGAAAAAATGTATAGGTGTCCATCCGAGTCATGGTTTCCAGTGCCCCCACTGAGCTGTGGTGGAGGTGGGCGATGCATGTAAATTGACATGGATGGCCATGATCTCAGCCCAAAGCAAGTCCTCCCACACATGTAGAAAAGGTTATTGACTGTGGTGCTAAAAAGGGTTGTGCAGAAATAAAGAATGCTTTCAGTGGTCGCCATAAAGTAATGATTGACTCCAGACAAGAGGAGGCTGGTACAAACCAGCTTTTAAGAGTTGACGCCGCCTTTTCTCTGCGTTTGGTTATGCAGTTCTGTGAAATGTGTGCTAGCTTTAGTCAAGAACAGAAATATTGTCGTTGAGATACTCTGGGAAATTCATAAATGGGACCGGCTGCAGGTTGAAGCCCTTTGCAGAGCTGTGGGAGATTCAGGATACTCAGTCAGTAAAGATGCATTTTCTTAATATGAGGGTTTGAGGTTTAATAGATAGTTTAAACATCTACTAAAGACAGGATTTGAAACCTTGTTTGTATTTTAGGCCATAAATGCAGGAACCTGATCTGTTTTAGTCTTTTCCTCCTTATATTTATTAAGAATTAGCCAGTTATGATGATAATAAGTTTGAAAATGATAACTGTACAACTACGGCTATAATAATAATAAATAATTATAATATTAACCTTTATTCGTGGAGCAGTTTTCTAGACTTCTGAATGCAAACAAGCCAAATAAAAAATGAAGGTCAGTAAAACAAAGAGAAAATCACAGTCACTGATAATAAGAGGGGCAATAAAAGCAAATGAAAGCTCTGGCTGACAATGCCCCGTTACACTCAGCTACCAACTGAAGATCAGCAAGAAGATGTTAAAGTTGATTCTTGAACGTACTGTCATGAAGCGCACGTTTTTTTTAGTTTTGGTTGGAAATCTGGAAGCTAAGTTCTGTACAATCTGAATCTAATTTAAAAAATTTTGGTTGAGGCAGGTGAGAAGGTGTTTCCTAAAAACCAAGGTGTATTAGCCAGGTGTGAGGAAATGAAAGTGTGTAAATGGTCTCTGTGTCTTTTAAGAATAAGATAATTCTATTCCTACAAAATACAGTTTGCTTCTCATCTTAAGATATAGTTGATATGCCCAATAAAACGTTCCCTCCATCTGCTGTAAGGAAGCACTATTATTATTATTATTATTATTATTATTATTATTATTATTCAGCTCATGAATATTATGAAACAATCAAATGTCATTTTAAGGTGTATTCTGATCGACTGAGGCAGTCTCCCCTTATGACAACTGCTAAATGCTGAGTGTATTTGAAGTAAAAGCTTAGAGTTAGAGTTGCTTATCTCTCAAGTGGAAGGTTGAGGGTTCAATTTCAGGTCCCGCTTTCCACATCTGGTTATGCAGATGTTATGAGTTGAGGATCGGGACAGCCTTGCTTGTTTAAAGACATCTTCTGCAGCCTGAAAAGTGAAGATTTCAAACCATCCTCAGTCTCACTGCTCTCCTCTCTCTCCTCTCCAGCTCCTGACGTACCTGTTCTCAAAAGAGAACACAATCTGGGACTCCTCCTTGGACCAAGTGTGTCCTGATAACATGAACAACCCTTTGTCCCACTACTGGATCTCGTCTTCGCACAACACGTAAGGACAGCTCTTTTTCTCATGTAGTTCATCACGTTGAGCTTCAGTGAAACCAAAGCAGCTGTAATCAAGCCTTGGGAACGTGAGAATCTGGCATCTTCTCCCTTTCAGCTTCCAACCAATGAGGACTTTTGAACTGTCCTCATATATCAGATTAAAGTGCGTGATTCAACATTTAGGAAAAGCGTTTCTTTCCTCCAATAGAAAAGTGTGTGAAAGGCAGTTGAAATGATAACCTTCTGTGTGAGATGTGGAACAATACTCATTGGAGCGGCGGTATGAAAACTTCCCATGCTGCTTTGATAAGGTTTGAATTGACATACTCAAAGTGTTTATGGTGGTCCACAAAAGAGGGGGGGCCCTTTTGATACGGCGTGAGTGTGTTTATGCTACCACCAAAGACCGAGCGCGTGTTTACGACAGAGTCCCTGATGTGTGAATTCTTTGAAAGACTGGTTCAGCGCGAGGCTGTTTTTGTGTACATACTTTGACAGCACATGCTTTATTTTTAGCTACCTGACGGGAGACCAGTTTTCCAGCGAGTCGTCCCTGGAGGCGTACGCGCGCTGTCTGAGGATGGGCTGCCGCTGCATTGAGTGTGAGTAAATGCGCGCTTGTAACCTCACAAAGTCAAACGTCGCCACATGACTTGAAACCTCATAATTAACAGTCTTAACTCCCGCTTCTTATCCTGTGCAGTTCCACTTTTAAAGCGGCCGCCACACCCTCACACTCAAACACACACTTACAGTTACACAACACAGCCTTCACACCAGACCCTTGTCAAGCAGGTTTCCATGAATAGGACTGACTTACAGTAGGTTAAAGGGTCACTTTAGCTCAAACAAAAGTAAACAACCATGAGGTGAAGGTGCGTGTCTTGAGTTCAACAGTCATGACATTCATGACATAATCATTTTTTAATGTAAAATTTTGGTAAAATTAGATCACATTTATTTCTAATTTTTTTGCAGTGGACTGCTGGGATGGTCCAGACGGAATGCCAGTAATCTACCACGGACACACCCTAACAACCAAAATCAAGTTCTGTGATGTCTTGACCACGATCAAAGAGCACGCCTTCGTCACGTCCGAGTGAGTCCTAAAGAGTACAACCCAACTCCTTTCACAAAGATGAAAAATCTAGGCCATACCAGAGTGACATCACTCATGACTATTGTGTTTACAGAAATGAAATAACAAACTCAGACCTTTTGAAAGTTCTTGATTCACTTCCCCGTGTTCCTCCTGCAGCTATCCCATCATTTTGTCCATCGAGGACCACTGCAGTATCGTGCAGCAGAGAAATATGGCGACCCACTTCAAAAAGGTGTTCGGTGACATGCTGCTGACAAAGGCGGTGGATATTGCTGCGGATGGTCTGCCTTCACCCAACCAGCTCAAGAGAAAGATTCTCATCAAGGTCAGGACCCGCCTCCTGCTCCCCTCTTCATGTTTTAAAAAGCACAAATAGACACTTTGTCCTCTGCGTTATGACTTTGTAATGTTCTTGCTTGTCTGCTGCAGCATAAGAAACTCGCAGAAGGCAGCGCCTACGAGGAGGTGTCCACATCCACTCCCTACTCAGAGAACGACATCAGCAACTCCATCAAAAACGGCATCCTGTACTTGGAAGACCCCATTAATCATGTGAGGACACGGTCTACACATTGTTTTCTTTTCATGGTCTCTTAGAGGATTAAAGTCTCTGCCTACTTCAGCCAGTTTCTAGTGCAACACATGGATCTTCTAAATATTTAATTTGGCACTCTTTAACCAACTGTTTCTCGCCCTTCATCCTCTCCCTCTCTCCCTCTCCCAGGAGTGGTACCCTCATTTCTTTGTCCTGACCAGCAGTAAGATCTACTACTCAGAGGAGACCTCCAGTAATCAGGGTAACGATGATGAAGAGGAGCATAGAGAGGTCTGTAGCTCTGCTGTGTCCGTGTGAACTACACTAGATTTACATTACATGTAAAATACATCAAGTGTTTTTCTATTTCAATAAATGTGGCCCCTGAGTGTGGGAAATACCACTTACACATCAGATGACATATCCCTCCTCTCTCATCTCCCAGGTAACGAATGGTATGGACCAGCATGTGACAGAGAAATGGTTCCACGGGAAGCTGGGTGCAGGGCGGGATGGGCGGCAGATCGCCGAGAGGTTACTGTCGGAGTACTGCCTGGAGACTGGAGCTCCTGATGGCTCATTCCTGGTCAGAGAGAGCGAGACCTTCGTGGGAGATTACACTCTGTCTTTCTGGTACGGTGCACAGAAACTTGAACTCAGAGTATTTGAAACTTTTGCATGTTTTGTAAATACTTTAAAAGCATAAACAGTGTTAACATTCATAATAATACTGTAAGTAGGTGAGGTGTATGTCTGACCTTTGTCACGAGCAGCACTGTGTTGAGCAGGGTTTGCTCTTAGCAATCAACAGTGTCATGCTTGCTGATCAATCAATGTCATTTTCTCCACCATCGATTGGAACCTTCCTTTCTGCCCCAGGCGTTCAGGGCGGGTGCAGCATTGTCGTATCCACTCTCGTCAGGAGGCCGGCAGCCCCAAGTTCTACCTGACCGATAACCTGGTGTTCGACACGCTCTTCGCGCTGATCAACCACTACCAGCAGGTGGCGCTGCGCTGCAACGAGTTTGAGATGAAGCTGACCGAGCCTGTGCCTCAGACCAACGCTCACGAGAGCAAAGAGTGAGAAACAGATGTTTCTATTTCCCATGTCTTTGGATAAAATCGAGGGTCACTGCTTTTTCTTCTATTCTGACTCGAAATAGTATTTAAGGATGCTAAGATTAATAGATTTTAAAGGTTTTTAAGATGGGCGCAGATGGCTGAGTGGGTTAGCGTGCCCCAGGTATGGGCACCACGGTCCCGCAGCGGTCGCGGATTCAAGTCTGGCCTAAACCGTGTGTTGCATGTTCTCCCCCTCTCTCTCTATCTCCTCACATTTCACCCTGTACTTTAAATAAAAAAGGCAAAATCACCCAAAAAAGAATAAGTAGATAAAATCAAATAAAAGTTTTAAACAGTTTCAACACTCTGCTTGTGTTTCATCGGTGTCCCTCTGTTTGTCTCAGGTGGTACCACGCTAACCTGTCCAGGAGCCATGCTGAGAACATGCTGATGAGGGTTCCTCGTGATGGAGCTTTCCTTGTGAGGAAGAGGGCAGAACCCAACTCCTTTGCCATTTCTTTCAGGTAACATTAGTCTAAAACCCGCTTGATTGGAAATGTATTATTTATACTATTCACCTCTTAAAACACGCAAGGATGCTATATTAAGAATCGAGATACTGAAGGGCTTCTACGTGATACAAAACACTGAATGAAAGAAGTTTAACGCTTTGTTGATAGCTCTAAGAAAAAGGAAAAAATAAATAATAGGATGTAAATACTGAAAATGTTTGAATCTTTAAAATTAATCCCAAACAAGGAATTATTGATCGTGAAAAGTACTTTATATTCTGTGTATTCTTTCAGTTTTAGAAAGAGAGATTATTGTTTGTGTTTGTTTGGTTGTTGGAAACGAATGGGGGGAAAAAAGACCTTTGCAATTTACAATTACATTACAAAACTCTGTAAGGATTATTAAAAAACATGCAAGGATGAAACAAATCAGTGTAATGTTTTCATTACAGGGCAGAGGGAAAGATAAAGCACTGTCGGGTGCAACAGGAAGGTCAGACGGTGGTGCTGGGCACCTCCGAGTTTGACAGCCTTGTCGACCTCATCAGCTACTACGAGAAGCACCCTCTGTACCGCAAAATGAAACTGCGGTATCCCATCAACGAGGACACACTGGAGAAGATAGGCACTGCTGTGAGTAGATGAAACATAACTTTTAAAAAAATGTGTGTTTAATCTGTGGAAACCTGCTCAACACACAAACCTGTCGTCCAACAGGAGCCAGACTATGGGTCACTGTACGAAGGCAGGAATCCAGGCTTCTACGTAGAGGCCAACCAAATGCCGACATTTAAGGTGAGTGTCAAGTAAGGAGAAGTTTAAATGTGCTCCTGTTCAGCTTGTTTAATTATCTGTTTTGTCTTCTCAGTGCACAGTGAGAGCCATGTACGAATACAAAGCCCAGCGTGACGACGAGCTCTCCTTCACCAAGAACGCCATTATCTCTAATGTGGACAAACAGGAAGGAGGATGGTGAGTGACTGGAATTACATTTTACATAGGAAGTAGTTCTTCATTATCCATCTGGACAAATCATATTTGATTCAAGACGGGCTCAACTTTACCGGGAGGGGCTGTGTTATGATATGGATTTCATGCTTTCATCATTAATAAGCCGCAGAGTTATCAATATTAACAGAATCACATCCTCTTTTCTTCTGCGAAACACGTCTTTTTTTTTTTTTTTTCTTCTTCTTCTTCAGGTGGAAGGGCGACTGTGGGGGGAAGAAACAGCTGTGGTTTCCGGCGAACTATGTAGAGGAGATCAGTCCATCAGCGGCAGAGCCCGACAGAACAGTGAGAATCAAACCCACAAACTTTTAAGAGCTCATTTAAAGCCATTTAATGTGGTATAGATTTATTACACGGAGAACGGCTTTTGTTGTAACTTCTCTCCTAATCCGTTTTCTCACTCAAGCAGGAGATGACAGAAAACAGCCCTCTGGGAGATCTCCTGAGAGGAAGTGTGGACGTGTCTTCCTGTCAGATTGGTGAGTGGGCCCTCTACTTCCTGTTGGACTCCATGCTGCAGGGATGCAGAGCCGGCTGTCACCTTGCCACAGGGCATTCCTCTTTCTCAAGCCATCACGTGCATGCAAATAATCTACACCCTCTTAGTTTTCTCTCACAGTTATAGTCTCCTTTCTCATTGGAACAGTTTTCCTCTATCAGATGTTTCTATCATTTATCCCTCCCTGTTCGTGTCCTGTCATGAATTTGCTTTTCTCGCTGAATTGTATCCAGTTATTTATTGACATCTTACAGTTGAGTCAATACAGTGCCATTAGTGTTGGCACATGCAGCCATGCATTGTTGTGGCCTCAGCTAACCATTGTTGATACTTCAGCCTCTGCCTCAGCCTCGGTATGGCTCTGTGGCTCCCTCTGGTGGCAGTATTTGGGACATTAACTGATGTCTTGAACACTTTGTTCCAAGGCTTCCTCTGCATGAACACTGCCAGAAGCCCTTTGTTTTACTTTGTGGAAAGTGATGAGGCTGAACTTCTGGCTGGCTGCTCTTGGGGCTGCAAATAACTGCTTTTGTACGCGGTTGCTCTGCTTTAAGGTCCGTTTGCTTCAGGTTCAAGCCTCATTTTGACCGTATGAGAGGTTACAGAAGTCAAAATGAAAAGGGAGCAGCTTGTGTCTCCTGAGAAGTTAGCGTTTCAGAGGGAAAAATTTGTTTTCTTTACTTTTACTTGATTGATGCTATTCCCGTTGTTTTTTGTACGTATCGCTAATTTTACTTTTCGGATGGGTGAGCTTTTTGACGATGTGGCAGGAGAAAAATCATTCTCAAGCTCAAACCAGGGTATCTGAGGGATCTCAGGAAGTCTGACAACATCTAGAATCCAGTCAGATAAGATAAGATACTCCTTTATTAATCCCACAAGGAGAAATTCCTAATTAACGGTTCATCCTTTCCAAGAAACAAACAGTAGACAGACACATACAGGGGAAGACAGATTTCGTAGATAATAAAAAGGAGAACAGGAGGAAGGAAGAGAGGGAAAAAAAGGCAACTTCAAACTCTGCTCTCATAGGAGGGCACAGCGTGGGATCAGTAAAAAACACCTCATAATATGAATTTAAGGCCTTAAAATGTTCTTAAAATCTCATAAAATGTCTTAACTACAATTTTGAAAGGTCTTTAAAAATGCTTGACATTACTTACAAATAACGTGCCATACGACTAAAGCTTGATTTGAAGTAATGTAAAACGTTCAGATTTTCCTTCAAGTCTTTTTGTCCTTTTTTGCCAGGATACATATTAAATGGTTCTTAAATTGTATTCGGTACGGTCTTAAAAAGTCTTAAACTTGTCGAAACCCGCAGAGATCCTGTCAAACAGGAAAAAAAACCATCCTCCTTATTTCACTTTTATCACACATCTTTACAACCCTTGTCTTTCTCCATCAGTTGTGCGTCCAGACGGGAAAGGCAGCCGGCTTTATGTTTTCTCCCTGGTGCCAAACACCTCCATGCGGACTGGCCCAGTGCTGGATGTCGCTGCCAGCAGCCAAGAAGAACTTAAGGAGTGGGTGTTTAAGATCCGCGAGGTAACCGTGACCTCGGAGGCAAAGGTAAAAAGATATGTGCACATATATGTAATGACTGTAAATATAGCAGAGGTTGATAGCATGCTCGTGCTACATTGACACTTCAAGGGGGGCATGTCATGACTTGTGTGATTTCACTGTAATGCCCATAAACTGAATATAGCAGTGAGCAAATGCCAAAATGCAGAATCACACAGTCACAGAAGCTTCGTGGTTTTGTGAAGTAGTAATACTCGAACCGTTGTTGTCTAAGAGACAGAAAAACTTCTGTTTTGGTTCATCTGCACCTTTGTGCTGTAATTATGCCATTGTTTGTTATTGTTTTTTGATTTAACGTTGATGTTTATGATTGAATTTTTTACTGTGAAGCACTTTTCTACAAAAGGTCCTATACTAAATAAATTTAACTTACTGACTTACTTTGTGTCTGTATGTCCAGCTGGAGGAGGGCAAGATGATGGAGAGGAGGAAGAAGATTGCACTGGAATTATCTGACCTGGTCATCTACTGTAGGCCAGTGCCATTTGATGAAGACAGTAAGGATCATTCAGACACTGTAAACATGCAGGAGTAGATAAGGTTGATTTTGTACATATGAAAATGATGCAAACGGCATGCGTGTTTAACACAGGTATGTTTTCTTCCTGAACCTTCTGTAGAGATTGGCACAGAGCGGGCCTGTTTCAGAGACATGTCTTCCTTCCCGGAGACCAAGGCGGAAAAGTACGTCAACAAGATCAAGGGGAAGAAGTTTCTGCAGTACAATCGACTACAGCTGTCGAGGATCTACCCCAGAGGACAGAGACTGGACTCCTCCAACTATGACCCTCTTCCCATGTGGCTTTGCGGCTCCCAGCTGGTGGCACTTAACTTTCAGACAGCAGGTACCTACCTTCTTTGTCAACAGAGATAGAAACTGTTCAAGATATTATTTTCTTATTTCCCACCCTCCTTTTTTTTCCCCCACTCTCGTCTTTTCCCACACGCAGACAAGCCCATGCAGATGAACCAAGCCCTGTTCATGTTGAATGGAAGAAGCGGCTACGTCCTCCAGCCGCCCATCATGAGGGACGACAACTTTGATCCCTTTGACAGGCACACATTAAGAGGCCTGGAGCAAGTCACCATAGAGATAGAGGTACAGTAAGGAGTGGATCCATGTCATAGCGTTAAAAGTTTCTGATGTTAGTGGTGCCAAAAAGACAGGAGGCAAAGATGCAGCGTAAAGTCGAGGGAACAGGTGCATGTTTGTCTTCCTTCAACAAACAGAAGATGGTCATATTAGTCTGGGGCGCTGATTCGGCCTCTGTTGGTCAACTGAGTCAACAGCAGTGGTGTCAGCATCAGCAGCAGTTATGACTCGCTCTCATGGAGTCAAATTAAGGCACTTAACAACCCTTGAACGCTGATTGCTGCAATCTGAGTCAAACTTTAACAAGATTCATGTCTCAAATTAAATCAGAGAACATGAACACATATTTTTAGTTACAATCAGACGTATATTTCCTGGCAACTTAATCACTTTTACGCCAAGAATAAATGTGCATGAATGTGTAAGGGCAGTAATCTAATAATCATGGGTTGGACTGGACTGCTATTAGCTATTTCTTGAACTTTGAAGTGTGTTAATCTTTCGATTTGTGCGCAAAAGTCAGCTAAAAAGGTTGCAGAATAATCAGCAATTTAATGCTGCTAACTGACACTTTGTCAAAATTAGATATCCAGATTACTTCTTAAGTAAAAGTCAGACAATCCCTGAATCAAAGATATCCAAACTAACCAGACGTTTGACTCTAATCTGTATTTGTCTCTCTGAAGGTTCTGGGCGCCCGGCACCTGCCAAAGCACGGAAGAGGCATAGTTTGCCCTCTGATCGAGATCGAGGTTTGCGGGGCAGAATACGACAGCGCCAAGCAAAAAACAGACTCGGAAGGTGAGTGCGGCACCGATCTGAACCCCAGGGTGTGTTTTGTCAGTGAAGCAATAACTCTGCCATAACTAAAGGAATGAGCACCAACTGTTTACTGGATACATTACGCTTGAGAAATTTCTTGCCCGGTCCTAGAAAAACAGGAAGTTGTACAAACAACAAAGCCATGTGTGGGAATACAAAGAGGAATCAGTGGATGGAGTTCTGGCTCAGCTCCCAGCAGGTTTTAAGCTCTTATTTAAGCCATGAAGATGTATCATTGGCAGGGGAGGGTAGACTTTTTATTACCGTAACCCTCACTCAGAACGACTCTAAAAGTTGATTATTCCACCTAAGAGATTTTCAGAATTTCTTTCACCTTTCAGACTTTATATTTTCCATCAGCTGTGGTTCTTTTTCAGCGCTGACCTCCACCCTGCAAAGAAGTCTTGATAAAAGTTTGAACACACAAAAGCATATATGTTATAAAATCACTGTGTCTCTCTCTCCATTTTTCTTCTTGTCTCCAGCCGACAACGGTCTGAACCCCACATGGCCCCGCAAAGCATTCCAGTTCACAGTGTGCAACTCTGCCTTCGCCTTCCTGCGCTTTGTGGTTTATGAGATTGACATGTTCAGTGACCAAAACTTCCTGGCTCAGGCCACATTCCCCATTCACAGCTTGAAGACAGGTACACAACATTACAGCACCAGACGTGACCTACAGCCCTGTGTTTTTGATCAGCGCTGTAATAAAAACCTTTTGTTTTTCATGTCTGTGTGTGGCGAAAGGTTACCGGTCTGTACCTCTGAAGAACAGCTACAATGAGGATTTGGAGCTGGCATCTCTTCTGGTTCACATGGACATCACCACAGGCAGGGTGAGCAGTCTTTTCTTTGATACACCATGATGACATGTGCTGTGTTTTTGGCACCTGTTTTGTGGACATCAGGTATTACCAAAAGTGTATATTGTTTAAAAAAATCTCATGCATGATTGTGTTTTTGTTTTGTACAGAAGTTATTTCACTCTTCTTGTCCCATCAGGATGAAAACGGAGAGGTTCTGGGCCCGTTCCTCGCAGCCGGCTCCACACCAGTGACGGCTTCAGCCCAAGCAGGGCGGGAACGTCTCGGGGAGCTGAGCTCGGTGTCTTCGACCTCCTCTAACATGTCCCCTCTGCCTCAGTCTCCCGCCCAGGCCATGGCCTACAGGGGGAGGGAGGGCTCCTTCGAGTCCCGCTACCAGTCCCCACTGGATGACTTTAGGGTGTCCCAGGAGACCCTGCTGGACCACATGGACGCATCTAATCGGAGGTAAAGGTGATGTGCTTTGATTCTTGCTCCCTCAAGCCTGTGTGGTGGAGTGTTTGTAAGATTCCAGACATCCTCCTGTCTTTGTCTTTACCTCAGGATGCTGCGGAGGACTAGAGTGGGTGGAGAGAACCGCGTCTAGGTCCAAACCAATCAGAATGAAGTTCTGTCGCACCCCACCACCCCCATACCCTCCCACCCGTCCTCACCCAGTCGCCTCTCCCCGTACTGATGATGTCACTGACTGCTGTGAACACTGTTTCCATGGAAACGCCCACCACCGCTTTGGCCTACATTTCAGGCAGCTCTCCCTCCCTTCCATTCTCCAACCGGCCCCCCCATCCCTTTCCTCTCTCCTCCACTCTCCTCCTCTACTCCCTCTCTGCCGCTCAGCTTGACTATTAGGAGAGACTCGGACATAAAAGGAGAAAAGGGTGAGTGATGGGGGGAGTACTCAGAGAGGAAGTGGACGCTGTGGACGGGAAGAAGAAACGGACATACACAGGAGAACAAAAACGAGGCTGAAAAAGTTCCAGCTCTGGGCGGCTGGTGTGAGGGTTTGTGTTGTCCTCAGGTGTGCACGACTGCTGCACACTCTGAAGGCTAAGAGGAGGGTGGGAGAGAGAGAGGGAGGGAGTTATAAAAGGTATCAGTTTGAAACTGTTTCCCAGTTAGGTTTCTTTGCTCTTCTCTATTTTGCATATATGAATATATGTATTTATTCCTGCTGTGCTGTCAGCCAGAGAACAGCAGCAGCTGACCTGCTCTCAAAGAGCTCCTGTCTCCATGTTTTTAATTATTATAATTATTTAAACCTTTAAACATTCATAATGTGACTTTACTTTTTTTTAATGTATATGTGTAAAACACGAGGGCTCTCTACTGCTATTTTAATGTCTCATTCTCTGCTCTGTGGAGGAAACGACGCACCTCCAGTCTAACTTAACACCCATAACCCTGAGGAACTCCGTCTTTTCAAAGACCTCATAAAGAGTGGTGGTCTTTGTGTGTTTGAAGCAGAGAGAGCAGGCAGCATCGTGTGTTTGGTCTGCATATACAGACACATATGCATTCTCATGCACGCTATCTTTATTTCTAACTTACATTCCTAAAAACTGCACATCATTCCTCTTCCCTGCATTGCAGGTGCCTTTACAAGCCAGTCAGACACATGAGAAATTCTGTCCCCTCCATAGTCTTACTGCGTACTGATCACATCTACTGGAGATTGAACACCACACTGTCTAGGACCAGCGGTACATGTTGATGACTGACTGTTCTTGCTGTTCTTATTTTGCAACCTGTTTAAAGGCAGTTTTAAAGAAATACAGAATGAGTTGCAGGGTTAGGGCATAAAATATAGCGATTCCAGGAACAAATATTTATACAGATGTGAAAACATCTTCATTTATGGGCAAGATATTGAATGTTTCAGCTCTGTCACCATAATTACGAAAGCTCAAGACTGTATCATGGTGACGACATTATCTTTTTAATTACTCTTGATTGAATATTTATTTGGTTTCTTTTAACTGCATTTCATCTTTTCAACTGACTTTATGGATTATGTTTTTACTCGGTCAACCATGACTTGTCCCTTAACTGAAACTGCTTCACTATTTCGGTGAAAACAAAAAAACACAGCAGCAAAAAAATCAGCGTTGTTGATAAGAATGTTTCGATAGCAGACAAAGTGTATTTGATATCCCAGACATGGCTGATAAAGGTTGTAAAATGTGTCCTCTGTGTTTGAACAGATATCCTGTAACCAAGTGTAGAGAGTTGCTTTAGACCTGAAGGATTGTTTTCTCGTCAAGTATCAGGCCACCTCTTAGTAATCATGGGGTCGTATGAAGGTATACTGCCATGAGATACTGCTAAATTGGTTTCTTGTGCTTTTTAACAACAACAACAACAAGTTTAGACTTTCATTCCTGCAGTTTTTCCACTAATATTCATAAAACTTAGCAATTGAGACTTCTCACAAGATTAACGTAGGGTTTTCTTTTCTGTTTTAAGTTGCAGTTTTTGTTGCAACAAAGCTTCGAACAAGTTAACTATCGAGGTGCTTGGGTTTACAGAGAAAAAGGTTCAAAGTGTGAGACATCTTCAATTATTTTTCCCAATCACGCGTCAGAAACAGTGTTTCCTCTGCTCATGTGATGACTTAACGATTCAACTCAGTATTTTCAGTCAGTGTTTGACCGCTGAGACACACAGAAGCCATATGGACTTTGACGTTGTGGTAAAAGCAGGGACAAAAGTGATCACTTAAGGTCTTGGTGAGATTTTTTTTTACATCTTATGTTTTCAAGCTTTTGATTGGTTGATCCCAAAGCTCCCTTGTATCCCCCCTTTCATTGCTGCATTGCTCTTTTTGCTGACCTGTCTGCTAATGTCTGTGCCTCCGTCTGTTACATCACATTAAAGCCAAGTCATTCAAAAACGGCCCTTAAAGCATCTGCACAGCCATGCTCATCCACACAGATGATGTCACTTACTTTGACCGATAACTACTGTTCAGGTTGTCATTTTATTTTATTTTATTTTACTTGTTTTAGCACGACAGTATAGTTGCCAAACATTCTGTAAAGAGGTCCCATTCACTCAGAATCTACGTGGCTGTGCAGGGCTTAAGTCGCACCATTCATTTTTACTTCTGTTTGATTTTTTTCTTTTAAATTTAGTCTGTTTTGTTCCCCATGGTCTCATTTACAATCGCCTTTCTGTAATGTGCCTAAACTATGGAGAGGAAAGAACTCATTTAATTTTGCCTTTCATATGAAACATATTCAAGCCTGAAACGTAAATAAAATACTGCTTTATACTACTTTGTCTTATTATATTATACTGTTTTTACTAACTTCAATAGAGCGTACTTGTATTTTTAGCTGTTTTTTAACCATTAACCAACTGCTGGGCGGCAGTAGCTCAGAAGGTAGAGCAGTCGTCCAATAACTGGAATGTTGACGGTTCAATTCCCCCCTATCCAGAGTCTGTCCGTTGTGTCCTTGGGCAAGACACTTTACCCACCTTGCTTCCAGTGTGTGTCCTCCACTGGTGTATGGTTGTGAGTGTTGTGTGGTGGTGGTGGTCGGAGAGGCTGTAGGCGCAAACTGGCAGCCACGTTTCCATCAGCCTACCCCAGGGCAGCTGTGACTACCAAGGTAGTTTACCACCACCAGGGTGTGACTGTGTGAGTGAATGAATGATGTATCCAATGTAAAGCGCCATAAAAATTTGATGCATTATTAATAAAAGATGCTAATCACTGTTAAATGACCTATAATTTAGTTATAATTTTTAAGAAACAGACATATTTACACCTATTTTATAAAAAAGTTTTAAAAGCAGTGATTTATTTTTTATATAAGCAAAAGCAGAGGTAATGATTTAAATATTGTTCGTGATTATTCATTTCCTTGAAGTAATAATCACCATATTAATCATTTTGTACTGTAGACACGGTAGTTCTTCTGCCTTAGCATCTCAGTCTGATTGCATTTCCATGAAGAAATGTTTATAAATATTCTTCCTTGAACTGCGGAACTCCGTTGCACTCGGTGATGGACTCGTCAGGAAACCCCCACAAACAAGCAGCTGCTGGAAGAGAGTAGGTGAGTTGTGCTTCGTCTCTTTGCTGAAGAAATTAGGCAAAGTTAGAAAGATGTTTGATGACTAGTCCTATGGCTGGGACCCTTTATGTACATTGATGAAATTAGGTGCTGTTCTGAGCATTATTTGTGGCTAAAGAGTGGCTTTTTGGTTGAGGTTTGCATGTGGAGACATAGACCGCTGTGTGTTGCTATTGTGTGGTCGTTACTAAAGTTGATACAACTAGACAAGCAAGCAGTCCACAACAATTATCTCTGGAATTGCCTAACTCAGTGTTGCGGTGTGTTTGACCCTTACTTTATTTTATACCAGAATATCCCTTTAAGGGGTAAAGCATAACACTCAACGCACAAGTTTATTACATTCTTTTTATTCTGCAAATACCACCTGTAAAAATTATACATCAAGCCTAAGTAGGGAACTCTGATAAAAGTTCACAGTTCTTTTACAGTCAAATTTTACGTGTAGGAAAGTTCCATAAAAACAAAAGTACGTACACGTCAGCGACGTAAAGATGCACTTGATGCTACAACACAAACCGGGTTCAACGTAGTCTACCAAAGTGTGTTGTTTGCTTTGTTTAAAGTTTGTTTCCAACAGCAGGGTGCTTGCCTTCTTTGGATGGCAGACTTTTTTTCTTCCAAGCCGGACATCTTTATGTCGTATTTCAACCAAGTATTATGTACAAGCTAAAAAAAGAAAAAAAACAAAAAAAAAAGAAAACAATAACAATCAAAAGAACATCAGTGCTGTTTCACATAAGACACTATGAAGAGCCTAGCTAACACTTAAAGTAAGCTGCAAGCATGACGTCAAAGTGTATGAGTGCGAGTAGGTGGGGAAAAAAATATGAAGATGACGCAATAGAAAAATAATTTGTTTCACTTTAAGGCCTAGGCAAGCACCTGGTAAAACTGTGCAGCTTTTCGTACCCCTACAACAAACATTAAACAGAGTTCAATCTGTGCAGATCCATTTTGAGCCTTGTTTGGTCATTCGGTGTCCAAACACAACCCCTCCTCAGACTCCTGATCAACATCTGCCGGGGTCTCAACACTTCTCCTTTCTTCCCTTTCCTCATCTTTCTCCAAGAAGTCGTTTTTTCTTCTTTTTTTTTCCCCCCATCACAGCAGGCGGGGAGAACAAAAACAGTAGAGGGAGACGCCACCCCGCCCTCCACCACAATCACTTCTCTGCTCGAGTCTACGCTGGAACTTCCTTCTGAGGGGAAAATGGCGGCTGGGAGGCCAGTGGAGAAGGTATGTGTGGCGGGGAGTTGGCTCAACAAGGAAAAAAGACAAGGGAGTAAAGGTTGGCCAGTAGGATGGATGGATGAAATGAAGGGGGTGGGGGGAGTTAGTTGCTTCAGCGTCCATCTCACGTAATGGGGGAGGTCAAGCCTACCTCTAGGGGTGTGAGTGAAAAGAGGGGGAGGGAAGGGTAAGGATGGTTTTTCAAGGTCCATCCAGTGATCCTGTTACAGCTGCATCTGCCGTCTTTTTCCTCGGACTGCCGACATAAAGACCACCTGTGTCGTGAACCGCCTTCCTCAGACAAAAGGCCTCCTCAGTCAGTTCCTGAAGTAATTAAAAGAAAAGAAATTAAAACATCCATCGCCATGACAACAAGCTCCACGCGTAAATCCTCACGATTACACACAGTGAGCTGGTGTGAGACGTGTATTTGTTTTAGTCACAGCACGCCTCTTACCTCGTAAGTACGATCAGTGTGTTTGCATGTTTCACCTCAAAGTGATTACACATGGTGTGGTAATTATCAATCTCTATTCACTGCAATTTCACAACATGTTTTCCCATCATAATCACAGACCTAATTAAAACTTCAAAAAACACACTTGATGTCACACTATAGCGCAACGGATTCAGAGTCGCAACAATAGGTTTGTGAGAATCAATTAACTAATTAAAAGACGGTTATTCTGGCACTAAGCAAATATCTTCTCCAGGGATATACATTCAGATTTCTGATTTACCTTTGCAAGTATATCTTGAGGATTTGGACTATCACTCAGGTAAAAAAAAATGCATATAAAAGGATATAGATCAGGGTTTACCAGGCAGAAAATTAGACAGGCCAATAACTGAAGCATCCTGAAAGTAGTATTGGTAAAGTAAGGGATGCACCGATCCGATATTTGAATCGGATATCAGCTCCAATATTGACAAATTAACCGGAACAGTAATCGGATGAATGATGCCGATCCAGTCTTTTTTTTTCTCTTAATTATTTTTTTTTTAATACATGGAGGTCTAACTTCTTTTTTCTGTGTGCTCATGTGCAATTTGTTATTTGTTAATAAATAATGTGAAGTAAATTTAGGCTAATGTCAAGCCTGGTGCCTTCACTCACAGGGCAGGTATACAGTTCATTCATTCAACAGTAGTATTGGATCAGTATCAGATATTGGCCGATACGCTCAGCCCAGGTATTGGTATTGGAATCTCTAGTTATGGTGTCTTGTGTCCCTGCTGGGTCTGTCTTACTCGTGTGTAATATGAAAGACTACCTTTACAGTCTGGATTCACAGTCTTGTCAGCGTTGACCTCCTCTGCCTCTTCTGTGACGCCGCACACCGACTGCTCCATTTTCTCCTCCATCCCACCTCCCGTCTGCGGCTCCAGAGGGGACGACCCTGCTCTTTGTGGCTCAGCGGCTGCACCTCGAGCAGTTACAGCAGCAGTTTGTTCCGTTCGGTGCGTAGAGGACTTAGTGGAAAACCAATATCGCACCAGGTCTGTGGTTAAACCACTTGCCTCAGACAGTTCCTGCAACTGGGGGTTGTAAATTATCTGTATTAGTGCAGGGCTACAAATCAGAGGACATGCACTCATGAGATATGGTTCTGTTTTTACCACACATTTCAAAAACCAGCTTATAGTGAGTTTTATTAATCCTGCCTGTCCTAATCTTTAATCCTGCCACTCATGGTTGATCTTTTTTAAGGTTTTAGTTGTTTTAAAGCGTCTTATTAACAGTGTGGGTCATAATTACCTGCGACTCCTCAAACCTGCCATGTTTGTCAAGGTGAGTCAGGAGAACCTCTTCGTTCCCCTTCCTGAGGTCCTCTTCCAAAGCGCTGCTCTGATGAGCCTCGAGCCACTTCAGCTGCCCGTTCTTCTGCACATACCGACAGTCTCCGAACCAGCGCACCACCTCTGGTCTGGGTAGTCCAGTACCTGAGATTAGTTCGTCATACTGAGTAGCGCTCGGCCACTGGGTCCGGGCGTAGACTTGTTTGAGCAGTTGCAGCTGCTCTGCTGTCTTCTTCCCCCGGATGGCAGTGAGTTTTGGGGACGGAGAGGGTTTGGGTGTTGGGGTGGAGGATTGTGGTGGTTTAGGGGTTGTGGACGGGGAAGAAACAGGTGTGCTGCTGGACTGAAGAGGTAACGCGGGACTGTCCGACCCTTCACCCTCTGCTTTGCCGTTGGCTTCTGTAACCTTTAGCATCTTCAGATTGATCTTAATTGGGTTGACTTTGAGTTCTCCCGAACCGTCCTCTTTCTGTCTCTCCTCTCCTTCCACCTCCTCCTCCTCCTCTCTCAACACCCGCTCTGCCTCCTCTTTCCTTTTCTCAGCTGCCATTCTCTTTTTCCTCTCAGTGAACCAACCGTGGATCTCTCGTCTGGTCATCTTGGTCTCACATCGCAGTCTGTCCACCTCCTCTCCTGATGGATCAGGGTCCAGGGCAAAACTGGCTTCCAGAGCCTTTACCTAAACACAATGGAGGACTGAGCATTAGTACAAGTCAGGGGGGACTGATTTGATGATTCCTTGTTCAAAATTACTGAAATATTTAAAAATGTCAAAAGTTTTTCATTCTTATTTTTAGACTGTTTATCAATTAAAGAATAAAGTCATCAAAATTCATGGCATGGACAAAGGATTGCACATTTTTAGAGATAATCTAGACTAAGATTAGAACAAATATAACCTCTAAATCCACTTCCACCTTGAACGAGTCAGCCTGAGGACCAGGTGCTACAAAGACCCTTCCCCTCCTAACCCCAAACACCAAGTTTATTTTTTTATCGTCAAACTTCCGCCAACATTGAACTCTCTCACTTACGGCTCTCACTAGTTTCTAATCTCACCTGATGAGGTTCTCTCTCCTTGTAGCGGATAGCCGTGAAATCAGGCGAGGGAGGTCTGGGGATCCGTCTTGAAGGTGTAGTGGGAGAAGTAGGGGTCTGTGATGCAGTTGGGCTCAGGGCTGCAGAGCTGTGCTGGGGGGTTTTCGAGCCCGAACTGTTGCTGCTGTCAGACAGATCCACAGGGTTGGCGGCGCTGCTACCTGCTCCAGACGCACCGCCAGACTTAGTCTGTCCACCTGAGCTGGAGCGAGCTCCTTTCAGGTTGCGAAAGTGGTATCGCCGATCGCTGAACCACTTGCGGACTTCTCGAACCGTGAGCCCAGTCAGAGCGATGAGCCGGTCCACCTCCTCCTGGTCGGGAAACTGGCTGGCTTGGAAGCTGTCCTTCAGAGCGTTTAGCTGCTCCTGGGACTTCTTGCTCTTGTTAAAACTCGGGTCTAGAAACGAGTTCACAGGAGTCCGAGAGCCGGATGTGCTGCTGGAGGGAGCAGGGGAGGAAGACTTTGACGCGGGGGAGGATGCATCCTCCATTTTGAAGGTTGGAGAATCACTGGTGGGCGGGTCCACATCGTCTAGGATTGTGCTGGTTGTGTTGTTTTTCTCACTGCTACCATTGCTCTCTTTGCCTTTCTTTCCATCACTTCCAGTTCTGCTGTCATCTTTACTCGCTTCGATCTCTTTGCCGTTTTTGCTTTCCGTGTTGTTACTCAGCACGCCGCTCGTGTTGTTAGCTTTGCTGCCGTCACTGTTCTTAGCACTGACATGACCGCTTGTATTATTGCTCTTTTTGGCGCTGTCCGCATTGGCCCCTTTGTGCTTACCGCTGACACTGCTCTCCTTTGCATTACTTTGATTGCTACTTCCGAGACTAAGGTTGATGACACTGGCTAGACTGCTGGATGTAACGCTGCTTCCTCCTCCCCCACTCCGACTACTATTACTGCTAATGATGCTGTTCCCAGTGCTGCTGCTGCTGCCCACTGTCCCCACCACCATGCTTATGCCTTTGTCTGCTACCAAGGCAGCAGCAGGACGGGCCTGCATCATGGGGCGAGCAGCCGCCTGAGGCTTAGGAGTGACAGCTAAGGCCACGGGGGCGCTGCTAACCTGGATACCATTCGCCATAACAGGCTGTGTGACGATCACCCCTCCCTGGCTGACAAGAGAGCCCTGCAGGATATGAGGGATCCCAGCGGCGCCGAGCGAAGCAGGCAGGACCGTGATGGTGTGCTGGGCAGGGCTGCAGTGGCTCTGGTTCTGGTTTTGTGAGACAGCAGGTGTGGTCTGGATGATGGTGTTGAACATCTTCCTCCGGGCCTCTTCGATCTCCTCAGGAGACCAGCTGATGCCTTGTTTGAGTCTCTGTGCTGTGAACCAGATCTTGATCTGCTCCTCGGGGAACTTCGTGACCACGGTCAGGTAACAGAGCTCAGCCTTGGTGGGGTACGGGAACTTACTGAAGGAGGTTTTTAAGAAGGAGGAAGAGTCCATGGAGGCACTGTAAGTCGGGATGCTGCTCAGAGGAATCATCACCTTGGGGGGGAGAGAAAAAGTGAAAACATGAGCCGCAGATTACTCCGTCATTTAAAATCCAATTATATCGAAATTGGAAAGGGGACACAAATATCTATGCTGCTACCTTGGGGAGATTTTTGGAGGATGATTGCGAGGAAGTGGAGGAGACATTGGTGGAGGCTGTTGCAGACTGATGAAGGTTTCTGTTTTGAACGACTGAGACCACCTTGAGGAAACAGATTAAGAATCAGATTTTATCGAATCAAACAGAAACACTTTGAGACAGAAAGAAGAACCACTGACCTGCGTGATTGGAGTCTTAAGCATCGGCAACGCTCCGGAGCCGTTGACGATCTGGATCGCTGAGGGCAGAGTGACCTTTGTTGTCCCGTTGTGGACGATAGTTGGAACATGGGTGACGGACACTGCAGCAGTCTCTTTTCTCTCGCTCTCTCTAGAGTGAGGGTCTAAAGAGGGCTCATCAGAGATCGGGTGGGACACCACTATCCTTTTAGGCTCAGATTTCCCCTTCAGCATCCTCATGATCGGCGTTTTTGTGATGGAAATCTCGCTGTCCTTTTCCGGTTCTCCCCCAGCCACCAGATTCTGCTCCACCACTACCCTCCTGTCCTTCTTCCTCAGCTGCAGAGACGTGGTCAGTGTGCTGGGGTGAACCCTGGCGTTGTGCAGGGCCAGTCCCTCAAACTTGGGTGCGGAAATCCCACAGTTCACACAAAAGAAACTGGGGTCTGCTCGAAAGTCGGGGTGCCCGGAGTACACGTGATCCAGGAACAAGTTAAGGTCGTGGGTTTCGAAGTTACAAGGCTTACAGGTGTAAGTGCCAGCACCATCTTTCACAGCGTCCCCCACCTCTGGTTTTGAAGACTCTCCTGGATTGAGGGGGCTATGTCTGCCCCCACCAGGAATCCTCGGTTGAAGGACAGGAGCAGGAGAGCCCCGTTCAGCCTCCTCCGCAGGGCGTATGATCTTACTGGGGATCATACAAGGGATAGTGGACTTCCTCTTGCTAGCCATGGTGCGACCACAAGGTGGGGAAGGCTGGGTCAGATGGCTTGCCGGAGAGGTGGGGGTGAGAACACTGGTAGTTTCTGGTTCACTTAAGACCAGGTTGAGAGGAGGGGGAGCAGCGGGGCAGATCCATGAGTCCACTTGAGGCTCTCAAAGCAGTTTCAGGAGAAAACCTGGAAAAGAGCGAAAAAAAAAGTGACTTTTTGAGGACACAATGTGAAGAGCAAAAACTTAAACATCAGGACAAGACAGATTCCCCACAGCTGGAAGAAAAAGTGCACATGCTGGATGTTCCCAGGTGAAAATTAAGAGTAGTTGTTGTCATAATGAGGCCTTACGAAGAGGCTGAAGCGCCGCGTTGTTCGTCATTCTCTAATCTCAACGTTTTTCCCGCATCTCCCTTGCACCATGAAACTCAAGGCTATGTCATTTATGAGGTTATTCAGACAAGCTCATTCTCCTTCACTGGAGGCTTTTTGGGAAAGCTCCTGTCCTACCCCCTTCTTTCCCCTCCCCCACACAACTCTGTCTCACTTCCCCTCGTTCAGACACACCCCCACAGAGAGGAGCACATTCTGTATTTTCTTTTTAATCCACAGCCTCCGTAGCCTCGCTGAACACCTTAATAAAGATATCCAAGAATTATTCACTTCTGAACGTGTTTCTTCTGATAGGGTAATGGTGCGAGTGGGTGGTTCGACAGATGTTCCCCTTGGAAAAAAATGGTGTTCTTGCTCAAGGGTAGAACAGACAGTACAGACAGAACTAGCAAAATAACGTCAATCTCCAAATTTTCACTTTTAATTCCAGCGGCTTGCCTCCCTCCCTACTCTGCTCCCTCCAGAGGGGTAGTGATGCAGTTTTGGAGGACAGCTCTAGGGCAATTACCCTTCCAATCACCCCGCACCGACATGACACCTCACGCACAGAGCAGCTAAAGCTCAACAAAGTCCAACGCCTTCAAGAAGCTCAACAGGAAAACCCTAAACCCCTTGAAAGCCCGGCTCCTCCTTGTGCAAAGGTACCTCACAAACTAACCCAACCCTGCCTCAATCTGACATAATCTACGCACAAACAGGCACATGCAAATGTCAAAGTTCCGGATTACAAATACGGCCTCATGCAGACAGGTGAGAATCACTCCAAGTCAGTATCATCGTTCAACTAAACAAACTCTTCCCGACCTCATTTGACTTGTTTGAGCGTCAATGAAAACTTAATTGGATTGATATCAAATTGAACGTCTGTGCTTGTTTTGAGAGAGAGGGATCCGAGGGGTTAACTAGCGAGGGAAGTTTGCCACTGTTGCGAGAACGTGATGCCCCCTTGTTCCTCCATTCCTCCACGCACCCCCTAGAGAGAGTAACTGCCCTTCGCCGGGGCTGCCGCGCACCCCTCCTGCTCCTCTGCCATTCAGTTCTGCATCAGGGGGCACCGCTCTGCCAAGGCAGGCTGGTCACATGACCTACACAAAAGCTTATGGGTGGGCAGTCTCAGCCATCCATCACGTGGTGCCGTTGGGTGTGGGTGGGCAGGCGAGAGAAAAGGAAAGGAGAAGAGAGAGAGGGAGAGAGAGAGAGAGAGAGAGAGAACGATGGGGGATGGGCAGCCAGTTTTGGGGGTGAGGAGGCGAAGGGGAAGGAGGGGTGTTAACAGTCGTGGAAGAAGCACTGAGGTGTTTCAGAGAGGAATTTTTTTTTCCTCTAGTACCCCCCTCCAACTAGCCAACACTGACCCACCCAGCACACCCCCCACTCTTCAACGCCCCCTTCTTGCTCCTGACTACAATCACACACTCCTTCCCTCCCCTACTCCCCCCCCCCCCCCCCCCTCGCTGCACTGCAAAGCCTGGAATGTTCCAACCCGAGCTCTTCAGCCAGTGGACACCACCTGAAGCTCACACATGCGTGTCATTGCCTACCTTGACTAAAACAAAAGCGTGTTGTCATCAAGAATGTCATCTCATCGTCTTTTGGCGACCAAATTCTCCTCATGCACTTATTTCATGTGAAAAAAAAAAAACATCTGCAGGCAAAAGTTGAAGGTAACCAGCAGACACCCACAAGCCTTACACAGGTGAGAGTTAAAACAATGCACAATACAAGCCAAGCTATCATTGGCTATTCAGAATTGTCAGCTCATGTCTCAGCAACGCACGGGTTCTGTCGACTCATCAGCCAGGAACTTTAATTTGACGTTGCATGCATTGACCGTCTGTTGCCGATGTCAGGTTCAGGTCTCTTATATCCGTGTGTCAGTGTTTGCATGTGTGGGTTTCCTGTGAGATCGAGAGTGTAGAGAGAGAGGAGGTGGGGTGGGTAGGTGGGGGCGCTTGTGTGCTCGAGTGTGTGTGTGTATGTGGCGTGCGGGGGTGGCTGCCTGCATGCCTGTGTGCGGCTTGTTTACTGAGGTAGTGAGGCTGCCAGTTTTTTTTTTTGTTTTTCTCCTTCGTTTGAGAGTCAGAGATCTGCCGGTGACACACAAAGACAATGTTTTTGTCCTTCTTGGTTCAAAACCTGTATCATCTAAGCCTAATCATTGGCCCAGCGTGGCATGACCTCTTTTCATCCCCCTGGCCTGACTCTTGTCTAGGCCTGGGTTATATCCTCTGAGTGCAGGCCAATAATAGCACACACACACACACACACATACACACACGTACACTATACGCCAGCTTGGCTGAGTAGCAAAACTGCATGTTCCCCTCCTCACCTCACTATGAATACAGGTGTAATGTTGTGTGTGTTACAAACGCAGTGTTAACAGTGCACAACACCACAGGCAGACCTCTTCTTGTCTGCTCCATTTCTCGCTTCCTCACCCCTCTTTTTCCTCCCCTCTCCTTCCCCTCCCACCATCTCTGCGCCCTCTGCTTCCCCTCCCCTCTGTTCCTTCTTCTCCTCCCTCTTCCAGCTAGTTTGGCCCAGGGAGACAGGTCGGCAGCGCCACTGGTGTGTTACTGTCCCCATGGCAACCACCTCCTACCCCCCCCCCCCCTTCTCTCCCACCAGCTCATTTCGCTAAAGCACATGCATGTGGGTAAACACCAAGGCCTACACACACACGCACATACACACATCTCCTATGCCATCCAGTCCTTGGCTCTAGTGGGACTTGTTTGTTCCACACACCCCTGTGAGTGGTATTTGGAGAGTCCCTGCCCTGCTCCTATTTCAGTGCCTCCCTCACGCGGTGTTGATGTCTCCGTGCTAGGTGTGGTCGCCATCACCAAGCCACTCTATTGGCTGGTGCCGTCTCTTCCTGTTCATTCAGCGCGTGAGTCCATGTCCAGACATCTGCCGGGGCTTCACCCTTGTTCTTCACTCTCAGTGGACCTTATGTTGAGCCTAAAATGTAGGAGCTCTGTATTCACAGTAGGTAACATGGGCATGGATTCATAAGCAGAGCTGAAATATGTGGTAGATGCAATCTTGTTCCATGAGAAGCCCCCTTTATCCCCAAGTGACTTCAAGCTAATTTTCAAGCCTGCGCCAAAACACAAACCTACGCCAAAACCCTTTGCTTTTTTCTCTTTAATGTGCCAAAACAAAAATCCTTCGCCATTTCTATCCGGACCCAAACAACATACGCTTTGGCAGATAATCCTGTTCTCTCGCCTAAAAAAGTCACGGATACAACTAACCTCCTCCTGTCAATCAACTCCAAGGTTTCATTCACACCTGTACTGGCAGCCAAAGCTACACTTTTTGTGCGTCTGGACTTCTCTGCAACCCAGTTTCAAACATTACACAACACTGTCGACAGTAAGAAAACCTCAGTGACTGGGTCCACTCTTGAGTCCCCCTTTCAGCTGGTCTCAAGTCAGGGAGTGGACGGCTCTGTGGGTTGCAGATGGCTGCATTGCTGTGGCCACTACCAGTGCACATGCATTAAAACTGGGTTGCCGTGAGGGGAGGGAGGGAGAAAAAACATGGCGGAGCACCATGCTCTGTGCTGTCCAACCTAAAATGGCTGACTTCACAAGCTGTTACCCAGCCAAGCAGAGCAAGAGGCTGCTACTGCTGCTGACCCAAACCTGCTCGCTCTGTCTGGTTGTGTGATTGGAGCGCGCTGCTCTTCCCAAAAGACAGTGAGAAAAGGCTCTGAGGCTGCTGCAGTTGAGTCTGCTTTTTATGGTCATTCTTGGAGGAGATCTGGAAGTAAAATATCATCACAGAGAGGAGATGAAACTGTGAACGGATCCTTTAATGCTTAAAAAAAGAAGATTGGGAAAGAAAAACAAGGAAAAGATGTGAAATGAACCAATGTGAAAGGCGTAAATACAATTATCATGAATGTTGGGGTGACTGATTCTTTCATATAATGAAAACTCCACAAACCTGAAACTAAAGGGAAGAAAGGGGGTGGAGGGAGGGGGTAAAAAGGGGAGGTGAGTGAGGCAGCTCAATGTACAGACACAGCAACACATCATGATGAATACCAGCAGGTTGAGGAAAATTTACAAAAACTATATATATATAACAAATTCAAGTGGTTGCAACAAACTTTTGTGAAGCAGTACCGATCTTCAGCTGTGAATCATGAATTAAAACTCATGTAATGAACTAAATGTCTGAAAGCGTTCAAACAAAGGTGAACCCTTGTTGATAAATAGATCGCTGGGCTAAGCTGATTGTCTATGCCTGGGACTCACGTGGACACATCAGACACAAACTAGCTGTCTGGGAAAGCTTTGCTCTAATCCCCAGAGTCACACACTCATGACAACACTGACATGATAAATAACCAAGGCAACAACAGCTTGCAAACTCATAAGTGAGTGTTGGGCAACAGGGAAATAAGCCTTGAACTCTTGCTTGTACTTTGAGAAAAGTGCTGCAGCATTGATTTTAAAGCAAAGCTTATGACATACTGATAAAATAGGTTTTATGAAACAAGCTTGTGAATTAACCATGGTACATTTCCTATTTGATTTTAAAGGGCAACTCGGAAAAAAACACTCTTAGTCATCACTTATAGTAGGTCAAAGTGATCCTCAACTTCTTCATTCATGGGCTAAAAGGAGAATTAAGAAAATCTCTCTTATGTATAAAAAATTAGTTTATAGTTTTAATCTTTAACTGACATTATCATGTCATTATTCTATAAAAATCTGCCTTAAAATTAGAGTAAGTAGGGGGATTTTTGTGAAACAGCTCTCATGCAAAGTGAGCGTTCAGTCCCTGAGCGCAGCAGCGTCAAACATTTCCGAAAATGATGCCTGTTCATCTTCCGCTCAAGTTAGGAGGAGTGAGCCCCAACTTGATGGGCTTGTCCTCGTGATACGTTTTAAACATCGTAGTGGATTTAGAGTTGAGAGGCAGGCAAACCCCTAGCCCAAAAACTACTCTCTCTCTCTCCCTCGGTTGGCTGTCGCCATTTTAAGCAGGCGACATGCAGCTGGCCAGCACTGCTGAGCCAAAGCGCAGCCAGCCCGCAAAGGTAAGCCTTCACAATAGCTCACACACACAAGTTTGGGAGAAGGTGAAACACTTGTGAAAATGAGTATGATAAAAGCACACTCACCTCGCTTCGTCGGAGCTCAGTGTATGCAGCAAAGGGTTGAAAAAGTTTACAATGATACGGGCTCGGGCTGACGGGAGGTTTGGGCTTCACTGATGGTAACTTAGAGGTGTAAGCCCCCTCTGTCCATCGGCCGGTGATCAGCGTGACACGGGAGCCAAACCGGTCCCTGCAACGACCCTCTCTTTTTTACGCTTGTTTATTTCGAGAGGCTCTCAGCGTTGAAGCAGGCAGTGGAGGGGAGGAAAATACGACGGACGTACCGAGGGAAGAGACGGACACGTGACGCAGACGTCACTGACGGTGGAGTTGGCGTGAGAGCTCGAGCTCCACCGTGCACAGAGAAGAAGTGCGGTGGACATCCCATCATGACTTTGACCTGACTGAGCAGGGGGGGTCGCAGTGAAGTTTCAGAGAGAGACAAAGACCTCTCATGACCGGGTTTGAGTGATGGTACAGCGGCTCACACCTGTCCCCCTCCCAGGTGACCTCTCTTAAAGGGATAGTTACCTCGAAACATGGAGTCAAAAGTTTTACGCATACAGCCGCAAGTTACCCAAAAGGCGCACTGAAAACTAGTGAAATCACGCACACACAGCAGATTATAAAGTATATGACAGAGTTTGATGTTTTGCATAGTTAAAAAGTGGGCGGAATTAAAGGGACCATTGTGGGGAGTTCAAGATCCAGCTTTGGGAATGTGAAGTTCACCAGAGGGAACTTGGTGTGGTTGATATGCAGCAATAGGCTACACATGGGCTTTACTACATATGCTCTTATCTGTGGAGGTCACACCTTTTCCAAGGTTAACAAAACAAGAAAAAGGTGGATAGGACAAAGCAAAACAAAATCAGAAAAAAAAAAAAAATCAGAAATGAAAAGAAAAATACAAACAAAATTACTAACTCTATGCCCTACCTCGTTGCAATAGGCTTCACGTGGGCTTAACTACATATACTCTTATCTGTGGAGGTTAACAGAACAAGGAAAAGGTGGATAGGACAAAAGCAAAGTAAAACAGCAAATAAAAAAACAGAAATGAGAAGAAAAATACACACAAAATTGCCAGCTATATGCCCTACATCGTTGGTGCACTCACAAAAATAAGATAATAATAAGAAAAACTTTATGAATCCCCGATGAGAAATTCAATAGTCTGTTGTCTCACATAATATGGCTCCAAAATTTATCTACTATTAACACAAGAGTTACAAAGTCTGATGGCTGTTTGTACAAAAGATCTTCTGAATTTTTCTGTCCTGCAGCGAGGAGAGAGGAGCCGTCCACCACCATTGGCCCTTTGGTCCATCAAGGTGTTGTGAAGTGGGTGATCCATGTTCTTTAGAATAGTCTCCACTTTCCTCAGTGTAGATCTCTCCAAGATCTAAGATGGTTTCAGGATAAATGTTGGCCCTTGATCTGACGCAGAGAACCACAGAGTAATGAGGTACTATGGTCAGGCCTATGTAATGATGCTCAATCCCATTGATAGACTATGTATAACATTCAGAATTCATCTAGCTCTTGCACAGCAACCATGGGGGCCCCTGTTTAGGCCCCTGTAGCCGTAGCCTACTTTACACAGACATGTATTAAATCCCCATTGATGGCAGGGGCAAATATTCATCACTTGACTTTGTACTCACTACCTTTATGATAAAGATATCACCTGTTATTTAGATAAGACCATCTAAAGAAAAAGTCTTATAGTTACTTATGCCCATGCAAAGAGTTAATTAGTGTGTAAATATTAAGGTGCATTTGTTTAAGGTGTCCCTGACTAAACTGGTTGAGTCAATATGTAGTAGCTCCTCTGCACATTTTAGAGCAGCAAATTGTGTGCAGTATATATCTACTTTGATTACAGTCACAAATGAGATCATGTGTTTACTTTCTCGTCTTTCTCATAGGAATATTTATACCATGACGGATAAAGCTCACCACATATTAGCTACAGCTGGGCTTCTGAAATTGTGAACTTACTGCTCAGTATTGCAATTACATCATATAAAATCATTCTGAGACTTTTATTGATTTTCCATTAAGCGGTGTGTATTATGCATGCATGCAATTACACTGAAATTAAAAATGATGACACATCGCCCACAGCATCCTGAGTGAGTCATACTTAGTTAGTCAGTTCTTTTAGACTCAAAAAAGAAACTAAGGTACAATTACTGTATCAGGTTAACAGTTTAACTGCACAGTATAATTAAAATGATTGCAGCCTCACACTCAGGACAAAATGCAGATAGATAATATAGTTGTACAGATTAAGAACACATAAATTATACAAGTTCTACATTTTAAGTGCTTCTCAGCATTTTCATATATCCTTTAAGTCTCAGTGATGTTTAACAAGCCTGTTATAGGACAAAGGTGCTGTTATTACTATATTTTGAACCTTTGTAATCATGTTAAAGGCAAGATTACAGCTTAATACAGGTAAGTTAAAGTTGATTTATCAATTCAAGTACGGTCGAACTTTGGTGGCCAGCTCCAGTCAAGAGTGATGGCCAGGTGAGGATGGATCAAGGTTGGTCTACTGTCCCTGAAAAGACTGGAGCACACCATTACAAAGGAGGCCCTCTCCTGGAGATCTGGGATAATTACACAACATTTTTGATGACTCCAGCAGGGTTTTGGTCTATGCAAGGTGTTAGGGTGGTTTCTTTTGCCAGTCATGTCAGCCTTTAGGGTGGTGAAGCTGTGTCACTCAAATACCGTGGATACTTTGGTGCTAGATTCCTGGAGCCATAAGCCTCCGACAACTAACCTCAATAAGGACCTTGTACCCATGTTTAACATCATTCAGGCTCCCAAAATATGTTGTGCTTTGTTATTTCCCTACATGGACTCTCCTTCAGGTCGACAAGATGCAAGCAGAATGTTTGCAAACGTGGACGGCTATATATACTTGAACAGTCTCAGACGAATGTGTGTTACCCAGATCTGCAACCAGTAAAGCTTGTCAAAATGATCATTTGTGTGGACCTTCCATTTTTTAAAGTGTGAACATGGGCGAGGCTAGCCTGGCTGATGTCAAGTGATTCACGCAACAGGATGGCCCAGCCAGGCTAGGGCGAGGCATCCTTACACAAGGAAAATGAAAACTGAAAGTAACTAACCTGCTCAGTAGTATTTCATGAAACCCTTTTGATATTATAGAAGATTTTGGTGCATTTTAGGGACCTTTTCTATGAAGTGGTTTTAATTTTGTTTGGCTGGATACAACTTAAAATAAAGCATCTTACTTTTTTGTTGACAATACCTATACATAATAATAATATATTTATAATAAATAATTTTATTTATAACATGCTTTTACAAGTGCTCAAAGACGCTTCACAATTAAAATACAGAACAATTGGGAGTAATACACCAACAATGTAAAATGTTAAAAAAAAGACATAACATGAAAAGAGAATAAAAGAGGAGTTTACAGGTTAAAAGACGATTTAAAAAGGTGAGTTTTTAGGAGCGATTGAAAAGCATGGGGGTCTGTACAGTCGCTGATGGATTTGGGGAGTGAATTCCAGTTGGTTGGGGTGTCAGTGGCGAAGGCTCTGTCCCCTAAGTTGACAACAAAATCCTCCCACGGTTGGAAAGCAGATATTTATGATTTATGAGTAAAAACACAGAAAATGATCAACTGAGTGAAAAATCCAAACTTTCAGTGCCCATTAAAATATTCTCAAGAAGCAGCCTTAAATATATATAAATACCTAAGTGTACATCTGGATAGTAAGTTGGACTGGTCTAAGAATATAGACTTCATCTACAGAAAGGGGCAGAGCCGCCTCTTTTGCCTGAGAAGACTCCGAACAAATAGACATCTGTAGTAAGATACAGCAGATGTTTTATCAGTCTGTGGTGGCAAGTGTGCTGTTCTACGCTGCAGTCTGCTGGGGAGGAAGCATCAAACACAAAGATGCGAGACGTCTGAACAAACTGGTGAAAAAGGCCGGCTCTGTGGTTGGACTCAAGCTGGACTCAGTGGAGGATGTGGTGGAGAGATCTACACTGAGAAAGGTGGAGGCTATTCTAAAGAATACGGATCACCCACTTCACAACAGAGTGAATTCTGAATGTTATACATAGTCTATCAGTGGGATTGAGCATCATTACATAGGCCTGACCATAGTACCTCATTACTCTGTGGTTCTCTGCGTCAGATCAAGGGCCAACGTCTATCCTGAAACCATCTTAGATCTTGGCGAGATCTACACTGAGGAAGGTGGAGACTACTCTAAAGAACATGGATCACCCACTTCACAACACCTTGATGGACCAAAGGGCCAATGGTGGTGGACAGCTCCTCTCTCAGAAAGATTCAGAAGATCTTTTGTACCAACAGCCATCAGGATTTATAAATCTTGTGTAAATAGTGGATAATTTTTAGAGACATATTATGTGAGACAACAGAAAATTGAATTTGCCGTCAGGGATTAATAAAGTTCTTCTTATCTTATCTTATCTTACTAGTAAATCCGCATATATGGAAATTCATGTGACAAAAGACTTATTAATCCACAATTAAAAAATTGAATTTCCCTTTGTAAACTCACTGTTGCAGGTATTGTGGGTCTACTTTTAGTTTTAATTGGAAACATTTAGGCTGTGTCCAAAATGAATCACTCAAACCCTGACCCCTAACCCCCATATAGTCACCTGTATAGGGTTAGGGATCCATTTCGGACTCAGCCATACAAACTTCGGCCATTTGGCGTCGCTGTCAAATTTCACCAGCTTCTAACACCAGCGGCGCAGAAACGTCGCACTCTCTGATTGGCTCCTTTTAGCTGAGGTCAAACTATTACTGCGCATGCTCGCTCGGTCTTTTTTTGGTCAGGCACTGAAATCTGTCAGATCAGCGGTGAGCACTATCACCTTATATCTTCAAGTATTACACTGTGATCACTTCTTAAAGTGGGAAATAGAGGCTTAGATCCAGCTCTAGGTCTTTTCCGACTTCGGTGTTGTCTTTCGACGTCTGTGGAAGAAAGAAACAGCAGAGAATGACGAGCAGTTTAAAGCGGAAAGAAGAGAGTCATCTGCTGAATGGGGGTGTAAAACAGTCCACATGGAGCAAAGCCTTCAACAGTAATGCTGTTTGGGAGGAGAAGGTCAGTCTGCTGCTGCCCTCTTAAGATGCAGCTTAGCTCTCAGGATGTTGTATTAGACCAACTTAATTGTTGTGAGGTATTGTGTCTTGCAGCCATGCTAAGGCTGGGGATTAATCTGATTTGTCTATAATGTTAGTTTATAATCAAATCAATGAATCTCCTCTGGTATAGATTCTGTCTTCTACATTTTCAGTTTATGTTGACATGATCAGACAGGTGAGAAATGTCTTTTATTTTAGGTGATGAACAAGAGTGCATGATATAGAAATGTGTTTCTAATATCTTGCTTTTATAGCAGTGGGGGAAAAAAGCCACCCACAAACTTCATCTTCAGTAATAAATGTAAAGTACAACAATCAGCTGTCTGATCATGATAAAAAAACTGCTTCCTGAGGGTAGAATTTGCAGCTGAGCTGTTGTGGCCCGTGGAACTATTATATCTGGCCCACAAGATCATATCATATTTGTATTATTATTGGCCCACCAATATGAAGTCTATAGATTTCCTCCAGGATAATAATGTAAACTTTAGCACCATTATTTAAAATGTTCTTAATAAACCACGAAAATCTGGGAAATTAAATAAATAAATTTCACATAACTTTCCAAGAAAATGATCATCAATATAGAAATGACTTATACCATCTTCACAGCACATAAAGGTATATTAAAGCAAGTGAATATATAGATAAATAAAATGATCCTGAGGAAAGATTGAAAATAACACATACAAGATTATAGTCCTGAAAATGTCCTCAAGACCTGAAATGTCTTTGAATCTCTTATTTTTTTTGATACATACAGAGTTGTGAATATGTTTAGGAAAACCTGCCTTTAAAGGAAATTTTATGGCATTATTAAATTCAGGGTTGCTGCACTCTGTATTCAAAAATAAAACCACAGTTTAGGAGGCTGAAATATAACTAAAGATATTTGAGACATAGTAGCTTGGGAGGAAAGTACAGAATGAATTGGTAGAGGGACTCTTAATATATTATGTAGTGTATAACACTGTTGGCACAATTTTGCATGAATGGAACCACATCAGACATTTTAAGTTGCTTTTTTGACTGAATATAACAAAGTGGTCAGTGTTAAACAGGTCCCACCCCTACACACTGTACACCTGCCCATATTTACCGTGAAGGTGTTAAAGAGGAGAGCAGGCTGGAGTGACTAAAGTTGCTCATTCTGATGCAACATCTTTGATCAACCTGTCCTGGAAACTTCAGCTGTGTATACAGAGCACTTTAAACAGTATTTAAATATTCAGTATTGAAAGAAAAGGAGGGATAAGGAGTTTAGAATTTCAATATTTTGTACCAAAATTTGATGCAAAAAGTTAGATGTGAAGAAGTTACTGACAATTTTGTGTCTTGATCTACTGTTTTATGATCTGTAAGGCAATAAAGGGGATGTTTTTTTTCTATATTATACAAGTTAATATTTTGGATAGGGTCAATTCCTACTGCAGTTTTTAATGGTGACATAAATGTGTGACTGCCAGCTGCTCTAAATGGCCCATTCAGTTTCATAGTTTCTCCAATTTCAAGTTGATTTCCCCCTGTGCCTTCACCCTAATCTCTACCTTTAGGCCAAGAAACATGTCAGTGTCTTGTAATTTATCTAAATGAAGCGCTAATCTATATTCTTTTTTTACAGGATGAGTTTCTAGATGTGATATACTGGCTGCGGCAAATAATTGCAGTAATCCTCGGTGTGATATGGGGTGTTGCACCGTTGAAAGGGTTTCTTGGAATAGCCATGTAAGTATCGTACGCAGCCTCTGTCTACTCCACAGTTATTTGAGTTTAGAAGTGTATGCATCTCTGAAAGTGCTGAATAAAAAATGTCTTGTTTGTTTGCCTTCCCTAGATTCTGCATCATCAATGCTGGGGTCCTGTACGTTTACTTCAGCAGCTTTCAGCAGATTGATGAGGAAGAGTATGGCGGCACGTGGGAACTCACCAAAGAAGGCTTCATGACATCTTTTGCTCTCTTTTTGGTAAGCGTGCAAATAAAACATGGAAATACATGGACTTTTTAAGAACTATGGTGGGGAATTGACAATCTCCTCATAAATGTCAGATTCATTGAAGTGTCCAAGAGCTTTTAGAAAGTTCATCGGTTTCTTAAGCTCACCTCACAAAGTAATATGTATCAAGAAACATGAGCCATATTAGGATATGTGTATGATACATAAACGCAGGTGCAATCCAGCATCTTCTTGTGTGTTCGAGCAGAACTGTTTTCAAATAAGTGCTTTGAAACTATTCGCAAGTAAACCCTCATTTCTTACTTCACCAGCACCTCTTGCTTTAGCAGGCAACCTCTTGGCCAAACAGCTCTATCAACAGGAGCTGAGCTTGTTGTGATCAAAGGGATTTGAATACAACACAAACAAATTTAAATTCCATGTATCCTAAGGAGGGGCAGGAAAATTTCTGTTTTACATGGCCTACAATAAGGTGTGCCATTTTCTTATCAGATCTTCAATCGACTGCTTAAATCTTGCACAACAAGTTTGTTTCTTGCATGAAATCTGGATTTTCAGTTGAGATCTGGTTCTCATGTCCTACATTTTTAAAGAATTTAGTGTTAGTCTTTCTTTTGTTTGTACTTAAGCTTATCATGAGTAAATTTGTATTGAGTTCACTGTATTTACTGTAAGAAAATAACTCTCTGCTGTTAACAAAATGTAAAATTTCATCTTTGGTGTCTCTCTCTTTCTCAGGTGGTGTGGATAATCTTTTACACAGCTCTACATTTTGACTGAGAGGAATCCCTGGGACAGTAAATACAAACATTTCTGCTGAAGTTGCTTGTCAAGACAGAGGAACTCCATGGCCTGAGGGGTGTCAAGACTCCTGCATACAGTATGACTTTTCAGTGTGCAGTGTATCATGGGAATCTTAGTTTCGATTAACAAGATCCTGCAACACCACCGTGATGAACATGTTGAAATACTCTCAAATGTGCTCCTTTTGATGGCACCTTGCATTACACTCCCCATAAATGTTGTATACCCTTCCTCACTTCATTGTCTTCATAGATAAAGAAAAATAAACACTAGCGATTAGAGACGGCTTACACATCAGCTGAGATTTGTTGCAGTTCTACAGAAGAGGAGGGATGTTTCATATTTGTTGGCTTTCTCAGTTTTAGGAGAGTGACATGAACACAGATTCAAGACAACCACTTTGTGTAATCATCCCACTTTACTGACCATGAGATATGTGTGTGTAAAATAGAACTGGGCAATAAAAGTCAAGTATTGTTTTTTAATCATCAGATTTCAATCAGTGTTCCAGCGCTTTCTTTTGAGTTTGGAGACTAGATAGCACATATTCAATGAAAATAAGTGCAGAAGGTCAATTTTAAATGATCGGATAATAAAATTCCTCTCCGGAGTGTAGTCTGGATCTGAAAAAAATAACTTGTGTGTTAATTGTGGAGTCATCTGTTTCCATTCCTTTTAAACAGAGCATTTTTGATTAAAATCTGTGTCATGTTATTTCTCCCGAAAGGTCTGAAATCCAACTTATTTGAAAGAAACTGCTGCTGAAATCTCACTCGTGCTAATTCTAACATAAACAAAACAAAATGCTGTTGGTGAGCCACACATATCAGCTGATATCCAGTCCCGATGCAAATATCTGCCGATAGTTTCAACAAGCTGTTGCTTCAGTCCGAAACCGATAACCATGTATGTTATGTCAATCCAAATAGTTTCCTCACAGGGAAGAGGGAGGAAACATGCATGCCATTTACAGATGCAAATGTCCACAGATCTAAGCTACAAACCAATCTGTGCACTGCCATGACTTGCTGTTGGTACATTTAGATGTCATTTACTGATGATGTTAGGAGGTTAGAATTAATTTAAATTTATTATTTGTTTCTCACATGTAGCTTCCAGATCAAAAGTCTTACCTGTTTTTTTTTTTTTTGGAATTAATTTAAACTTGTCTGTAAATTCTGTACACTGTCCCTTTGTCAAATCCGCCTTGTATTACACAGATTTATTTGTACGTATGTTATATCTTGTTTGATGTAACATATTTCTCAGTATTTTATAGTGAAGAACTTTTAAAGCCAGTTCTCGCAAAGTTCTTGTAATGATACTGTTATATTAGATACACGGCTGGTGTTTGAAAGGATTGTATTTTCTGATCAAATCTTTTGGGAATCATTAAACATGGGCTTTATTTAGCCTCCATTTTCAAAGAGAAGGTATCAGAGTTTTTATTGGCAGTCATAACAATCATAATGAGTTTTGTTAGATGATGAATTCTGCAACTCAGTGAACCAGCAGCATTTTTATAATTCTTTATTTAATTTTAATTTTATTTCTTCTTTGGGGGACGTGGGCTCATTTTGTCTTTTTGTAGCAGAGGGTTCAATCCCAGGTCACGCTTTCCACATGAGGAAGTGTCCATGGGTGAGACATTTGACCCCACCCATCCTCCCACTGACTGCGCTGAGAGGTGTGTGAATGGATTAGTCAAAACTGATGGGCTCCATGTAGCAGCCCCCTACCATCAGTGTGAATGTAATGTGAGTGGGTAAATATGACATGAGTGAACACAAGACTAGAGAAAGGCAAATATACACTGCTAATTATTTGGTTCTTACCAAGACAAAAAAACTTAGATTTAGAAGTGTTAGATAATTTCACTTGTTTTAAGACTTAATTTCTTTTTTTAAGTGTTTAAATTTATATTTTAATCTTATATCAAGCACAACCTTATCTTTTTTAGTCTCAAATAGGCAGGGAATCTTAAAATGAGAAAAATTACTTAAAATAATTTATAGTCTTTATAGTAAGCCTTGTTTCAAGATCAGCCTGCTTGGATTGAGACAGAGTTTCGTCACTCTTCACTAATACTTGGTATTTTTTCTCTAAGTTTCTATTTTTTGTTTAACTAATCTTCAGTATAATTAGCTAAAAGTAAGAAAACAAAATATGTAATTGCTTATATTTAGTATATCTCACTTATTTTGAGGCTGTAAAAGTTAAATTTCAAGTACTCTGATCTTAAAACCAGCATTTTTGGCTTACTTTAAGCCTTTCAAATACATTTGTAGACATGCTTATTTCTAGATATAACAATTTTAAATCAAGAAATCTTGTCAAGTGAAATTATCTTGCTGCATGGACAGATAATTTCACTTGTTTGTAGTGTTTTTATTTTGTTTTTAGACCCCCTTTTTGCAGTGTAAACTTAATTGACTAAACATTCCTCCTCTAAATATAGTGACCACAAAAGTGCAACATTTCTCGCTCTGGGCAGGTTATTGGAAACAGAGCCAAATCATTGCCTGATTTACAAGGCACTCTCAAGGATAACAATTTTTCAATTTTTTTCCACTTTCGGCTGTGGAACCAATAAGTGTTTTTTTTTTTTCTTTTGTTGCTGTCTTAAGTTTGGTGTTTTGCATTTGTTTGCTTTACTGAGTTCACTTTGTTATGTGTGCACCTAATCAGTTTTTAAAGTATGCTGTTATTGGCATCTGCTGGTTAAGAATAGGGGAGAACAGGGCTTGTTGTCACATGGGTAAGCTGTCACATTGCAATTATCTTTGCCATCAGAGGGTGCAACTAAAAAGTGGAAAATTAGTTCTATTACTTCCCACGGTTAGGGGTTGTGTCCTGTCTGAGAAGAGAGGAGCACATTGTGAGCTGAGATGAGGCCAATTAACCATTTCGCACAACCCCAAAGTAAAAAAAGAAAAAACTTTATATATTTTAAAATAAGCTTCTTCCAGATAAAAATCCTATCAGTGATGCACATGGACTTGTTGGAGGAGAGATTAAGGCATCCTGTCATACCTCAGTCATTGTTCAGTTTTAAGATAACTTTAAGCTAGAGCTAGAATTAACATGTTAGTTTGGGGCAACATGTCTCAGTCATTTTGGGGTTAGTTGTCACATGTTTAAAAGGGATTAAAATTAACATAGAGAGTCTACTTTTCAGCAGTTGTCTACTGCTACCATACCTTGACTCGGCACTGCAAAACATTCACCCCAGCCGAAATACAGTCAGACAGCTCTCCGAACTCCAGTGCATGTTGCATATTTAATTGCTTATAACTCTGCACTGACACAAGATATGAAAATGACATGAATACAAAACATATACCTGGGACTTTGGTCTTTCATCTGGTACACATTTTGTTTATATATGATGTATTTATTCCAAGAAATAAATGAGTGTAAAAAGTGTGACAACAAGTCCTGGTCTCCCCTACTCGTACGTGCAGCTGCTTTCAAACGCGTTGACATCATTCATAAAATCAGTGAAGAGAGAGCCCAAATTATGACGTCATGTTAGACGAGGAAAAAAAAAACATGTGACGTAGAGTCCAAGATGGCGGCTCCCCTTTCCACGATGAAATTTTGGAAGCCGGGTAAGTGAAGATAAAACAAGTGAATGAGGCCGTTTGAGTTGCTGTTTCGGGGTTATGTGCGTTAACTAAAAGCTGTCGTTATAGTTTAGTCAATGTTGGTTTGGCTGCGGTCGCGTCCGCTGCAGCTGCGTGATCTCCGCAGAGACTTCAGTCCAGCACTGGTAGCGTTACCTCTGCGGAACCAAAGTATTAACCTGATTGAATAAATTAAAATTGAATAAATGAAGTAAAAACAGATACGTGGGTACATTCAGTGATAAAAAGAATTAATGGGGGACTCTGGTTGTCTGTCTGTCTGTCCGTCCGTCCTTGGTTACATGTCAGCGCATTGCACTTAAACCAAGGCTGTCATCCTCGTATGGCTTTAGCCCGCTAAGATGTGAATAATATATACTATCTCTGCCTCCACCATCTGTTTTGCTCCAGGGTCTGAGGCGCCGGGGATCTCCGAGGAGCGTGAGCTCAACTCAGAGACCACTGGCTCCCCCATCATCTTCAACCCGCACACCGCCCTCTCCATCGAGAAACAACGACAGAAACTCCCCGTTTTCAAGGTCTCACAAACCCCAAATGTCTCAACATGCATTAATGAAACAGTATTTGTGCCTATCTCTAATGTTACATTCAATAACTGTTTCTAATTATTTCTAATGCAGCACAGAAACAACATCTTATACTTGGTGGAGAGCTTTCAGACTGTCATCATCGTTGGGGAGACGGGATGTGGGAAAACAACACAGATACCTCAGGTTGGGAGAATTTTGGGATAACTTTTAAAAGCTACAAATATAAGTGAGATCTGGTGGGAAGCTTTTTTCTTCGTTATCCCACTCTAAAAGGTAAAAAAAGGTTGCAAAGTGATTAACACCTTAGCTGCAGTGGACTGGTATCCTCCATGTGGAGTAGTTTTGCATGACCTTGCCTTGATGCTAAGTGGCCTCTTTTTTGTTTGCAGTATTTGGGCCACATCAGCAAGGGTTTGGTTTGTGCAGTGTGTGCTTTTTTGACAACATCAGTGTCTCCATTTTCCCCTTTTTTTGATCCAAGCTCTCTTTTTTTTATCAACTCTTCTCAGTACCTGCTTGAGGCTGGCTGGGCAGCGGAGGGGAAGGTGATTGGAGTGACACAGCCCCGGCGTGTAGCTGCTATCTCTGTAAGACTCACACTGATGTTCCCTTAATGCCCTGTCACTGTCTTCCAGTGTCGTTTCTCTGCAAAATTTGAGCCAACGCTGGCAGGACGCGTTCAGATTCTGTTATTTCCTCCTCTTTCCTGCCTTTAGGTAGCCAACCGTGTAGCAGAGGAGCGAGGGGCCCTGCTGGGACATGAGGTGGGCTACACAATCCGATTTGATGACTGCTCTGATCCCCATGCCACACGGATTAAGGTATTTTCCTCTGCACCTGTGTTCCCAGCTTACCTTTGCCAGATGTTTTATGTTTACCTCCTTTTCTCATCGTGCCTGTGTGCTTCAGTTCCTTACAGATGGCATGCTGGTGAGGGAGATGATGTCTGATCCCCTTTTGAAAAAATACAGGTACATAATTGGAGTTTAAGCTTTTTGTAAGCATTTTTTTTTACCTGAGCTAGACCATTATTTTGGTTTAGTGATATTTTATCGTCCAGTGTTTTTAGGTGTGAGGTGTTAACTCTATTTTGTATATGATTCATCAATCCATCAATCAGTCTTTATTGATATAGCACTTTTCATACTAAAAAGATACGCAATGTAAGCTCCATAGAAACGTGTATTAAAATGCATGAACTTAAAAAGGGCTAAATTCATATAAACAGGAATGTGTGCACTGTGGAAACGCCGTTTTAAAATTCGAGGTAAGGAAATACTGGAGGTTTAAAATCTAAAAACAAAGTAACATAAAATGAAATTTAAGAAATATTTACTAAAATAAAAAAAACAACAACAGTAAAAGATACTAAAATAAGAGCACCAAAATAACTAAATAAAAGATGATTCTGTCTTTAAAACTAGAAGAGATAAATGCTTATATGCTTAAACAAAGTTAATGATATAAAATTAAGATATAAAATTTAGTTAAAAGCAACACTAAAAAGGTATGTTTTCAGTTTGCTTTTAAAATCATCAAGATTAGGCGTATGTCTGCAAACCAAGATTATCAGTGCGCTATGTGCAAATTAGTTAAATCACACAGTTAAATCATGATGAACTGAAGTTTTCTAATATTAGCTGAGTTTTTCTAATATTTGCAGAATATGTGAAACATAAAAATATATATTTTTTATTTATAGAAAGTTAATAACATAGCTAATTGGCAGTAAGTCAGAAAACTGTTAGCTCTGTCAGAGACATATAAAGCAGAGTATCACAGCTGTTCATTACATTTGCTATCAAATCTGTTATATTTACACCCTGGTCCCAAGAAAAAGAAAGAAAGAGTCTGAAAAAATAAAAATAAAACCATGAAAGCTGTTGTTTTTAGTCTCCAAACCGTGTATTGGTCAGGATTTTGTATTTACAGCAAATAAAGTGGCTGATAGAATTGAGCATGTCTCTTTTGTCTTCAAGAGTCTGGTTGAGCTCTTGCACTTTGACAGTTAGACCATCATGCTGTATAGCTAGATATCTGTAGGGGGAAAATACTTGTTACTGGACACATGACTTTGTTTGAAGTCTCAATTTGGCTTGAACTCATTCTTGTGTTTCTTGCTGTTTTTTCAGTGTGTTGATGCTGGATGAAGCACACGAGAGAACCCTGTACACAGACATAGCCATTGGTTTACTTAAGAAGGTAAATTCTGCCATTTAAAAGGATGAGACTTTACATCTATACTTTATCATATGCAAAAATTTTCCCTGAGATTCATGATTTTCTTTCTCTTTCCCTCTTCCTCTCTGCCCTCTCTATGTCTGTGTCTTCGATTCTTTGATAGATTCAGAAAAAGAGGCGAGACCTGCGGCTGATCGTGGCCTCTGCCACTCTGGATGCCAAGGTGACTACATCATTAAGATGGGCAGATATGCTTGATTAGCGAGAATAAAGCAACAAAGACAGTCAGAGGAGAAGTTGATGTCAGGTCAGATCCCATTGTACTGACACCGGCGATGCACTGATGAAAGACGGACACAATCAGGCCATGCCTGTACTCAGCGTTAAACAAATCAGCTTAAAATGCAATATCAGACATTACTGTGCTCCCTGTTTGAAGCGCAGCTTTTATCTATAAATGCAAATGATCACCTCAAACTTCAGTGGTGTGTTGCATCCTTTTAGAAATGAAAGATTGAGGCCAGGAATAATATTTTACTTTTCTGTCGCTGCAACACACTTTTCCATGCTGACTGTGCGCATCTGCAAAATTTTATGATTTCTCAATTAAATTTACTGGAAGCTAATTGTAATTCTCCTTTTACATAGAAAGTTTCCATAACTAACTCTTACATCACCTCTTATCCAAAGAAATTCCACGACTTCTTCAACCTGAATGAGTCAGGTGATCCCAATAAGGACACGTGTGGAATTCTGACAGTGGAGGGACGCACTTTTCCTGTTGACGTCTTCTACACTGTCAGGTAGTCAACACTTATAACCGAGTTTATGTGGTGTAAAGATGTGCGTATTTGTCCTAAAAGAGTGTTACTTCTCTTCTTTTTGCTCTCAGTCCTGTCCCAGACTATGTAAAGGCCACAGTGGAGACTGTTATGAAGATCCATGAGACAGAGGATGATGGAGATGTCCTGGCTTTTCTCACAGGGCAGGCAAGTGACCACAACTCTTGACTCAGCCACACCTCTATTTCCAAAATCATACGGATTCTGTTTGATTTCATTTGATGCTGGCAGATTTTGATGTGTGTCTATTTTTCCAGTCTCTTATGAGGATCTTATAAGTGTTTGTATTGTCTCCTTAGGACGAGGTGGAGAAAGTGGTGTCCCTTCTTCAGGACCAAGCCAGGACTCTTTCACGATACGGCATGAAGAAACACCTGAGAATTTTGCCTATGTACTCTGGCCTACCTTATGCTGAGCAGATGAAGGTCTTTGAGCGGGCACCCACGTCTGTTCGCAAGGTAAATACGGTGCCTTTGTTTTGTGATATTAAAGGAGAGAGAAAATCAGATGTAACTTTATAGACAGAGAGGTTTTTATTCCCAGTATTTTAGAGATGATATTGAAGGAGTACAAAAATGTGTTTGCGGACTTAGCTGTACTTCCATTCAAAGTTGTTAGTTCTGCTGGAATCCCAGTACTTGCAAAGTTATTTGCTGGACTGTTTTGAAAACTTCAGGGACAGTAATAAAAGCTGCACAAAATATAACGTTGGAAGTAAAAATCCTATCGGTCAACACTTGGAAATACAGCTGATAAAATAATGTCATATAAAACGGCTCTTTTTTTTCCAGATTGTTGTGGCCACGAACATCGCTGAAACCTCTATCACCATAAACGGCATTGTGTTTGTCATTGACTGTGCGTTTGTGAAGCTGCGAGTCTACAATCCAAGCACTGCCATCGAATCTCTGGTGGTAACGCCCATCTCCAAGGCTTCAGCCAGCCAGAGGGCGGGTAGAGCCGGGCGAAACCGGCCCGGAAAATGCTTCAGGCTGTACACAGGTATGTGTGAGTTTGCAAAGAGAAGAGCGATGAGGAAAAAGTGCATCGTTATCATTTATGACAAACAGTCAGTCTTTTTCCACCTCCCTCTGCCCTCTCTGCCTGTGTTTCTGTCACTCTTTGTTATCCCCTCCCTTGTGTTTCTCATCGCCTGGGTTCTGTTCATCAGAGGAGGACTTTGAGAAACTGCCTGCCTCTACTGTGCCAGAGATGCAGCGCACCAATTTGGCCCCTGTCATCCTGCAGCTCAAAGCGTTAGGCATCGACAACGTGCTGCGGTTCAGCTTCCTTTCAGTGAGTTGCTCGCTTTGCATCCATGGGGCGGCTGTGATGTGTTTAAGCACTGTGAAAGGAAATGTACTTTACATTTTAATTAGCCAGAATGGCTCACGGCCTTTGGGGAGAAATGTATAAGAACCATAAAATTAATGCAGTCATTGTGTAGTTGTGCATGTAAAGATGTAATGACATGAATCCCTGAAGTACACCAAAATCTCTTTTTTTTTGTCTCTCAGAGTGATCCTTATAGTTGCTGGATTTAACATGCATCTTTTCTATTTATGCAGCCTCCTCCAGCTCAGACCATGGTGCAGGCTCTAGAGCTGCTCTACGCTTTAGGAGGTAAGAAACAAGTCTCTCAGCAGGTGGGAGGAGGAAATGAAAGGAGAGGTGTCCTTCAACTCCAAGACTGTTGTTTAAAATTCCGTGTCAGAAATCATCTACACACTGCGATGTCCTTGCACATGATGCAGAATCTTAACCAGCGGTGTGCCTCCTCCTGGCAGGTCTGGATCATTACGGCCGTTTGACAGATCCCATGGGGGTGCGGATGGCAGAGTTTCCTCTGAGCCCCATGTTCGCCAAGATGCTCCTCGAGTCTGGAAACTTTGGCTGCTCCAAAGAGATTGTAACCATCGCAGCAATGATGCAGATCCAGAACATATTTGTTGTGCCGCCCAATCAGAAGAAAGCTGCTGTAAGTGCAAACGAGCTTTCAATAGAGGCATGTTGTGTATTTTGCAGAAACGCTCTGTCAGCATAATAATTATCCAATTTTTGCTATCTCACCCCGCAGGCTCGAGAGCACAGGAAATTTGCAGTTGCCGAGGGAGACCACCTCACAATGCTGAATGTGTATGAAGCATTCATTAAGGTGTGTTTATATACCTATGGTGGTGTATAGCTCACTCTGTGATAGTGAGCGCAACACAAGAGGCTAAGAAAAAGGCAGGAGACAAAGTTAACTCTGATAAAAACAAAAAATAAAAAATCAACATTGTCTTCTTTCCTGCAGCACCAGAAGAGCTCCCAGTGGTGCCAGGAACACTTTCTCAACTATAAGGGCCTGCTGAGGGCTGTGACTGTGCGGGAGCAGCTCCGGCGGCTCATGAACAAGTTTAAAGTGCCGCGGACTTCCAGTGAAGGTGCGTGGGTGTCAATATGATGTGTGCCTCTTTAAAGAATCTTAATCACAAAAACACACTTTTATGATTGTGTATTGAATTGTGAAAAGGGTTGTTTGTCTGCGCTTTCTTTTCCTCAGGCGACCCTGATGTGATCTTAAAGTGTATTGTAGTTGGGTTCTTTGCTAACGCAGCTCGAATTCATCATTCTGGTTCCTACAGGTGAGATGTTTTCTGTTTCCTTTAATAGATGTTTGCAACTTTCAAGCGAAAAAGATTATCAAACGCTCCTTGTTTGTTTTCTCTGTCAGGACTTTACGAGACGACCGTGAGCTTCACATCCACCCGAACTCGGTGCTGTTTGGCGAGAAACCTCCAAAATGGTGAGGGCTCTTTCTCAGGGTGGTCACATACATCCTGAGGAGGTTTCCACTTCTAAACTTTGTTTCTTTGTTCTCCAGGGTTGTTTTCAATGAAGTGGTGCAGACAGCGAAATACTACATGCGCGATGTGACTGCTGTCGAGTCATCCTGGTTGGTTGAATTGGCCCCTCACTTTTACAAGCAGGCCAAGGTAGGTCAAAGGGAAAAAACTTCTGCCTTCAGATTGTTATTTTATGGCTGTTAGTTTACCGACAGCCTGCTCACAAGTGTATTTGATTGATCTGTGTCCTGTCCCTTTCCTCCTTCAGCATGGTTCCCTGGCCAGCAAGAGGTCCCGGGTCCTCTAAATCTCACCATTCTTAGACCACCTTAAGACGAGGAGATTCATCGAGCTAAGAGGAGAGAGAGTCCCTCTCAAGTTGCCACTGTGCCCCTCTCCATTTCAGTGTATATAAAGATGTAATATATATTTATTGACCATGTCAACCTGCACAACCTATCACACAATGTAGCCATGCTAGAATGGGATTAAGTGGATACGTTTTTAGTGTTGATTTTGACACTGGGGATTTGCTTAGTTTGAAAGAGTCCGTCTGAAGTTAATGTAGTTCACAGTTTGACCTATGAGATGAGAGTAAATGGTAATGAATGTGAGATGAGACCAGGCCGTGCCTGTCTTGTGTTCCTCCACGTTTCGTCATGTAGTTCACTTCAGTTCTTCTTGTATATAGTCAGAGCAGGCTCAGGTCCAGGGATCGGCCTGTCCATACCTGGTTCTTGACTGTATTATTTTTTTAATTACTATATTTTTCTTGTTGCATGATACACAATGGAAGATAACGGGTCGTGAGGATGTTTCTGCTTGAAAGATTTGTGATTTAGTTTTATTTTGGTTCATTTGATTCTCTCACCATGTGGGGACCTTTAGGTTTTAGTTCACTTTATCTACAGTTTAGTTTAGACAACTTCAATCTTTTATTTTCATACAGAATGTATTTGGATATATTTGTTTTCAGGACTTTTGCTGTAGAAGGAAACTTTACTTTTTAGCCAACCTCAAATCCTACTCCTTAGATACTGTGAAAAGACTGCTTGACTGGCTGATCTTTGTTTTTCACTTTCACTGTATTGCCACTTTACTACAGTCTAGCTCCGACATAGTGGCCTTGTCACCACTTTGTGCCAATTTTCTTTATCAGCCTATTTCACATTTCCTTTTCAGATGGAATGTGTAAATGCGCCCGAGCATTTAAAAAGAAAAGCTGTGAAATCAAAACTAAAAAGTGCCATTTGTTCCTGCTATGATAAAGTGCATTTAGACATGCATCCAAAGCCTCAAAGAAACAGTAGCATTTATTGGATTTCAGCCATCTCTTTGCCTTTCCTCTTACGGATTGTCTCAGTTTTGAGCAAAGATTTTTTTGTCATGTTACCATCGACATCATCTGCGAGGTGTTTAGGAAAATAGCCATTGATTTGTAATCGCCATTAGAAATTCACAGCATTCGTCTTACATTTCTACTTTTGTTCATTTTTAAGGTTTGCTTTTCTTCAGAGGTTTTTGGCCCTGAAAGCGTCAGCGAGCAGTATATTAAAGGCTTTTGTCATTTTAATCTGCTTTCAAACCAGTACGGTCACTGTTAAAAGATTTAACGTCTGCCTGCATGGTTCTTTGTTGATCTTGTTCTTAAGATTACTACTGTAGATTCAGTGAAATTGTAATGAAACCACAGAACAACACTGTAGAGTAGATAATTAAACCAACTCAAATGAGACAGATATACAAATGAGGTACCTTTGCATGCTAAACAGTACTCTGCTGTAGACACTTAAGACCACCTTGTAGACTAAATGCAAATGAAACATTTGCAAAATGGCTTGTTTATCCTCATTTGTGCCGATACTTCTGAGTATGTATGCAGCCAAAGCAGTAACCTGTAGACCAGCGTAATTGCTTACCTCTGAGATAAGACTGTCACCTAACATTTCTTCCTCACATCCTCAAATAAAGCCTTATCGTCATGCACTGAGTTCAGTTTTTCTTCGATTCTTTTCACTTGACTCTTACTTTACCTTTTATGCAATGTATAAATATGCCAGGAGGTGTCATTGTTGTTCCACAAACAGTTGCTGTCTAGAAAGAGAAAAGTGTGAAACGACACAGAAAAAGAGTCTGTATTTGCTTCTTTTACTTTTAAAACAAATGCTTTAGATTAATTGTTTTGCTTTTGGGAAATGACCTACATCTTTGAGAAATAAATCATGGTCAAAGACACTGCATGATAACCACAGCAAATTCTCAACCTGCTTTGCACAAAATGTGAGATTTTGCTGAGTGCTTGTATGATTGTGAGGGTAACCAGTGATATGCAGGTAAAGGGGTTAAAAAGTTTTGTGTTTTGATTGTTTGGGACAATACCGTAACCAAATTTTAACAGATTTACAAAGGTAACCTGACAGTGCCAAAATCTATTTTTATGCCCCCTTACTGAGACAGTTGCTAAATATTTGTATTCTTTGTAAGTAATGTGTTTAATTTAAATTTCGCCATGTCAGAATATCTGGTACCAGCTTGTATTTTTAGTTAAAACTGTTACGAAACCATGGCAAGTCATCAATAAAAGTATATATTTTACACAGTGGACACTGCTTTATGATATTTCAGGCGTAATCTAAAGGTGAAAAAAATCTATTTTTATGTCCACTTACCAAGACAGTTGCTAAAGATGTGTATTTTGTAAGTAATGTGGTTAATTTAAGTTTGGCCATGTCAGAAAATCCAGGACCAGCTTGTATTGTTAGTAAATACTGTTAAGAAAACATGGCAAGTCATCATTAAAAGTATATATTTGCACATGCACCAGGAAAGCACATTCAACTAAACATTTAAAATGTTTAAGGCTTTACTTATACTCCAGCACAGTTTTAAAAACCGCATTTTAAAGTCATATCAATCATATACTTTTGCGCATTTGCCAAATTATATCATGCAGACATGGTTCTTTGATTTAAGGTGCAGCAGAAGGTCATGTCCACTGGGGGGCAGGCCAAGTTCACTGCTGTAGACAATAATCTAGCCTCTTGTTGCAGTACTGATTTCAACCGATAAGGTTAGCAGTGAGCGTTTGCGCACGTTGTTGCTAGGCAGCACCGAGCGAGGAAGAAATAACGTACCTGCCGCGCCACGTGTTTTTACCAGCGTGTTTTAGCCTACTTCCGGTATCTGCAGGTGTTCACCTTTAGTTTAAAGTTTGTATGAACGCAATAGACGCATCGAGAAGGAGCTTTGCCTGTGTCCCTTCATTCATGTCCTGTGGAAAATCCGTGAGGTTTGTTCATTTGAAATTCATATACTAAAAGGTGGTCCCCTGAAATGTGCATGACACTGCTCAGCAAGCTAAAACTCTGTCTGCTGTTTTACAAAGTTAGAAGTTTGGTTACCAGTTTTAGTATGTAGGCCACATTGAGTGTGTAGTACATAATGTTTGCTTTTAACTAGCCAAGTCATATTTAAGTTTATATCCAGCTGTGTGATGGGGTCATGTGACAATTTATTGCAGAGGCTCAGTAGGTAGCCTCAGTCAAGACACCACATGTAACAACAAGTCAAGTTAACAACTAAGATACATCAAAACAAGTTATAGAAATATTAAACAAGTTTGTAAAACAAACACAATCTTGCAGAAGAGGCCATAGAATTGTTTAGAAATGATATAAAATAATGATATAAAATAAACAGTGTGCATAAAATGCTTACAATGTATAACAATATGAAAGACTAATTTACAGAAAAATGTGCCATACTTACATAAATTTAGTTAAACTTCATATTACGTTCAATATGTTACTCAGTATTTTGTGCTTCAAAGGGAAAATTAGTGATCTATCTATCTATCTATCTATCTATCTATCTATCTATCTATCTATCTATCTATCTATCTATACAAAACAAATCTCTAAAAGATAAGAAATTGTATTGCCTGTGCCTTACAACATCTGTAAACATGTTATAAAATGCTCTCATTAAGACATTTTATTTTGTTTGTCTTGTATCCGGTGTAACATTTAATCAAGCTCAGCATGCTTAATGGTTTATAAAGGGAGTGAATTACTACTCTTTCATTAAGGTAGCTCTGTCCTTGACTAGAAGATGTGCCAACTGAAGTCTATTCAGTCCCAGAACCTGAACTGAATTTGCTGAAGAACACAAAACCGAGTGGTTATCAGTTGCATTTGCACTTGCTTGACCCCTGTTGGTCCCAGTCAGCCAATTTCACCTGTGGATAAATAAAGTATTATGATTCTGATCTTGATTATCATTCTGTTTGTAATTCTCATTGAGGAATTTGAAATTCCTCTGCAGTGCACCACTAGAGGGCAGTAAAGGGACTCATGTGAACGTGGACACAAGCATTTCAATAGGTTCTGCTATCCAAAAGTACACATTCTTATCCCAAGGCAATTTCTACTCATCTTGTTCAGTTTAAGTGGCTCCTTTACTGACCTACATGAGCTTTAATAAACTGGTCATGTAATAGAAGTGGCACTATCATTCAAAATGAAAGCACAATGAACAAATAAGTGTGGTTTCCCTGAAACTTCTCCAAAACTTGGTGCACACTGACTTTAGGTAGAGATCTCAATTGTAAGTTTTGGATTTCATGGCATGGATGATTCCTTGACTGTGTCCCCTAGGAGGTAGATGTTGTGTTTTGCAGGGTAACAGATGACATTGGTGGTATCTTTTATTTGTGGATGAGTTAATTGAGTTAGTTTTGTTACTAGTTAATCATGACTACAATTTCTTGTCTCTTAGAGATTTTTTTTTATAGATGGATAGATAGATAGATAGATAGATAGATAGATAGATAGATAGATAGATAGATAGATCCAACTAAATGTTGTATCCAAAAATGGACTTCCTTTCTGTACTTTGTCATCCAGTTTGTGCAACTGTCTTGCATTTCTGGGGTCAGACAGATCTGTTTTTGTGTTAGAAAAACAACCCCATAAACTTTAAATTTGTGTATCTCTGGAGGAGTCCGAAGTGTTGTACCCTTATCTGAAGCAGAAGGAGAAACTTTAGCAAAACTCAAACAGATGGAAATGCAGCCTACCAAGCCTTAAAAATGCTAATCTCATTATAAGTGAAATAGTATCCTTTTTGGTTTATTGTAACAAAAATGCTACGCTTTTGAAATCTAAATATTATGACATAATTCCTTTTAAAACTCTTATGTTATCGTTGTTTCATTTTGCGTCCCTGTTTTCATGATCTGAATCTTTTCACATAGGTTGCTTATTTGTAGCTCATTAGCTTCCTAATCACTCCGGCATGTCCTGTGTTTTTTGGGATCCTCAGGAGACCAGTGAACAAAACCATGCTTCATCTGTCTTTGTGTCATCTGGAGGAGGCTCTTCCCAATGTGACGATTGCAGAAAAGGACAAAAAGAGGTTCGGAAAAGGGAAAAATTTCTGCATGTGTTTTTCAGTTCCACTCAGCTGCTCATTTTAGTGTTGTGTAACCACATACACGCAGAGTGTCAGCCAGAGGTATCAGTGATTAATCGCATGCATGTGACTCGGAAAAGGCAGCCGTTTGAACAGGTTGTGTGTACGTGGTTGAGTGTTCATTGCGATATTTCAGCACTGTCAAAAAATCATTGACAAGTTCCGTCCGATTCAAAGAATGTTTAACTGTTTTTAAGGCGCTGATGAGAAAGTAAGCCATGCGTGTCTTGTAATTACCCCCTGTTTAAAGGTTGTGCATGTTTTGAGAGAAAACAGTATGGTTAATATTTCCCACTAAATGAACAACCAGTGATAAGTGATTTTTTTTAAGTTTTAAGGTTGATTCGTTTGTGTGTCCTCATTTTATCCTTTTGGATAAATCTATAGTAACCTATGCCTCATAGAATACAAAACTCTGCTTTCTATTTACATTATCTTCATATTCATATCTTTCATTGTTTCAGACTATTCACCGACAGTGTCGCAAAAGAACATGCAGGGAAACTTTAAGTGAATTTTGCACAATTTGATGAAGAATTTAAAATGACAGAGGATTAAGTGTTGATATTGAACTTTTTGTTCATTCTGCAAAATTCCTGTTGTGAGATTTTGTATTTATGTTTATTCTGGATGGATTTAATTGTCAGAAAATCAACCAGATCACAGTTAATGGCATGAATCTCAACAAAGCAGATTAACAGTCAATCATGCAATCTTTAGAACCTTTGGAAATATTCCACCAGGTTTAAGCAGCATTAGATAACCCAGTCAGTTATAGTCAACGTTTTAAAAACAATGCTAGAACGAGGGGCATGAATCTCTAACTTAATGGTATCGTACTTCCTAAACTTGGAGTGGCATCCGTCTCCTACAGGCGTATTAAGACTAATGTTTTTAATCTTTTATGGGCACTGACAAGAATGAGTTTTCCTCAGTCCCTTCTCATCTTTCAGTGTCCTACAATGAGAAAGAATTACCTGTGTTTGCCCCCTCTATCAGTCTTGGTTTTTCTGACCTTGTAACTCTGTTTTTTTGTTACCTAGAGCACCAGAAACTTTTCTGCGGCTCATCATAGATTTTTAGAAACTACCTCTTAGCTTTTTTGTTCTTATTTGTCCTCCTAGTTTAGCTCTGGCAAACCAATCAGTCAAAAAAGAGCAGGACAAAGTGAGAAAAAACATAGATCTCTGTGCTAAGTGCAAAAAATGAGCGTTGACGCTTATGGACAATCAGGGATCTGTGAAGTCATGTATTTGGAGAAAGTCAAAATAGCTCATTATGACATTAATTGGACTATCTGCCTCACAAAGAGAAGAAAATGAGCCCAAGTGGTAGATATGTATGTTTAGAAAGAGGGAGATTATTTTTGTAGTTAGCAGGGAAATCATGAGAAATGAGTCCTGTTCATCTGTGATTTCGAAACCCATCCTTTTTTTTTATACATCATGTTCTGGATTTATCATATTATTGAAGCCCTTTAATATGAATGAGGGGCCATTTTTTTCTAGCTGCATGTATG